TGGGGTTGAGAAAGCCCCGGCTCCTCCACTGCTTGGCTTTCGAGCTTCAGAGGGAACTCAAGTCCTCCATAGGTGGGTTTCCCTTTGGAATCCTATTGACCTGTAATCACATCACATCCAGCCAACTTGGCGCAGCCTTGGTATTTCCGGCAATTATGAACATCCCGTATCTGGTCGCGAGCTGCGCTACGAACTTCCAGTCCTAACCAAAGAAAGGTCGCGATCGGCAGAAAACAATGGCCGGGGCTCGATACCACCGGCCATGTGGTTGCGGGTTGAATGATTGCCATACCGTCGTGCAGTAGCGGGAAACCTACACTGCAGCATGGTAGTATACATATCTCGCCTGCTCGATCGAATCTTTTGGACTGGCCTTGTTTCAACTGTCGCGTAAGACACGTGGCCCTCGGTGGTTGATACACCTAGAGCTATCATGACATCTAATACAAGCGGCGATCACGACCTTCAAGACCTCAAGGCAAAGGCTGTGAATGCCGAGTTTGTGGAAGATGCCATTCCCCAGGAGCATCAGGAGTACAAGAAACGCGAGGCTCGACTAGTCGCAAAACTAGACATCTACCTTGCACCGATTCTGATGCTTTTGACGTTGATCAGCTTTTTGGACAGAGGAAATATCGGGTACGCCGCTTCCCAGGGTATGATCGCCGACATCGGTCTGAAAGGCAACCAGTTGAATGTAACTTTCTCCGTTATTGCTGCTAACCGCTTGCTGATGCGTGTACCAGATCGCCATTTCCATCTTCTACGTATTCTACATCTTGGCTGAAGTGAGTCGTACACCCAGCTGAAGCTCTACAAGGCCGCAGACTCACGGCGTACAGGTACCGTCTTCTCTCCTTGCCAAACGCCTACAATTCAACAGAGTCATCCCCGCTGTCACTGTCTGCTGGGGTGCAGTCTGCTTGGGGAATGGATTCATAACTGGCTTTCCCAGTCTCGTAGCCTGCCGTTTGCTATTAGGTCTCTTTGAAGGCTTCTTGTTCCCATCTTCTGTTCTCTTGATGGCAAACTGGTACAAGCGTGAGGAACTCGGTCAGAGGATCTCATATCTTTACAGTATTCCTCAGTCTCTATCACAACCCGATCAACCATGCTGACATTGGCTCAGTTGCTGCCGCCTTGTCAAGTGCCTTTGGTGGTCTGATTGCGTTTGCCATCCTCTACATGGACGGAACAGCTGGAAAGCAAGGTTGGCAATGGTGAGATATTCCCGTTTCGAGCCGAGGGGACCGTGGGACGCTGATAAGCAACAGGCTCTATATCATTGAAGGGATCATCACAATTGTCATCGGCGTCATATGCTTCTGGCTCATTCCTAAAGACTACCAGACGGCATATTTCCTCAACGCAGAAGACCGAGTCATTATGAAGCGACGAGCGGAACTGACAGAATCTTACAATGGCGGCCAAGGCCACTACACAAGGAAAGATTTCATGTTGGCTGTAACGGACGTCAAGACCTGGCTACATGGAGGTATCCAGTTCGTAGTGATGACAGTCGTGTACGGCTTTGGTGTCTTCCTTCCAATTATCATCAAGACAGGATTCAACTACTCAACCAAGCAGGCACAGTACCTCGCAATCCCAGGTAAGCACTCGCTCGATTGAAAAGAACCCCTGCATGTGATAACGAAATATCCTAGTCTTCCTGTGGGGTGCCATAGTCTACGCAATCGGTGGCTTCCTGTCAGACAAGTATCAGAAGCGTTTCCTTCTGGTCGTCGCGGCCGCGCCGTTTGGAATGGTGGGCTACTCAATCCTGCTGGCTTATGACCACGTGTCCGTCGGGGTTCAGTATTTCGCAACTTTCTTGATCTCGACGTGCATCTTCCTATGTGGCGGAGGAAACATGGCCTGGCTCTCTTGTAACTCGGCTCCAGACGGGAAACGAGCTGCTTCAGTCGGCATAACGTTGACTCTGACGAATATCGGTAATTCGACCCGCTCTACACCCTCGGGGTCTGTGTTTGCCAGTGCTGACTCGGCCGGCAGGCGGTATTGTCTCCGGACAGATCTACATCGTAAAGCAAGCTCCTCAGTATCGACTGGGTCATGCATGGTGTCTGGGCTGTCTTGTCCTCGCGTGGATCGGCTGGTGTGCATTGAGATATATATACAACGTCCGCGAACACGAGAAGGATAAGGCTATTGGGGAAGGAACCACAACGCCACGAGAAAACTTCTCCGATCGTGCGACAACCTACAGGTACCAGCTCTAGAAGTTGAGCTTGATGCAGGAACGGGAGCAGCTCAGAGGCAGAGCTATCAACCAAATGGCGCTTTGTCTCTGTCTCCCTCTTCTACCACCGTCTCTAAGCTTAGGTAAAGTCAATTCATAAACCAACTCCGCATAGCCATACACCCCTCTACCATGTGCTTGGCGTTCCGAGGCGCAGTACTGGCGTTTCGCTGTTCTCCATAGCCTTTTTCTCCTCTGCTAGAGCCCATGGGCACGACGGCTTTCATCGGAACCCTGTGTAAACGTGCCGTTCAATTTTATCAGACTGTCCGCCGACACAAGTTCTAACCCCATACACGCTTGAAATATGGCGACGCCGCCTCTAAAGACGGACGCAATCATCATTGTGGGCGCCGGTGTATTCGGCTTGAGCACGGCTCTCCATCTCGCACAAAGAGGATACAGCAATGTCACGGTTTTCGATGCACAGCCTTACGAAGCCACAAAGTACGACTATCTCTGCGGCTCCGACGCCGCATCAGCCGATCTGAACAAGATCATTCGATCTGCGTATGGCGAGCAGACTGAATATCAGGATCTCTCGACGGAAGCCATTAGATCCTGGAAGGCATGGAACGATGAGATCAGAGCCGGTCAATGCGTCCCAGATGGCATGGACATGACCGACAAAGTATTTATCAACAATGGCCATCTGTCCTTGGTGGATGGTGGAGATTTGCCACCCTTTGAGAAGGCAACTATCAGGAATATGGAGCGAGCTGGCTTTGTCGATACTCAACTCATCACTACCGACCCACGACATGCAGAGATCATGAGACACCGAGGCTTCTGGTATGCAATCGATCCGTTTCGAAGGCAGCCGAGAGGCAAGGGATACTTGGGCGTTCTGGATGCGACTGGTGGCATCGCCGTTGCAGACAAAGCTTGTCGATTTGTGCTTTACAAAGCCAAAGACCTCGGTGTCCGGTTCATCCTCCACCATGAATCTGGCCGCTTCGTGGCTTTCTGCTACGACGAGGCAGGGAAGGTGATCGGCATCAAGACGAATGACGGCCAGAAGCACCACGCGTCAAAAGTCATTATGGCTTGTGGTGGATGGACGCCATCACTTCTTCCAGAACTGGATGGCATTTGTGAAACGACCGCGGGCTCAGTCATCATGCTGAAGATTCCGCGCTCCTCACCGCTGTTCGAACGGCTTGCTCCAGAGCGCTTTCCATCTTGGTCCTACAGGATGCGTGATGGTGCCAATGGTGGGCTTTATGGCTTCCCGCGGGACGATAAGGGGTACCTGAAGATTGGCTATAGGGGCACAAAATTCACACACCCGAAGGTACAACCGGATGGCAAGGAACGCAGTATACCCGTCACGAGGTACACAGACAACGAAAAGATCACACGGCTCCCTAAGCAAGCAATGCAAGTGTTCAAGTCCTTCATTGCAGACTTTCTGCCGGAGCTGAGTGAGGAGGGAATCGACAACGAGCTGACCCGGCTATGCTGGTATACCGACTCGTTCGACAACCACTATGTGATTGATCACCTGCCGGGTCAAGACTCAGTCCTGGTTGGGACTGGGGGTAGTGGCCACGCTTTCAAATACCTGCCAAATATTGGGAACTGGATCGTCGACATCATGGAAGGGGTCGGTCTGGATCGGCCCCTCGTGAGGAATTGGCGGTGGAGGAAGTTACGGCCAGGCCAAGAAGCAGTGAACGTCCTCATGGAAGGACGCACCGGTCCAAGGGCACTTCAAAATGTGGAAATGTCCACGGACAACAGTGTGCACTTGTCGAGCCGGCCACGGCTGTGACAGCTGGGATGCGCGATTCCTGCTCCAAACCACACCTTGCTCCTTTCCATTGGCGCGAGGGCAATGTTCACATTCGTATTGTCTACGGTCCGCTAAGACACTCTCTGTGCCCAGCTTCAGGATTATTCAGTGCCTAAGAAGTACGAATGTAAGGTCGGCTGGCGATGAAAGGGGAAATCGTCTCCGGTCGCGACGGTCCTGTCCGAATGCGAGCGAGATGGCGATCCAGCCCAGTCGGTCTCAGGGGTACTTACTGAGTACACCACTTAGGCACCTAGGAGGGCCGGTAAAGTCTAATCAGGGACGGAGGTAAGCCTACACAGTACTAGGTTTGAACTCCACCAGGATCATGTGGCTTCTGCCGCATTTTCCCTCCGGACACGGAGTAATATGGGGTATGTACATAGTAACTAAGGGGGATTCTTGCGCTGATGCGGCGCCTAAAAACCAGCTGAAACCCCCAACACGAGCCTTGCACTGCGACACCAGCGCAGGAGCCAAACAGCGACTCACTCTCGGCGGGAGTCTTGACGCTTGGCCTACGAATTAGGAACCGTGCATATGTGCCATTAACCCATCGGAAGCACTGAACACTCAACAGTCAGGCTGGCGAACAACCACAGATAGCTACGCATCCTATCGTTGGAGCTGTGGTTGGACAAGCATGGGGGAACGTGGCATGACTTGCTCGTGCGATTCGACAGAATTGCATAGAGTTGCACCGTTGCCTTCTGGTGCTTGAGGTCCAGCCATGGCCATGGTGCAAACCTCCACCAGGAGACATGTCACACACAGTCGTCCCAAGGCTGAAAGAGCCTCATTGTCCCACTCCACTCCCTGGGGACTGAGGCTCGGCGAACTCCTGCCATGGCGTGGCCAAAAGGGGAGCCTTACGCATTTATGTATGGCCCCGTCCCGGCCACAACCATACCAGCTTCAATTCTCCTGAAGTTGGCCTGGGTGACAATGGGAAAGACACGGACATTGCTCGACTCCGCGGCTGCCGCCGGCCTCTTATCGTTCCCAACGCAGGTAGCTCAACATGTTTACGAGGCGAACAATCTCGACGGAGCCACCGAATGGGTCGAGTCCTTCACCGAGAAGGCCAAAGGGAGAGCTACCTTGTTTTTGGGCGCTGCCATCTCTACGTTCAAGCCAACCCAGTTGCCTATGTGGAATGACTTCGTACAGTTACTGTGGGCGTCCGCTCTTGAAGTCGCTACGGCCGACATGCGACCTGACAGGGGTACGCCTTAAGACTTCATCGTCAGAAGGCCATTCACTAACATCCTGAGAAGTGTCTGAAGGCCTTCTGGCCTTCTTCGAGCGCGCGAAGGACCGAGTGCCCAACTACATGGTGACCGAAGTCATCTCCAGGCGCTTAGGACAACAATACCTGCACGTGCTCGACGCATTTCAGGCCGAAAGGTTGCAGGACGGGACGTACGCCTTCAACGAGATCCACAAATGGGCCGCGAATCTTCTCGCTACAGGAGCAGTGGCCGCCGTGATGACTACGAATTTTGACAACTACCTGGAGAAAGCGATCGAGAAAAGGACTCCCCTATTCTACCAGATCACCGGAGATCCCCACGTCGACGGCAGAGAGATCTCGTCCCGTCTATCATTGACGACTGCAAAATCGTCGTTGGTCTTAGTTGTCAACGGAGCAAAAGCATTCGCCTTCGTGCGATCTCTCATGCCACAGCTCGGTAACGGGAAAATAACGTTCTTGTTCAAGGTCCATGGGTCCTGCTATGATCCTGTGAGCTGTATCGACACGCGGCTGCAGCGAGCTCAAGGCTTGCCTTCTTTTGCGACTGACGTCCTCGACATTCTGCTCAAACGGACCGTATGGCTGGTTGCTGGCTTCAGCGGAAGCGACATGAACGACAATCTTGACTATTTGCGCTTTATCTCGAGCAAAAAAGAAGCCGCCATCATCTGGCTCACGTACCCTGGCAGCCGATGGGAGTCTGCAATACACCGTCTCACCGCGGTCATGACCTTGGAGAAAGGCTCACGCACCGGCTTCTGTCTGGTAAACGGCCGCTTTCTCGGTGAAAGGCACTCGGAAGAGAGCAAGTTTCCTCAATTTGGACAAAAGATCTTGAAATGGGCTCAAAATCTGGGGCCGGACTGGTGCAAACTTCTGTTGGTGGACTTGGTGGCCCTCTTCGAGGAGAAGGCAGAGCAAACGGCGCCGCCACACTTGTTGCAAGCATTCAATCAAGGTACTTCGCCTCGACAGGACTGGAACACGATTCTGCAGAACATGGACCTTAAGGCGGAAGAATCCCAGGTAATGCTTGCGCGTCGTTGTCCTTGGAACCCACACTGACCGAAGGATCAGATAGCCCCAGCAAAGAGTTGCTCTGAGGTATGGGCCTTGGTGAACGACGCACTCCGCACAGGTCACACGTTGCAGAAGGAAACCAGGCAAGATCTCTGCAGGCGACTCACTACGGGCCTGGAGGTGCTGGGCGGCCACCACATCAGACTCCAAGAAGCGGCCTCGCGTGGAGATAATCCACAGGTGCATGCACAGGCATGGGTTGTCAACGCCTTGAGCGGACTGGCAATGCTGTGCGGAGGGGAAGTTGACCGGGCGGCGAGAGCACTCGAGATCTCCAGCGGCATCGCTTGGCTGGTTGGAAACTATGAGCATCACCAAATGATCGAGAGACTCTTGAAGGCCATTTTCCAAGCACCGCACACTTCGACAGATGCTGAAGAGGAAGACGATGCTCCCGCTCCCAATCAGACCGTCGGCTGTCTCGCCTTCAGCCCTGCCATGGACAACGTCAACTCCAAGATGAACAAATATGGCGTTCCACCGCAGAACTACATGCGGGCATTGTTACATCGCTCGATCCTGTTTGCGGACGGTATGATCCTTCCTGCAAACATCATCAGCAATTCGACGGTCCTTGTCGATGAGGTGTTGTTCCAGGGCGAACGTGATGAGCTCAACGAAGTCTACCTCCGCCACCTTTACCCTGCCCTGCCTACCGAGTTCAAAGACGGGCCTGGGAAACTTCGAAGGTTCCTCGATTCTAGGCCCAAGACCTTTATCTTCGAGTCCGTCAACGACGACCATATTGCGCGCATGGACGACTTCTTTGACGACCCTGCAAACGCCCATCAAATTCTTTACTTCGACGAAAGCTTACTGGGCCGAAACTATGGCAAATATATACGGACAGCCGTTGATCCATTGCATAGGGAGACTACCGTATCACATCTTGTTAGGCTTTGGAAGCATGTCGAGGCCGGAGGGGGTTGGTCGGAACACCCCGATCACAGCGAACGTTCCTCTGCTGCTAGACACGCAGCTGAGGATCTGACGGACTCTCTCTTCCTCCTGTCAACATTGCTCCCAGAGGCCGTGAGGAGATCGCCGTTGTACAAATTTGCCGATCTCTTCGACGAAGCCAGCGACAGGGACAGCATACTTGCATTCTTAAGAAGCGACGCTGGAGAAGAGGCTAAGCTGCAGCTGTTGAAGGCGAGGGATCGCATCATCGAGAAACCATGGCTCTACAGTCCCTTCTGCCACGAACTGTTCGATGCGCCTTACCGGGCTGCGTTGGCGTTCGACTATGCATCCCGTGCTGCAGTCGAGCCAGTGCTCTTTCTCGAAGAAGATGAGATCCCCTCGTGGGAATTCATGTCATCGGACTGTCATTCAAAGGCCTTTCCGACCAACTTCGCGGCCTTCCCTATATCAGCGGACAGCCATAAGTACTCCTCGCTTCTGCTGAGCCAGATGACCACCGCGACCTTGCGAAAGGCGAGAAGAGATCTGGCGCCATTCCGAGCAAAGATCGTTGAAGGCTCGCCGCTTGTAGAAGACGACGTGGTCAGAATGAAGGATGCCATGGCTTCTTTCGAGAGTCGTTCGCTCGCGCTTCCTGACGTTGAGATCAACGCGCTCATCGACCTCGACCCGAATGTGAAACAGGTGGCAGAACTGCTGCTTGCCCAGTGTGTCTTCCTGGTCAGGAACGGTCCACCACTTGACCCAATGTACGAAGAAGCACAGATTGCCCTTCCGGGTCTGCTGGCGCTGCGCCGGCAGCAGGGCTGAACAGCGATCCTGTGTGGAAAGAGTGTTGCTTATGAGACTTTCGGCGTGTGCGCGGCAGATGTCACCGTGCAGCAAGCTTCCCAATTCCCTGCTCCCTGCCACGGCGTTTCCGTCGTGCACAGCGTGATTGGTGCGGCAACTCTTCGCCTCTTCGGCTGTACCTTTCCACGTCGACTAGGAATGCCAGGGCTCAGCCCAGCTTCGACTTCTCCGCACTGCCGTCCCAAAGTTCCCAATATCGCCACGCGGAGTGACAATGGGTGCACGGTCGATATATTCACGGTCCTACACCTCGTCCATGAGGATGTTACGGACTAGCAGTGACGGTCTACTTTCTAACCGACTGTGCAACGTGCGAGAATGCTGTTTGACAAGACCCAGATCCTGGCGGACTTCGACGATCTAGTCGCCCGGCAAATAGTCCTCTACGGTCCAGCGTCGGTCATCAGCCTTAGGGATAAAGCTTTCCAGGTAGGAGAAGGTCGCTTCTATGGTTTTGTCGTCACAAACTGATGACTCTCCCGCAGTTCGAGTTCCGCATCTGTCCCGCGCTGGCATCGAAGCCGGCGACAATTGGCGCCACGGAGAATGCTGCATTCGACACGGTTCCGAAATATGGCCCGGGGAGCGACCTCGCTGACGCCGATCCGAAATTGGTTGTGTCAAAAATCCACGATACTCACCTGCTGGTTATGAACCGGTTCGCCGTCTTCCGGCCTCAATACTTGATCCTAACCCTGGACTCGTTCAGGCGGCAGACCGAGAGCCTCGACCGGACCGACCTCGTTGCCGCGTTGGCGGTCATGCAAGCTCTGCCAGACGAACACTTCGTCATGTTCAACTGTGGGAATGAGGCCGGCTGCAGCAGACTGCACAAACATATGCAGGTTATCCCCTGTTCGAAGGGTTTGACACTGTTCCCCGATCAGGATGGCCTCAACCCCATGGACACTCCATTCAAGTACTTCATTGAACCGATCGATTCTTCGATACACGCCTCACCTGGTCGGCTGCATTCGATATATCGCAGCCTCCATGGAGAGGCTCTGCAGGCGTGGCAATCTTGCACAGAAACGACGCTGGAATACTTCCCGCACAACGTGATGCTGACCAAACGCTGGATCATGGTCGTTCCCCGACGCCGAGCAGCGTTCCAAGGCGCGAGTGCCAACGCCGCCGGCATGATGGGTATGGTGTGGCTGACGAATCCACGGCAATTGGACAGATGGGAGGAGATCGGCCCTGCTCGAGTGCTCGAGGAGCTTGGAGTCCCAAACCGACGTGGCCAGCCCGCTAAGAATACCTCTAGCTCTCACATGTAGAAAAAGAAATGTTGTTGTTGTCGGACCTCGACATGCCCTGCGCAAGGCCATCAACCGCTACACCTAGCCCAGCACCCCTTCTCTGACCAGGTTCTCGTACAGCGCCCACGCCGCCAGCGTTTTGGCGTCTCGCGCGCCCTCCCTCCACAGATGGTCATATTCCACCAACCTGACCTGGATCTTCTCGCCCTCGGTTCGATTGCCCGTCAATTTCCCCCTCAGCCGCTCAATGTCCCGCCTGGCCATGACTTTTTCGCAGAAGAAAAGCGCGACAAATTCATCACATGCTCCAGGACTCGGATACACGGCTCTCTGCAAATGGTCGTTGCCATCATCCCGCACCGCCACCGCCAGCTCCGTCATGTCGACCAGCTCCTCCCGCCGGACGGTCAAGCCCGTCTCTTCTTGGATCTCCGTCGCCGCGGCGCCTACAAACGCGTCCTCGTCGTCATCGATCATCCCCGCGGGGATCTCGCAAAAGGCAAGACTCCCAGCGGGTACGCGCGGTTGCTGCGTCATGACGACGAATCTTTTGGAGATGTCGTCATCGTCGTCCGGTCTTACGATCATGAGGACCGCGACGCTGCCGCCTCGGAGGAAGACGATGCCCGGGAGAGGTCGTGCGTCCGACGCGCTCTGTACTACCGTGTCCAGGAGCACGAAGAGGATGCGCTGCGGGCCTGCCCATTCGACGGAGCGGACGGTGACGCGGTGGAGCTGGTAGGGTGAGTCGTGGCATTGCCGGTGCCCTTCAGGGCGCCGTTGGTCGTGTTGGTCGTGTCGGCGCTGCTGCTGCTGTTGGTGTTGCCTGGCTATCGACTGGCGTAGCGCGGAGAGCCAGTTCTTGAACGGCCGGAAGGCGAGGAGCTGGTCCTTGGTCACGTTCGAGGGGATCGTCACCTCTACTTTGGGAGAATTGTCGATCCAGTCGGGGAGGATGAATGAGGACATGCTGTAAGTGAGGAATAGTCCTCACGGGCAATTTCAGAGCTGAAGAGTCTTAGAGTTGGAGAGTTGCAACTCGTTACGAAGCACGGCTATGGATGGGATAGTGAGATCCAATATCCCAGTTAGGGGCCACGATGAGCCTTATATAGATGGTACAGCACGTACGGAGTAGTAGTACTCGTCCGTGCAACTTTCAGACATGTTCGGGGCTGTACGTAGGTGGTGGCGGGTATCTCATCTTGATTTGAGACATGCTAATTCAACACATCTGAATCCAGGACGCTGTATGTGCATTCGAGTCTAACGTTGGAAGCATACGGCAAGGCTTCACGGGCCCTTTGGCTAGGCACAAACAGCCACATGGCAGGGACAGGCACTGGCACAGCCAAGGCGGACACGCAGCACGGATCCACCGGTGGTCGATCTGGCATCGTGGCACCCATGGGCTCGCCTAGGCCACAGGAGTAGCTCAGGTACCTAGGAAGCTACCTAGGTACCCAGTAGTTAGCACCCTCGCACCTACGAAGTACTTTGGTACTTGCTTAGAGGTGCCAGCCACACAGTTCGCCACTAAGGTAATTAACCAAGTTATTGGGGTCAGTTAAGTTAGTGGCCTCGCCAAAAGTCGCCTCTCCAGCAGCGAAAGGGGGGCGGCTTAGGCAGCTTAGGCAAAGGCTAGGCAGCTTCCACAGTCAAGCGAGATCGTGGGGAATCTGTGGCATCCGGAGTGTTTAGGCACAAAGCCTACTCGTACGAGTACATCGAGGTGCCTCGCCGCAAACGGCTCAGGCACTCTTCGGGATGATCTCTTCTAGCTCTTAACGCAAGCACGTAGCGTGGGGATGCCTCAGCCTCGCTACGGGCTACATAGGACGCAGCACACCGCACACATAATGTGAACATTAGTGGTGCGCACGTTGAAGCTCACTTTCCGTGTACACAGTACCTTTGGTTAGCTTGATCTGCCTGGCCTGGGTGCTGCTTCACTGCCCTTTCCAGGAATACCAGTGAACGCCCATCACTGGCCAAGTAACGTACGTTCTTTGCTCGGCGGGCATCAGGGTGATGGTCGCAGACTGGCCGCAAAACAGCCTGATGGCAGCACGGCATGCGCTGCTGGGTAGCCTCTGATCGGGGCCCGACTTGAGGCAACTGTAGATTCGGAAAGGGATTCCGTCTATTGCTCACATCCAGTCTCAAGATGATGGTCATGCATGATCCGGTGACCAGAGCTTGACATCACAGGAGTACCTATGGTTCGGTGGTATTGGGCAAGTGTGAGGTGAGTGTGAGATGAGTTGTAGGTGAGTTGTGGGTGAGTGCCAAATCAGTGTCAGAATGATGTCAGGCTTAGAACTTAGGCTTCGTCTACGACTGCAGGCCCGACGACGACCCCATCAAACTCACCAACTTCACACCGAACCACCTTCTAGGGATACTTGGACGATGAGTCCGACCGCTCGTCACTTCGACAACGACGAAACTCCTTTGCGTCATGCGGATGCTCACAAAGAACTCATCGCCTCCTTGACACGCATCAACACCTACAACCCGCCAGTTCAAACTTGCTCGACAGGATGGACATTTCACGGATTGTATTATGGCCCAACCTCGGTAGCATACCTGTTCTTCCGCCTGTCTCAGCTCTACCCTGATCTTGCCTTCAAAGGCCAGTCACTTCTCGACTGGGCTCAGTCATACCTGGACCTGGGCATCACCGGCCACCGTGACCGCGTCGACTCGGATCATTGTGGAATTGGAAGTGAGGTTCTCGCACAGCTGGCCCTCCGTGCCGCCATAGACCAGGACCATAGCCTCGTGCAGAAGCTCTGCTCTTATGAAAGCACCGTCAACGACGCAGGCGGCTCAGACGAGTGGCTGTACGGCCGATCAGGATATCTTTACTATCTTCGTCTTACCCGGTCAGCGTTCGAGGATGCCTCCAAGTCTACGGAGATGATCGACACGGCGATACACAAGACGGTGCAGAGAATCCTACGCTCCAAATCCCCTTGGACCTGGCATGGCAAGGCGTACGTGGGCTCCGCGCATGGCGCATTCGGCATCCTCGCTCAGCTTGTTCTCTCCTCACCACAGAGCGCTGAGACACTGGAGCCCCCGCTGACTTCACTACTGGACACACAATTCCCTAGCGGGAACTTCCCATCGGCGCTGCCGCCGGGTTCTGACAAACTCGTTCAATTCTGCCACGGAGGCCCCGGCGCGGTTCTCGCACTCAGATCACTGCGGCCACATTTCCCCAATCTGCAAGCAAGGATCGACTCGGCGACCAGAGCGGCGCAAAAGGACATTTGGAACCGAGGCCTTTTAACCAAAGAGCCCTGCTTGTGTCATGGAATCTCCGGAAACGCACTGGCCCTCGACGACGATGCCGAATTTGAGCATTTCTTGGCTAGGACGACGACTGACTCGCTTGAAGCTCTTGGCTGGTTAAAGGCAGCAGGAAGAGACGACCAATTCGTCGGACTTTACACCGGCGAAGCGGGTAGAGCCTGGACTTGGGCCGTCAAGGATAAGCAGTTGCGAGAGAAGCCTTGCATTGGGTTCAATGACCTATGAAGATCTATGCAACACGGAACGTAAGAGCTGCAGAGTCGTGTCGTGGTGGAGCCTGTCCAGATGCGTCTGTCGTCGCATCATCCTTCTTCCTCGACGATCTTCCCGTCCTTGATATACACCTCTTCCCAACCGAGCGTCCACTGGGCCGACTCCCACTCAAACAGCTGATTCTCATCTGGCATGACGACTTGCTCATAATACGGGTCCTCGCGCGCCTTCTGGAAGCAAGAGGCGTCCAGCATCAAAAACTCCCCCACGCCATCGAAGTCGAGCTTCTTCAAGCCTCCAAGCGCAGGAAAGTCTGCGATAGCGGTCGTCGCAGCGGACGAATGGGTATGGTACTGTCTGACAGCATCAGCAGGAGCATGTCGGCCAGGAATTCTATGGGCTGTGCGCTGCCTCTAGCATTGAGGTAGGGGGAAGAAGCGCCGGCAAATGGCGGACAACGGAAGCCGCTCAGGCTCAACTGACCTGAGTATACTTCACAATACCGTGCCTGGCAAGCCAATCGAGCACCAGCGCTCTGTGCTTCTCGGTCCAGTGGCGGTGGAATTCATCTTCAGTCAGATGGCTCTTGCGCTTGGCGAACAGGGAGAGTTTGACCAGGCGCTGCTTGGTCGCCATTGGTGGTCGACGTGGCGACGATTTCGGGGTCACTGGAGGATATGAGCGCAAGACAGGGGAAGACGTCCTTATTCCAGAATGGACATATATATGATCTACTCGTAGACAGGGCTCACGACATGGGCACTGTCCTTTCTGCTTCGTTGGCAGCAGCCTTGCCCCGCTTCACAGGGCTGCGCTACTTCTTGTTGACGGGAAAACGCCGGTGTTTGGTGTTTTGTGGGCATCTTTCTCCACGACGTTTCCGACAATCCGCGCCTCGTCCCTCGTCTTGCGCAGCTAAGCCTTCATGTTCAAGCCGAAGATGGCGGTCGCGCTGGTGCCTACGCTATGTAACGCCTTTATCGTCACTTGCGACAATCATCGCGCTCTCTTCGATCCCTGACTCACGCGTAGAAAAGCCGCTGATATGGCATTCATTCGGATGTACCAGGATTCGGACAAGGATGCAATGATACAAATCGTCAGTTGCCCCGTCAGAAACATCGAGATCGAATTTGACACGAATTCAGTTCCGCGAGACGTGTGCCCCGGATCTCATCGCCGCAGGCGACACTGTCCTCCACTACGCTTCCTTCCTGTGGTGTCGACCCTACTTGATGTTGGGGCCCGAAAGCTGCTTCGTTGTAGATGACGGCACGGGACGCGCAGTGGGGTATCTCCTCGGCGTCCCCGACACGGTCGGCTTTGTGCAGGATTACCGGGAGAAATACATACCGTACTTGAGGTCGGAAGGGTTCGAGAAACCCGGGCCCGACGAGCCCACGGGCTGGGACGAGCACCTCCCCAATGCGCTCAGGCAGATCATGTTCAATCCAGAAGGGATGTTGCATAAAGACCACCCACAGATGATGGAGCAATGGCCCGCGCATCTGCATATAGATCTGCTGGACACTCACCAGCGGCAAGGCTGGGGTCGACAACTGATTGATCGCTTCTGCTCGCTGGCCAAAGAACGGGGCGCCAAAGGAGTACACCTGGGCATGGCAGCAGCGAACGAAAACGCCTACAAATTCTACGCTCGCGTGGGATTCAAGCGGTTCCCTGTTGTGCTCGACAACGGTGCGAGTGGTGAGGAAGGCCAGAACGGCAATACTATCTGGCTGGTCAAGACTCTTTGAATCCGGTGGGGTGATTCCGACAACTACACAGTACCTCGTATGTTCTGAGTAGCTGGTATTGATATCATAATCACGCCAGCGAGCTGATGGTCGTATGCTATCATCAGAGTCTCCTGCTAGCGGTGCCGATGATATTCCCGAAGTCATCCGTACTGCGTACTGTGGTACTGGACCAGCTCCAGCATGCGGTGGCATGCGGCCGAGGCGGCGCGGCATGTGTCGGCTTTCGAGGCAGATGGGGCCGGCAAGAGACCTTTGCGACCTTCCTACTCGTAGTACGGAGTACCCCAGTAAACAAAAGTACGGTAGGAGTAATTGGCGCACAGCAATATCGTCTGCTACTCGTACTCGTACTGGGTACGTGTCTCCTTGGCGGCTCCATTCGTTACATAATCGACGTGTTCCCTCTGTTGCCTCAATTCCGGCGCGTTGTTCAGCGTCTCGTCTTCAGCCATGAACATGAGACAGAGATTGCAGCAGCCGAACAGCTCAATGTGGATCGACTCACATGCTCGTTTGAATCCGCTCAAATGTCGACGCCATCGACGCCTCATGTCTCGTCTCTTGTCCATCGGCTCATTCCATGCTTATGCGAGTGAGTCTCTCTCAGGCGGCCGATCACTCGTGGATCGGCTCCCCTTTGATGAAACATGTCAGCAGCGCCGCTTAGGGACTCGGGAGATAAGCTTTGCAGCCCACAGTAAGCATCGTCGCCGAGAGCAATGCTGAGTACACAGTATATATCCCGTCGCGGACCACAGACTTCGTGACGCCGTGTCGAGAGAGCCGATCCTGGTGTCCCTGCGTGCCCGAAACACAGGTCGTCTTCTCATCCGCCGCTGCCAACGCCGACGACAGAACTAGACGAATTCTTCGAGCCGTCCTCGAATTGCACACCCGTCTCTCGTGTTGCAGAATCGCCCGCTTGCCCCAAGGCTCGACGCCAGCATCCATCTGCCTGGTACGGCGGTCCAGATATACGTCGGCTGAGTCGCTGCAATGGTCTTTCCTGCGACGGGTCCCGTGCCCGAAATACCCAACAAGGACATCTGCTCGTGGATATTTGACGAGCCAAAGTATGATGTGAACAAGCCGGTAAGTATATGCAACATCATCCCCACGCGATCGACTGCTCTCGGCTTACGCGTCGAAATGCCAGATCTTCGTCGATGCAACAAACACCAGCCGCTCAATATCGCACGTCCAAGCACGCAAGATCATCCGTCAGTTGATCGCGGGGTTACACAAGGCCGGCGTCAAACGGGGCGATTGCGTGCTCATACATTCGTTCAACGACATCTACTACCCGATCTTCTTCCTCGCCATCACCGGCGCAGGAGCAGTATTCGCCGGCTCGAATCCGGGATACACGCCCCTCGAACTGAGACATCACGCCAAGATAACCAACGCGCGATTCCTCATCAGCGAACCCGAGCTCCTCGAACCGCTCCTCGAAGCCGCAAACGAGACGGGGATCCCGCGCTCCCACATCCGCATCTTCAACACCCAACCCAGTCAGACCATCCCGGCCGGCTTTCTCAGCTGGACCGAGCTCCTCGACCACGGCGAAGAAGACTGGGTCCGCTTCGACTCGCTCGCGACCAGCACGACCACGCCGGCCGCGTACTTTACCAGCTCCGGCACCACGGGCCTCCCAAAGGCCGCCATCACGTCGCACCGCAACCTGATCGCGCAGCACGAACTCATCTACTCGCCCACGGTGTACAAGCGCACGTACGAAGTGATCAACATCTACCCGCTGCCCATGTTCCACGCGGCCATCGCGCCGCGGTGCCACACGTCGACGCTCAAGCTCGGCGAGACGAGCTACGTGATGCGGCGGTTCGACCTGGAGACGTACCTGGCCAACATTGAGAAGTTCAAAGTCACCGAGCTGTACCTCGTGTCGGCCATGGCCGTGGCGATCGCCATGTCGCCACTGCTGAAGAAGTACTCGCTGCGGTCGATCCGGGCGGGCCTCGCGGGCGCGGCGCCGCTCAGCAAGGAAACCCAGGCGGCCATCCGGGTATACCTGGCGCCCGGCGCGCCCTTTTGCCAGGTCATGGGCATGACCGAGGTGTCGTGCATCTTGACCATGTTCCCCTGGCCCGAGGACGACGTGACGGGGTCCGTCGGCCGGCCCATCCCGGGCGTGGAGCTCAAGCTGGTCGACGACGCGGGCGCCGACATCACGGCCTACGACGTGGCCGGGGAGATGTGCGTGCGCGGCCCCACGGTCGTCAGCGGCTACCTCAACAACCCGCGCGCCAACGCCGAGTCGTTCGACGCCGACGGCTTCTACCACACGGGCGACATCATGTACTGCGCCGGCCACTCCAAGCTGTGGTACGTGGTCGACCGCAAGAAGGAGCTCATCAAGGTGCGCGGCTTCCAGGTCGCCCCGCCGGAGATCGAGGCCGTGCTGCTCACGCACCCGGACATTGTCGACGCCGCCGTCATTGGCGTCCCCGCCGCGAGTGCGCTCGATGGGGAAGCCCCGCGCGCGTACGTCGTGCGCAGGCCCGGCGTTTCTCCGGCCGAGTTGACGGACCGCGACGTCTACGACTGGGTGGCGGGGAAATTGACCAAATATAAGCGCCTCGACGGCGGCGTGCAGTTCCGCGACGTGATTCCGAAGAATGCAAGCGGCAAGATCTTGAAGCGCATCCTGAGGGACGAGGCAAAGAAGGAGGTGGCCGGCCCCAAGTTGTAGATTTTATGTGTCACTGTTACCGTTGATTGATATGGCGGACCCTGAGCGACTTGCGTGTGTGGCTCGCTCGTGTGCGTATAGTATCGAAACCAGGATTTTAGAAATATCGTATTAGTCAGTATGCCCTCGTCGTTCGAAAAAATATCGTATCAAGTCAGTCTGCCGTCCTTGTTCAACTCCCCGCTGACCGTTTCCTTGTCGACGAGTTCGGAAAAAAAAAAAGACAATGAATGAGGTGACGAGAAAAGGGAACTCGCCGTATCCTGCGAGCAGATGGACTTCAAACACCGAGCTCATGCCATTGGATACGGTGGTACATGATACTTCCAACAGCCAAAAGTGGACGGGTACGGTCCTTCGACATGGCGGTTTTGGTCAATAGCCAAGGTTCTGCTCCGTACGCCGGTACGTTATGAATTACCTCGTTCTTTGCATTGGGCGAAGCAGCCCTGCTTAAGCGCTAGATTTCCCATTTGCGTGATTGACCCGGGCGTTGATGGCTAATTTAAAACTTGATTTGGCTGTATAATGATCGCTTGTCGATTAAGAATACTCCGTGCAAAACTTGCGTACCTAGGTACAGTGTGCCACGCTCATAAATACATAAAATACATACATACACGCATCATACACGCATCATATCCCGGGGCTTCCTGTGTGCTTCTCCCAAGGTGGATGCTGAGACCTCCTCAGTCCAACAGAGCCCCAAGTCAAGTCCAGAATCGTTTGCGCTGGACAGTCGAAAAAGGAAACTCATAACCTGCTGCATATCGCTATGCGGTGGCAGTAATATACCCTCCATTTCTTCAGGTGGCTCTTGGTGCCTCTGAGGCGCTATTGTCGGCGTGGGGGGTTGAACTTGAGAATGAATGTTGTCGTTGACTGCTAGTGCAGCATGTTTGGCAGATTCGTGACGGATGTTGGGGACACGTAGGGGTAATCCCGAATGATTGCCTTCGAGGGCTGTCATCTCGCCTCATCGCCACCGAGAGGAGGGGATTAAGTGCTCGTTGGCCAATGCCCTTTGCCCGAAGGTTCTTAGATCTCTAGCACGATATCCCCGCCATGGTGGCGGTAGGCTCACGTCGTCCACTGCCAGCTCTGCATTCCGTACTGCTATTGCCGCGTTGACATTGAGGCAGTTGACAAGAAGCGACAGTCGCAGAAGCTCTGACGCAAGAGCTCGTTTCTGAGAGCGACCACTTCATCATGCAGAGCAGAGACCAGCGAGCTCTGGATGTGCATCTTCTCCTCCTCCCGCTTGCACCGATGTTGGAGCTGTTCGATAAAGGCCTTTTGGCGATTTCGACATTTTGTCGCCGCTTTGCGGTTCAGCTCCAGCTCCCGGGCGTGTTTGTCGGAACGTGGGGTGATGCGCCCCGTGGTGGTTTTCTTCCGCTTGGCCGGGGTGTTCCTCGGCCTGTATGAATCCTCCTGGAGGTCGCTTGTCGCCAGGGACAAGCGCCGCAGAAATTGTTCACGACTGAGTGACGCAGAAGTCGACGTGGAATCTATCGAGCCCGTTCTCCTTGGTAGAGATGCTTGGCTGATGGACGACGGGCTTGAGGCGTCGGCATCCTGTGCATGCAACTCCCCTGGCTGGACGAACTCGGGCATACGCCTTTCGGAGGCGAGTGTCGATAAGGTTGGCGCCGGTAGCCCCGAGAAATCATCGAGAGCGGATTCACGAGCAGCGCCCGGGATGTAAGAGAGGTCGTTGGGGAGCTCGAAGTCCCATGGATTGGTACTTGGGCCAAAGTTGGTCTGGAACTCGCTGGTCAAAGCCATGATCTTGGTTAGTGCTGATGTTGCTTCTGACTTCTGTGGTACTGATTATCAAGAATGCGTTCACGACCACTACAGATTACCTCCAAACATTCTTGTATGGCCTCATGGTCAATATGTGTGGGGTAGGGGAGCTCTATGGCAATTTTTCGTCACTGTCCGTTAAAAGCACTAAAATGCCATGAAATCTAGGACGAAGTATCCGAAGCCCTTGACACGTCGATTCTGCGATGAAACGACGCTGGATGTTTCTCCCGGGCGGACTCGTTGTGACACGCGTACCGGTGATAGGTTGGCGTTCTGGAGGCCGCCGGAAATGTTACGCCGCCGGCCAGTCGCGGTGCTCGATTCGCTGCCCTTATCTCCGACAGGACCAGGGGTGAGTACACGGTACGAGGTACTGGGTAAGCGTGGCATGAACACTGGTGGAGTAACAAGGACCCGCTCGCCGTTGAGGCGCCTGTGAAATCCAGCTCTCCACCGCGGAGGAGTCAGGACACCAGCTGAAGCCCTAACACCGGATATTGGAACCGGGAGGGGCACGTTTTTGGGCGACGGAGCAAAGCGATTGGACGAGCTAGTGCTTAGATCGGCTCGGCGTGCCTGCGGATTAGACTTCACGGTGAGAGCACAACTGCAGATCGCTGCTGAAGGGGAAGTCCGCCAGACAATGTACGGGACGCCCACGCCAAGCCTGGGAGAAATATCCGATGGAGCATCTGCAAAAATGCGGTGCAGCCAGGAACCATGATTCAGGAAGAGGCTTCCTGGGGTTTAAAAAGGCGCAAGACCGGGGCACACTCTGTCGCCGTGATCTGGTTGTGTTTACGGAGTACAATCGCGGCGTGGGACGTACAGACGAGACGTGGTCGACATCGCAGCACCCCGAGATGAGATGAAATTCAAGGGCAAGGGGGAACGATCAGTGCGCGACAGCACCAGCGTCCCGCTTGTGCTTTCCCTCCATAGCGAGGAGTAATTACACTGCACGCCGCCCGCCACTCGGTGAAATTTAGCGGCAGACTCGACAGTCCGATACTGGTACCGTGTACGGTGTACGGTGTACGGTGTCCTCGTCCTCCCGTAACAAGATGGTCTTTATCTGACACTGCTGTCTCCGCGTCCTGCGATCGCTTAGGCACGGACAAGCCTCGGCTCCCTACGAGTACGAGGATTGGGCTTATCACTCACTCGTCGCTCACAGTGCCCCGCAGACCAAATGCCTGTGGGCGCGAGATCCTAGCATATGATGTCATTGCCCACGGCGGATTCCCTCGACCACGTCCCTGTTTTTACTGCATGTGCCTTACCGGAATCTATTTCAGAGGCTCCCTACTCAGCTTCGCATTGGTTCGTCCGAGGGTTATCCAGTTCCTCTGAAAGGACTGGTCCGTTCAACAATGGATCTGTCCCCCAGCATGTTGATCCTGGAAATCTGCCGTGGACGGGTACTATTTGTTTCTCGCTCAAATGTACGAGTCACTGGCCGCATAAGTCTGCGTTCAAGTAGCATCTTGCAAACCCATCTCAGATGTTATCGTAGGACCGAGGATCCAGACACCCAAAATCTCAGATATTGAAGACCAGCCAACGCGAGCCCGGTCTCCGTCTCAGCCGTTCCAGTTGATCATTTTCGCCGTGTGAGACATGAAGGCCCAAAGGCCAGGACCGAAGCCCAATGCTGGTGCGAAGGCGACATCGAAGGAGAAACGAAGGACTTCCCGAGGGAGGACTTCGCGTGCGTGAGTCCTTGCCCGCCAGTCACACATAACTCTCCGCCGATTCTCCATGACCAGGGCTGTTACAGCAGAGGCTAAAATTGCGTGTCGATGCAGATGTGATCGTTGCAGAGTCAAGAAGGCAAAAGTAATTATTGAGCCCCGTTTCCATGAAGACGAGCCTCGTGTTAACCGACCACAGTGCGATGGCGCCCAGGTGTGCAAGACCTGCCAGGCAAGCGACAGCCTGTGTGTATATTCTGCCCGGAGACGAGAGGCAAGGAATTAGTAAGGGTGCTTCCAATCCCGCTGGGAATGCTGGATCTGACACTGCCCCAGTTACTGCCAGATGCGAGAAGTCACAGATGCCGCCCTCCAGCGACTATATTGGGCTTGCCGAAGGAAAACCGGGTTTCCAGGACAGATTCCCGACGAGTCAACGGGCGTGGTCACCACCACCGACATCCTGAAGGGCATGGGCCTGATCAAGCCAGAATTTGACGAGTTTGAGTTGCCGAAACAGACGGAGCAGAATATACATGCGGCCGGGTCTTCAGATCGGCGCAGGCGCCCTCTTCCGGCCATCAAGCCTCGCGGCCACGAGGAAGACAGCGACCGTCAGTCCAGCGCATCCTCCGACTCTACTGCCAGCAGCCCGCCGTTACCGAGCGTCCGTCCTGCAGATATCCCGGACACCACGTCGCAGCCAGCGACGCCATACGAGGAGATCGATATGAAGGATCAATTCTTGGCGTACTCGCCCACCACCAAACCCGTGCGGCCCGATGACAGAATCAAGAGCCCCGCGGGACACAATCCGCTATTTCACCAAGTCGAGACCACGGCCGACTCGCAGCATATGGACGTCGATGCATTCCTCGACATGAGCTTCTGTGCGCCAGCCACCTCAGCGCCGCAATCGGTATACACTCACTATCGATCGACGCCATTTAGGATGCCGCCCATGGCTGCGCCTCATTTTCCCGAGGTGCAAGCCAACCCACCGCCGCCCGACCTTATCTACGACGACTTTCTTTCGCCGTGGCCAGGATCCATGGCAGCGGCCCATCAGTCCGTGGCTATATAACTATTAGGGTGGTGGCTTTCCTGAACATTTTTCCACATGTATCACTTTTACGACAACTCCGTCGACTTTGTTACAAATTGGTGACGCGCGGAAAGAAACACTTTCGAGCTCTCGACATCAAAAACCATTCTTTGAATTGGCGGGGTTTGTTTTGAGCGTGCCCGATTATTGTTGGGCTTTGCATGTTAGGTTGGGGGCGGTCCCACTACTGGCCAATATCAGCCCTTCGGGCCCATGTCTGTCACTGGGGGCAATCTGTATACATAGTTAATGCGGCGATTTTGCTTCGGCTACGGCTACGGCTACGGCTGCTATCGTCCAAAGCTACAGGAGCCTGAAAGTTTCTTGCTCACGGCTTCTCGTCTCCTCTGCTTCAACAGCGCACCACGTACGAGTACTGTATGGCATACCGAGATAAGCTTGTTCCCGGGGTCTACGAGACGCCGCACTCCAAACTGTACACAGTACGAGTAACTCCGTACGGCTGACTGGTTATTGCCTGATCGGCGCATTACCCCTCTCACAAGAACTACAAGTACGGGGGACTGTACTCGTATCCCGCAGGACCCTGTGGAAATCACCGTGTCGCGAAACAGTAAAAGAATCCAAGAGAGAGAGAGAGAATGAATGAGGGGTAAGCCGGCCTGCCCCGTTCGGAAATGCACACACAGAAACTCAGAGGTTTCCCCATTGCAGAAAGGATCGACATTTTCGCTTCAGGATTACGGATTATTCTTCACGGTGTCCCATCTGGGTGCCATCCTTGGACACGAGGGGGTGAAGTCATCGTGCAGGGCTGCCACCCAAGCTTGCCCACCGTCTCACCACTGCTTCTGAGTAGTACGGAGTAGGCTCTCGCTTATTGTGGATTTCCGGCGGACGAGTGAGTACAGTAACCACAGTACACAAGTACCCACAGTACTGTGAGTACACGTACTCGTACGGCTCCCCTTGACGAGGTGAGCGAGGCAAGAGGAGAAGGCCATCCTTCCGGGAGGGGGGTGGCTTTCGAAAACCTCTCGGAGCGAAGGTGACTAGCGCTGTTGATCTGATGCTGAATGCTGATGATGTGATGCTGATTTTCGAGGGGTTTGTTTTGCGGGCGGCCTGTAATTGGAGGAAATACACTTCCTCACTCTCGGTTGTGGTGCCGCGACAAACTGCAAGTTTTGGCGGTCCCATGTTCGCCCCCAGGGCCTGTAGGGAGTACTGTACTCGTACTGCGAAAGCTTGTGTCGCGCACGGGGCCCGCCGAATCTGCCCGCGGCAGGAACTCCAAGCGGTCCCTCGTACCAGTGTTGCAAGCGCAGGACTCATCTTCAGTCGGTGAGGGGGGAGAGAATCCGAGTATTACTGCGTAGCACCCGGACGAGGATGAGGTACATAGGTACTCACGTGCTAGCTGGGCGGACCCGAGGACCGGAGAAAACATCCAGCACTGAAGCCTCCCCGCTTCCAAGGACTGCTTTCGTGGTACGGGCTATGAGGTACCTGTCCTTGTGAGCACCCCACAGCAATCAGCAACGCGGCAGGCGCAGTCGCCACCGCTGAGGGGGTGCCCAACGGCATTTGAAACCATCGAGTGCGAGTATGCTGCGTTGTCCACAGATATCGAGACGGAGATCTTGCACACCATGCAAGGAGCACGAGTATAGTCCACTGCAGCAGCTCGACTTCCTGGGACAGGTCAGGCTTCGTTGGGAAAGAAGGTGGAACAACCAAGCTACAGTACTGTGTAGTGCCCTTCTTGTGGAGGCCCTCATATCGAACATCATTTGCACTGCTTTACAGAGTGTCAAATGATAGCCGCTCTTCACCGCCTGCGGCCAGTGGACTTCGAGGACCACAGAGCGCGAAAAAAGATCCTCAGACTAGCTTATTGATTGCCTTTGCTCAGACGTGGCGAGCGAGTCAGCAAAGGGCGGTGACATGCTGTTACAAGATCCGTCAAGCGATCGTAGCTCCCTGGGCCTTTCGGACCTTGCGGCACGTAGCCCCCGACCCGAGTTGTATGCATCGGATATGCACGTATACCCAGCATGTGCGTTCCATAGAGGTACGGGGCTACTGTAGCGACCAAGGGGGCGAGTATCGGTCGCCAAGACTTGCAAATGGTGAGCTGGAAGAGGGATCCCCCGATCAGTGATCTTGCTGGGCGTCGTCGATCGTCGACGCTCTTCCACATATCTTCGAAGGGACCCATCACGCCGTTGATTGGTGCCCTCCGATATCAAAGCCCCCATGCACCAGGCACGATGATGACTCCCGTCATCCTCGTCCTGCGTGCCCTCTTCCGGAAGTCGTGGTGTGCAGGGTGATGATCGTCCTGCTACGAATATCGGAACACTTGGGCTGAGGGTGGGCATGAGAGAAACACATATCCTCAAGGACAAACGCATATCCAACGAGTAGTTCTCGTGCTTTGGGATCGAGGTACACACTCAGACCGCACACTTGCTGACGTATTCCACTTGTTACCACTGTCCCTAACTAAGTGAGTCGCACAGGTGGCTACCATCGCTTGGGAGCCGAGACCACTGTCCGCGAGAATGATGCGCTCGCCTGTTCGAGCTTCTTCTGTCTCTCACGTGCCATAATTCCCGTCCGGTCCGTCACAGGTGTGGCGTTCGCTATTTGGTCGAAGTCGTCATACTCTTCCTCAGCGGAGCCGGACTCTGCGTCGGAGTCCACGAGCTGTGGGGGCTGTTCCGCGGGTGTCACTGTCGGGTTGGCATCGCTGTTGCCCGCTATATTGATGTTGTCGTCGTCGTCGGACTGTCGCTGATTCTCTTTCCTGGGAGGCTCTGCAGGGAAATTCTCCGCAAATGGTTTGGACGCGAGAATCTTTCGCCGAATCTCAGCCATCTCAGCCTCGTCGTCGTCATCATCTTCGTCGGGAGGCAGCTCCAACGGCACGCCTTGTTGCATGGTGTTGCCGTCGTCGTCTGCGGCTGACTCACTCTGACTATCTGCGTCGTCGTCGTCGTCGTCGTCGTCGTCTTCATCCGATTCGAACACATCTCGCCTATTCGTATTTCCACCAGCCCAATCATCAGCCTCAGCACCTGCAGCGTCCTTGTTGGTGCGACTTTCTGCATACTCCTTCTCCAGCTTCGCAAGCCACTTCTCCTCGGCCTTTTTGATCTCTTCTTCATTCTGACATGCTGCGTACCGTTTGAAGAGCTGGGAATTGATTTCGAGGAATGCCTCGCCGTAGGAGAAATGCTGTAACACAATCTCGGCCCAGTCGTGATGGCCGCAAATGGCGAAACATGCCGCTAGGGCCTCAACACAGTTCAAGCGCCATGGCTTCCCATAGTTGACGGAGTTTGCGGCCACAAGATACGGCAGGAGCCGTTCGCATTTCCCACCGATCCGTGAGAAAGGAACCTCTTGAAGCCTGATCCACGAGCATTCTACCACTGCGGCGCCATATTGCTCGAGAAGCTCACGGTCAGCCGGTGAGAGAATCGTCTTCGCGTTGGGACTACACGCAGGATGCGCGTGTCAGCATGGAATCTTGCAGAGTGTCTCTCCCGCGAGGGGATGAAGGGACAATGAGGTGAGTGCTCACGAAATGACCACTCCAGGAAATTTTTGGCCGACAGGCAACTCTCGCATCAGGCCAAAATGCATCAGTCGCTTCCCGCTGCAGCGTTTGGAGTCGCAGTGCCCAAAATCCCAACAAGCAGCCTTGAAAGGTGGGCGTTCTGCGACGACGTCATTGTCGTCGCCATCTCGTGCCGTCGAGCGCGGCGTATGTCGGGACTTGGTGGAATACTTCTTCGCTTTGGACGAGGTGTTGTCTTTCTTATGGCGCACCATTGCGGTAACGGATGGATCAGGCTGTCGAGACGAAGAACAAGCGAGATATTGTTGTAGCTAGATTGCTTGAAGAAAGAGTCACGTCGCCTCCCGGATCAGAGAAATCGCCAAGCTTTTTGCCCCGCTTAGCACTAATCTCGTATCTGCACGTGTTGTGGATTATCTACCGAGGATCTCCCGATCTGTCTCCCAGGTCGAACACAAACTGCACACCCTCGTGGGTTGGATTACAGATAGTTCTCCAAGTCCCTTCTGCAGGTCAACTTGCAAATATGGGCTTAGCCGTGCTGCCGCCAGATTCCGAAGACGAAAATGTACCCGTCCAGGTCTCAGACGTCGAAGAAGACAGCGATGCGTCCATGCAAGACGCCGATGAAGGGCGACCGTCGAAGCGCCGCCGACTGGCCTCCTCTTCTCGCCAGATTGCGCTGCCGGGAGAAGTAATCACCGATGATACGCAATGGATGAGGTAGGTATGGGGTACATGCCAAGCCGCAGTCCACGTATACTGTCCGCGTTGCTAACCTGCTCCACAGAGGACACGGGACGTATATGACCGAAGGGTCGCCCACGATGATCGCAACCCTCGCGGGACCCCTCAAAAAGACAAACAAGCTGCTATCCGTTGCGCCGCTGCGTGCACGATATACGCCCGAGATCGGAGACCTGGTGGTTGGGCGCATCGTGGAGGTGCAGAAGAATCAATGGAAGGTTGATGTGGCCGCGCCCTTGCTGGCTCTACTCCCGCTCTCGTCGATCAATTTGCCTGGCGGAGTTTTGAGGCGACGGACAACGGCAGACGAGTTGCAGATTCGCAACTACTTCCAGGAGGGCGACCTCTTGGTCGCCGAAGTGCAGCAGTTGAGAAGCAGCGACGGCACAGCCAATTTGCATACTCGGAGTCTAAAATATGGCAAGCTTCGGAACGGTACATTTCTGGCAGTGTCTGGAACTGGTGGCGGGGGCGGTGTCGTTCGAAGTCGGAGACAAGTTTTCACCATCAACAGTGGGGCTCAGGGTGGTGGCGATGTGGATGTGATACTTGGAGTCAACGGCTACATCTGGCTGAGCAAACATGTCGAGCAAGCGCAGGATCAAAGCAGAATGAGTGGCGGTGTCAGTATTTCTAATCTCGACGACGTTGTCAGCAGTGCCATCTACTCGAGCCAGAACGATGATATTGGGGAGGGCACCAGAAGAGAGATCGCGCGAATATCGGAATGTATTAAAGTGCTCGCTGAGGAGGGGGTGCGGGTCGACGAGGACAGCGTCATCAAAGCGTACGAAGCCGCTGTTGACGCTGAAATGGGGGTGATGGAGCAAGACGGCGTTCCTACCAGCTTCAGCGATGAAGTCAGGAGAAGGATTGTTGACGCTGCTCTTCATTAGACACCGGATGCTGCTGTAACAGCCATATCTGTACCACGAATGCGGTACGAGACGAGCGTATGGGGGAAAAAAAGGAAAAGACCCCGAAAAGAACGCCATTCCGCTTCATTACGGATACCATATCGTCGACTTCGTACTAATGATGGCGACACGAGAACTACGAGGCTACAATATACCCAAGTTAGTCGTACCAACCCGACGTCTCGACGTAGGGACCATTAGACGATGCAGGCCTCTCCTCCTTGGCTTTCTTCGACCACTTGTTGCGGTCTTTCATATCAGCCTCAGTCTTGCGCAGCGTGCCGCGAGCCAACCAGAACCCTTCATATTTGTGCCGTCTGGCCGCACCGGGCAGAACGTAAGCTACAGGCGGCGTGGCATACTTGCTTCGAAGGCCAGCGACGATGGGTTTAGAGGTTGTCCTGGTGGACCGAAAACTCGGTCGTGGATGCTGGGAAGACAGACCAGCACGCCCTGAAGCACGGCGGTAGAGCCCTAGAGCAGGTGAGTCTGGGGTAAATGAATAATGCGACGACACCGAGGGCGACCACGAATTGGTCTGACCCTGGTAGCGGGTTTTGATGAAGTCAGCAAGCTGATCGGTGGTTTGTACCGTTGCTGGCAACCCGTGCTCACGCACCAGCCGAGGATCAAGTTGGCCGGTGCCGTTGTCGTAGTGGCACTCCAGCAACGGACCGTCGTTTCGACTTGGTGCAGGACGAGGTAGAGGCGGAGGAGACCGAACTGGTTGTTGAAACGGGCGGAAGTCATAACTGTTGGCAGTCATCGGCCTGGATGAGCCAGCGCTGTTGTCAGCATCACCCCAGGGATTGCCGGACTTACCTCGCTTTGCGAACTCGGAGAATCTGAAACTCATGATGAATGCTTGAGGTGTCTTGGTGGGTACTCTCCACGAATTTAGTGGTGCGATAATCTTTTTGAAAGAAGTGGTAAGTTGAAAGATTTCGTGACGATGATCCCAAGGACGCTGAAAGAGAAATGAACGGCCCTCTGCACTGCGCAGGGCGATTGCCTGAGGACAATGGCACTCTTTGTCTCCATCTCCATCAGTGTCACAGCGTAGGCCATTTGCTGGGCAACAAAGAGCAGTGTTGTCAGCAGTTAGAGGGCAGTCGTCTCTTGCACAGCGGTCCCAACAAAGAACAACGTCTTTGTGCCGTTGTTACACGAGGGTGTCCGTGGTGATTACCGCGTTGCTCGTCCTCGTTGATTGTGCGGAGACGGAGATGGAGACGGAGCGGAGAATCTTCTGAATCCCGACAATGCCCGATTGGCCACCGTGGCAGCCAACGCAGCTCTAGGCCAGCTCCCACCAATGCCGCTGCATCCTCCCAGCTCACAGCCAGCACCAGACCGGCCGTGACCAGCTTCTGCCGTTGGTCGACCGAGGCATTTCGTGGCGGGCTGCGAGCTGGGAGCTTTCGCTTCCATCGTAGCGATGCAACGCGCAATGCGTGATGCCACTTTCGTAAACCCCGCTCACAAGTGTCGGCAAGTCCTCAAGATTGCCCTTGTCATGGACCTCAACTCTTTCTCAACATCATCGTTACCACTGTTCGAGCCTGTCTATGGGTCCTTAAGATGGCACGTCCAGGGCCGCTTGAACGCGCCAATCGCGTGGTGACGGGCACAGTCACCATGCCTATCGCCCTTGTGCGCTACGCAGCAAGAGAACCACTCTTTACAGGAGCTCTGCTAGCTGCTCTGACCAGAGCACCTATTCAATATCGATCACGCCTCCTCAAGCTTCTGGGCGATGCTGGACTGTCGTCCGAACGCATTGCCCTGTTGGTCAAGTCGCTGAAGTACCTACTCGCTATTGGCGTGGCGACAAGGCTCAACCAAGCACTCAACAAGCTGGCTCTCAATCACTGGAACTTCTTTGGAAAGCCAGGCGCGCCTTTCAATTGGAGTGCCGTGAACAAGCCCGAGCTGGTGGTTATCACTGGCGGATGTTCTGGCTTTGGATATGAAATGGTCAAAGGCTTCTCAAAGCATGCCCGGGTCGTCATTCTGGACATCTCTCCCCCACCAGAAGAGCTGAAGAAAAGTGAGGTCTTGCTGAGTGTGAGCATTAGAGCTTCCCGCTAACGTCCAACCAGTCCACGGTGTACACTACTACCGGGTCGACGTGACGGATTTTATTGCCATTGAGTCAACGGCCGATACAATCCGCAGAGAGCATGGTAATCCGACCGTGTTGATCAACAACGCCGGTATAGGTGAGTGTCTTTTGACCACCGTGTGATTGTCAGGCTGTAGACTGATCAAAGTTATCCGAAGCCACCGCCACCAGGATCATCAACACCAAAGGAGAATTGAATGATAGGATATTCAAAGTCAACCTTGCTTCTCACTTCATTTTGATCAAGGAGTTCCTCCCCGCTATGCTGGAAGCGCGCAAGGGCCACATTGTCACCATCGCATCCATGGCCAGCTTCATGGCCGCGCCAGGCATGGTTGACTATTGCTGCACAAAGATTGGAGCATTGTATCTGACCGAAGGCATGCTTTCCTGCCCGTGAAACTCCACAGATTCCCAGCACTAACATACAGCCCAGGACTCCGAAATGAACTTCGCGTGTATCACGGTGCCGCTGGCAGGTGCATTCAGACAACGTCCGTCCACCCCTCCTGGCACGCAACCGGTATCGTCAAGCCCTTCGAAGACAAGCTGGAGAAGTTCGGCATCAAATGCGACCCGGCATCGAACGTGAGCGACGCCGTCGTCGAGCAGGTCCTCGCCGGCAGGAGTGGCCGGGTCTTCGTGCCAAGGACGGAAGAGCGCAACGCGGGAGTAAGGAATTTCCCGCTTTGGCTGCAGGACGCGCTTCTCTGGTTGAGTCAGAAGCGATTTCAAATTTGATCCGGAATGTGCGCGATGGTGATTGTTCCCCTCGAGGGTGTCCAGGGTTGAAATGAGGACATGATGAATGACATGCAAGGCTTCGTGCTCTCCAATCTGTCTATGCACGGAGAAAGGGACTTTCGTTTCAATAGGCACCTTCCTTCCCCGGCGTTGAAGTTCAAAGGTTAAGCTCGGTCTGGGCCCCTAAGTGTCTTCGCCATTTCTCATGGCTGTAGATGCCTACAGTAGGTAGGCCGCGACGCAGATGCAAAGTAGTCACGTCAACGTGGACTCTATGATCCGCGCTATGTCTGTAGGGCGAGCCATAAGATCCAAATGTGCTCTCTCGCCCATTCAGGTTAGAAGCATGGACTCGCTTACGTAGCCGTGCAATGATTGGGTATCGTACTGGAGGCTCAGGTTACGAGATGAATGCATTCCGAGTCAAACCTCCTTGCGCACAGTGAAAGGAGGGCGAGAGCGGCCCCTGCACCTGAACCTTCCTTCACTTGAGTCTTCCTCTATCTCATCTCAACCATGGGAAAACAGTCACCCGTCACGATGCCCGTGCTCACGCCCTCACGCGGCCGAAAATCCATGCTTTGCTCACTGGGCGTGATGATATTCCTAGTATACATTTTATATTCGCGTCATTCTTCTTCACAGCAAGCATTGCCACCCATGCCGGGAACGTACCAATACTTCACCGAGATCAATTTTGAATACCACACTCACAGTTTTGGCGCCATAAGCCACTGTGATCCAAGGTTCGCTCCGTCACGACCACCCAGTATCGAAGAAACGAAGAAGACGCTCTTGACTTTATTGGAATCTTTTGCCGCGACAATGAACGATCTTCGCGCCGAGACTTGGATCGCCCATGGAACCTTACTGGGATGGTATTGGAACCAGAAGGTCCTACCCTGGGACAATGATATTGATGTCCAGATGACCATGGAGACACTATGCAGGTTGGCTGCCCACAATATGAGCGAGTATCACTATCCAGCAGGAGGTGCTGGTGAGTACACGCCAAGGGTATACCTTCTGGACATCGACCCGCATTATAGGACAGTATCGACCCGGGATGTTGCCAACAAAATCGACGGTCGATGGATCGACACCACGAATGGGAAGTATATCGATATCACGGCCGTGCACGTCAGTGTTGGCAAAACGGAGCACACGCCGTTCGACCAGGGCGTTCTCTTCTCCAAAGACCGTCATCGCTATTTGGTGCGTCCAAGCAAGCGACCGAGCTTTTTAGTCAAGACGAACGAATGACCGAACGAGAGGAAGCTAACTCGTCTGGATTACAGAGCGAGGAGTTGTTCCCCTTGGAAGACAAGAGTTTCGAAGGCGTTGCCGTGAAAGTCCCGCACAAGCCTTCCAAGATTCTTTCTGGCGAGTATGGGAAGAAGTCTCTTACAGACACTCGCTTTCACTGGTGTGCTCATGCCCTTCCCTTAGCTTCAGTCCGTCCAGGGGTCTCATATTGAATAGGCACCGTTTCAACAAGACTTCCAAAATCTGGGAACCCGAGTAGTCTGCCTCCGTCGGAGATTGTCAGGGCAATTTCGCTGCCCACGCAGCTTCCAGTAACAAATTGGTGCGTATAACTAAAAGAACGAGCATGAGCACGATAGTGGTCGAACGCACTGTGCGCAAATGCAGGTGATTGCCAGGGAGATTGCGAAGGAGAAGGAGAACTTCGCCCCTGGCGAGGAGAGGTTATCCGGTACAAAGTTGTGATGCCTGACGTCCCAGTGAAAGAATGGAACACTTCCATCGAAAACGGCCTTGGAGACGTCTAGGTGGGGAGTGAAAGCTAGGTGTGGGCGACTATCCGACGCGATTGCAAAAGTTCAAGCGTCATGATCCGACGAACAGACTCAACTCGTTGAACACCTCTTCACGACCATCGTATCGTGGGAATTGTCATGGCCAACATCTTGGGGAAGGGAACGCCGCAAAATCGGACGCATACCTGTGCAGGATGCGGGTTTCGCTTTTCAAAATTGTTGTTTCTCCTGGATTGGCGATGAGAGTCTTTCGCGGCCGGCTCTCCCGTCGAGTTCGCTTCTTCAAGATTCACTTGGATCATGGCCGCCAAACTCGAGGAAGTCATATGAATAGGCCTTGTACCTACTGTTATCAGCGATTGCTCACTTTGTCAGGACATTGAGGTGTTCCCGTAAGGTCGAGACTGGGCCAGGGAAAGTATGACTTTGGCGAGATAATCATAGTACCGCGGAGGTAGATGCTCGGGTATCGAGCACCATAATGTGCGTTGGGAGAGCACGGCGGTGATAGGGGTCGCCGAGATCAGTGAGGGCTTCCATGGAAACAGTCGGTCGCACTGCCTCAACACTGCCGTGGACGCATTCCAACAGGATATTTGCCTTAGTTGTGGCTCTACTGCAGTAATGTTAGATTTATCGTTTTGCTCTGCGTTCATTGTGACTTGCTTACCATCTTAGCCATTGCATCTGCATAAGGTCAAAACAGAGTGCTGTCCCCTATTACACGAGAGACTAAGCATTGCTCTCATTTTGTTGGTGACGGAAAAGCCTCGTCTGCGGCCAGCATGGTGTCTGGAGTCACTAATTCCAAACCTCGATAAAATCACGCCCCGGCCCAAGCACGGTACTTGAACATTGTGCAAGCCCAACGCAAGATGGTAGCGGTAGGCCAATTTCCCAAACAGAGCCGATACATAGCTGTGTTCATCGACGAGAGAAGCGTCCCCACTCGACGACCATTCAATCAATCTGCCACCCCATCTCCTCATACATAACATCTTGCAAGCCACGCTTGTACTTCCCCTCTCCGGATCTCAGCGGCGGCCACTTCTTGGATTTTCTCCTCAAGGCCTCCACCTCCGCAATTGCTGAGGCGAGATCATCCACCTTGCCGTGAATCACGTATTCCTGCTCAGCAAGCGCCTCAGCCAGCTCAACCTGGTGATTATGCAGAAGATCCGTATTGGGGACAACCACAATCGGCGCACCGATACGGAGTGCGTCGAGGATGGACCCTGAGCCGGCGTGACTGATGATCATGCCTTCGGTCTCTGGTGACGAGCCTTTCACGGCCCGCATTTCGTCGCCTAGGCCTTCCTTCTTGAAGCCGAAGCCTGAGACTTCGAAGCCGTCAGGGGTTTCATGTTGTTCGTTTAATAGCTGCGTCCGCTCGCGGTATGTATCTTGCCCGCTTTGATCGCCATATTGGATTTGTAGCTGCGAGTAGCCGGCTTCACGAAGTGCCTTGATAAATACTGGTTCCAGCACGGCACGGACTAGACTGTTGAAGGGCGCGGTGGCGCCTACAGTGACGAAGCATCGTTTCCCGGATGCCATGTTCACCTGGTTGGGATGCAGCTTTATGAGCTTGGGGGTGGTAGAAGACAAAGAGAGTACGGAGTACATGTAGATAGAATACGAGGTTCGAGGACGAAGTGCAGGGAGTCCACTACGGTGGCGCAAAGCCCCACCAAGCAAACGTTTCTTCGGATGAGCTTTTACACCTTGAAACGCAAGAAATTTATGTGCACCGAAGCTCATTCCAAATGCGCACCGAGAGGACGCAGTACTACACGATCAGCTTCAGTGGTCAGAAATGGCCACACCGGCACGGTATCTGTCGCGGACACTGTTCCAAGTCAATCGACGAATACCAGTAAAGAGGAAGTGTCAATCTGCAGCCTTCGCGCGACCTCGGATTCCCAACCGGAGCATACAATGTCAAAGACATCTCTCGACAACCATCGCCCAGCGAGCAGACAACACTCGGGGTACCTCTGCGTCCGACGGAGAAGGCCACACTGAAGATGCGCTGGGGTTCGATTTCGACAAAGAGCCCGAAGGCGGCTACCAGACGCCCAGCTCGCCCATCACCGTCGCTGATCTCGACGCCGACGAACTCGCCGACTTCAACATGCTCTCCCCGAAAGACCAAGTCGCGTACCTCAAGCTGCAGAACCACTATGCCGCCGAATTCGAAGCCGCAGGCATAGACGTCAACAATGACCCCGAAGGCGAGCTCCCCGACCCTGTCATGGACAAGCTGGTCGTCGACCTCGAGCGCAAGTTGGACAAGGAGATCGAGCCGCTGGACTTTCCCGACATCCCGCTGCAGAACAAAGACAAGGGATTCTGGGCGCTGGACGAAGAAGACGATGAATTCACGCAGGTCGAGGACGGGGAGGAAGAGTGGGATGAGAGTGCGATCACCAGCGTTGCACACAGTGAGCTGGACTTGCACAGGGAGATCCGAGAGTACACACGCGTTATTGCCTGGGATATGCCATTGTTACAAAGTAAGCGTGCCCGCTCTATTCCCTTGGCCTGCCTGGTGGCTTTGTCTCGTGGCTAGGATTCGACTAACTGGTAGTCAGAGTTCGTCAAACCGTTCACACCACCCTCTTCGTCCACGCCCCTCCGCTTCCGCTACACAACATACCTGGGCGAATACCACCCGGCGGCCCGCAAAGTGACCGTGCAATTCTGCACAAAGGACCTCCCGAACCTGACTGAGCAACAACGCCAGAAACTGCTGAAACTCGTGGGTCCGCGCTACAACCCTGACACGGACGTGGTCAAGATGTCGTGCGAACAGTTCGAGGCCCCCGCGCAGAATAAACGATACTTGGGCGATTTGGTAAAGAAGTTGTTGGACGAGGCGAGGAACGGGAAGGATAGCTTTGCCGATGTTCCCCTCGACCTGAGGCATCACAAGTCGAAGAAGAGGGTCGAGTTTCCCGAAGCGTGGAAGCTGAAGCCCTCCCGGGTCAGGGAGTTATTGACTGCCAGACAGGAGCAGAAATTGCTGGGTGAGACCCAGACGGCTCATCCGGGGTCGGTGTTGGATGGGAAGGACTTGGTGCATGAGTACGTCAGGCAGATCTCAAGACCGGTGGCGCTCAATGCGCAGAGAGCTGTGTAAAACAATGTCGCTTGTATAAACAGCATTTCTACCCAACCTGGAACCAGTCTGGATTTGTGTCAGACCGTGCCTATGAGAAACTGAAAAGTAGAAGCGGGACAATGTGTATCTCGTGAAAGCCATGCCAGGCTGCGTTGTCGTTCCTTCGCAATGCAGTTCAAGCTCGCGCAGTTCCACCAGGTAAGGGAGCTCCTCGCCCTCGTCTCCATATCATTGCCCATGCGTTGCGGTCATCGTGAAAGGAGGCATTTCCATCAACCTAGTCCTACTCCACAGTCTTACGATTGCTGCGACCATATCGCCCGCGCGGCTTCTTCTTGTCCCCTGAGCCGGAACCAGGATCAGACTTGTTCTTCTCCTCCTTGCTGCTGCCACCCTCTTGCTCCTTCACTGGAATCCTCTCCTCGACCCTACCGGTCTGAGCACCTGCGCCTGCAGTACCCTGGCGAGCCTTCTGCTCTTCCTCCCATCCGGCCTGTTCGCGCTCCCTGATCTTCACCATCTCGGCATCGGTCATCTCAGTACAGGCAGTGCTCTCCATGTCGGCATCGAAAGCAGCCGCCATGCGCTTGTCGCGGCGCTCACGCTCCAAGGCTTTCTCCTCGTCCGTAGGGATACGAGGAACGCGTGGAGCGCCAATTGCAGCACGACGTGGGTTGTTCGGTCGGAAAGCCTGCTGATCACCACCGTATCGAAGACCTCGGGACGGCACGCTGTTGATGTGAGCAGCAATTGTCCGTCGACTGGCCACAGGATCGATCCGGGTGCGAGGCTCAGACTTGGCCGGCAAACCACTGACGTTGGTAAGAGTAATGCCAAAGCTCAAGCCATTTCGTCCACCATTGACGCTCAGACTGCCACAGCCGTGGGCTTGGCGGAACCAATCAGGCAGATCGCGCATACCGATAGCTTCAAGGACCGGGATGCTGATGGGCATCACGTGCTTGAACTTACAGCCGGTCTGGGTGAAGCTACACTCGCCGTTCCGGAGCCAGTAGGAGCAGTAAATCTTCTCTCCAAGGGCCGGCATTTCGGGATTCTCGTCGTACTCAGGAAGAGACTTCTTGGTCAAGGTGGAAAGGCCCGGGGTAGGAGTAGGAGGAGTGGGTACAGCATGACCACGCCAGGGCAGCGGGGCTGGTGCGGCTGGCACAGGAGCTGGCGGATCGGGTTTGCCAAAACCAATTGTTTCGGGAGACGTCGCACGAGATGAGTCTGCTCCCTGAGTAGCTGAGGTCACTGAGGTATTGGATGATGGGCCAGAGGCGATGCTCGTCTGTGAATCTCTTTAGCCATCTCCAAGCTTTCAGTCGGAGGAGGAACTTACTCTGATGTTCTTGCTGGCATCGACATTGACACCTTCGTTTACAGAAGGAGCTACCAGATCCGTCGTGCGCAAGATCGGTGTGCTGGTTGCAGAGTCTGGCGTAGACTTTGGATTGGCTGGACCGAATGAGATTGGTTTCGTGTTGTTGATGCTCTCGACCACGTAGAATTGATGTCGGGCTTCAGCGAGACCAACACCAGTCATGCCACCGATCTCGAAAGCATTCAGAGTCCGTGATACACCTTGGACTTGTACATGGATGGGCAGCTCATCCATGGCGATGAGTGGAACCATGGCACCGTTCTGGCGGGTGACGAAGAACTGGGGTTTAAGCTGTTGAGAGGCCATAGCTACCGCTGCTGGAATGTTGAGCGATGAAGCAGATACTGGGATGGTTGGGTAGTTGGAGTAGGAGGAGCTCTGTCGATGGTTTAGTATATATCCAAGAATGCCAATGGGAAATCAAGGCAAGAGTGGTCATGGCGAAAGCCCGGCTGGGTGAGCGCAAGATTTATAGTCGAGAAGAAGAGTTCGCGTGAACATTTGCGCCGCTGCCTCTGGACAATGGTGACAGCGACTTCGTGAAGACGCCAGTTGAGGAGGTGAAGCATAGAGGCAGCCATGACGTTTGGCACGTCCTCGGTAGGGTCTCTGGGAAGGCAGGTACTTACAGTGATTCACACAGCAACCCAATATAGATTGATCAGTGATATCGTGGACTGCGATGACGAAATCTGGCAAGGTCGCTGGATTTTCCTTTGAGTCAGTATAGCAGGCTCCGCTTAAGCTGAGTCGTGAATGGGAAGATGAAGATGCATGCTGGGGCAGCCGCGCTGCAATTCACTCGATATATACTCCGTCCTCTACTCGCAGACTGCCCACCGTTTGAACGTTAACAAACGCCTGGTACAGCAATCCAAGACAGTGGGTTGATGTTTTGGTTGACAAACCAAGTCGGCAGCTCCGGAACTGGCCAGAGATCAAACGCCGGAACGCAGCATGAACAAGACAATGGACCGACAGAATCAACCTCACAGATGCACCAGGCAGAGGGCATATTCAAGCCAAAGAACCCGTGTGTGTGTCTGTCTTGCAGCTGCACTTCCAGGCCATCCAAACTCACCGCGCCGCACAGATAATGCAGCTCTCTGAGAATGGTGTCTGCTCGTCTGTAGCTCGTACAGACAAGCTGCCTCCTCAGGATCATTCATAGAGACGGATGGTTCATGCAAGGTACCAAGAACAAAGGAAGTTGCGCGGGAGGCGCTTGTGCTATTCATCCTGATAAGACAGGTACAAGACGTTGAATTTACGAGTACCGGGACGCACGTGGCACAATCAGCGACGTGTCGCCGTCCGGGCGTAGAATCTCGGCCGAAGCACCAGAAGTCAGAAATCTGTTTTGGAGCTGGCTGGCGAAGGATTCCGGAAGCCAGAAACCAGTAAAGATAGGCGTCAGCTGGGCTGCTCAAACTAGCGACAACGGGCAATGCCGATATGTCCGGGCCTGCATAATTCTGAGACATGGATTACTTGATCCCTAAGTTAGGCATCCTTTCTCCTGTTGTGCTCACCTGCCGTGGCTGCCCACCCTCGTGATGCCTTCTCTCGGTGCTGCTCCGTCCGCTCGAGCCTTAAGCGACAAGCCTACGGACTGCTAAGGTAGCCTAGGGGACCCTGCGTCTTCTGCCACGACACCGCCCATTGGAACCAGCTAAGTTCACCAGCGGTCCGGACTCGCATCGACGTCGTTCCCGAGCGCCCAATCCGTTTAACCAGTCATCTTCGCTGCCTGCGCCTCACCTCCAACCTTCTGGCTTTCCACCTGTAACCTGTTAACCTCACCACCTCCTCAAACGGCCAACGACTCACCACACCACCCGAGGTTGAGTTCATCACTCTCGTTTTATCCTCCTTCGACCCTCATTGTCGATCTGCTCCAATATACGCGTCCGAAGCCCAGAGTTTTCCCACAATACGATGGCCACCGAGGCCTCCATCGCCCTCACTAACCGCTCTCTCCGTACCATTCGTACCGTGTGTGACTACTTGATCGAACACGTTTCGGATCGACAGGCTAAAGCTCTATAGGAACTTGAATTCCTCTGCGATACCAATGTCATCTCATCGGAACAGCTTTCATCGATCCTAGCACAATTACCGGCACAGACACCGCTCCATGCTCCTTTACACGGCCAAGCCAATGGCGCAACAAACACACCCGTCGACCAATTCTCAAACATGGCCCTGAAGGAAGGATATGTTCCTGTGCCCACGCCTGCCCCGTTGCCGCCTCCAGCCTACGTGCCGCCTCCGATACTCGCTATTGCATCTGCTCTGTATGCGTATTCACCCACGGATACCGGAGATTTAGCGCTACAGCAAGGTGATAGAATACAAGTATTAGAACACATGAACAATGACTGTATGTACCGTGATCGACTCACGGCTCATCGTAATGCTAACGGTCTACAGGGTGGAGAGGTCGAAATGAGAGGACCAACTTGGAAGGAATCTTCCCACGAAGCTATGTCAATGTCATCGAGGACCGACGGCCGCCCATGATACATTCATCGTCAACAGACTATGGCAACATGCCACTCCAAGTCAGCCAAACTGGCTCCAGCACGAACCCGGATGGCCGGAAGTACAGCAAGCTGGAAGAGCAAGGCAAGAAATTCGGCAAGAAGATGGGCAATGCCGCCATTTTCGGCGCTGGTGCTACAATCGGCAGCAACATCGTCAACGGCATATTCTAATGATGGAATTTACGTTCTTATGTTGAAGCCATGCAGCCTTTCAAGTCGAAAAGGCTACGGCTATGAGATTTGTGCTCGCAGTCCCTCGCGAGAATTGGACTGGTGGTATCCCAATCGAGCACCGCAAAACGGAGTGAAATGGGCAATTGTCTTCGAGATGGAAGCAGTGATCGATCGAAACAGCATGCATGGGGAGAATGGCGTCAAACAGGATAAAAAAGGCGCTAACCAACTGGTGCTCGGTCACCGATTTCTTTGAACATGGCTGGTCATGGCGGGATTGGGTTTTCTGAGAGAATTGCTTTGCGCCCTACATTTCTTTTGTCCTTTCGAACCATTCGACAACCCGCAAGTCCGCTGGGTTCGAGCATTGCTGCTGAAGACGAGAGATGGACCACTTAGACTGATGAAAGGCCACGAAGGTGAAAGAAGGGTGTGAGCATGCAGATCTCTTACGGACTGACGATGATCCAAGTGTCTCAAATTGATATGCAGACAGACTTTGCATCACCTGCACATACTGTACTTCTTACCACCGGAAGCAAGCTCAGGATGACAAAATCAAATATTCCACATCCATAGCATCAGGGGTATCCTTCGGGCTTCAGGTATCAATCCGCATTCGGACTTTTGGTCCTTTCCAGCCACCCTTTTTGGGCTGCTCTGCAGACAATCAGGCTCGTGTACGCGGTAATGCACGGCCATTCCTTCCCCAATATCCGGTGTTCCTGAGCCGAAAAGCTTGGTACTTTCGAAAGAGGCCGAGAGGCTCAGGCGTGCGGCGCCTGTCCGCGTAAATGATGTACCGGGTTTGACATCGGGATGCGAAGATCCTCCAAATGTCGGTCTGGATTAAAAGATCCAGACAGCAAGTGAGTTCACTTTGGCTTGTGTGAGACGCTGTCGCTTCTTCTTTGATGACTTGGACACCGCTGTCTCGACCTGCTGCACTCCACCTCAGAAAGAGATTTTGGCTGATGAATTCGATCTCAGTCTCGTCGTGGCTCACTCCTCCTCCCTCTGTGGTGGCGGACCACTGGCCCTGATCATCTTCTCAATCATCTGCCCTCTCACGATCTCACTGTTTTCCCCGAGTCCCAATGCCATGTACGAGAGAAGGGGAGGATGACCGACATAGGAGGAAAGGGAGTCGCGGACGATGTTCTGAGACCACTCATAGCGGGTGGTGTCTGCATGGCCAGTTCCGACGTATTTCGCCTGGAGCGATTCAAGTTGTTGCAAGGTACGTAGCTTGTCGGCCATGTTGGAGAACTGCGGCGAAGCAGGCGGGTATGGACGAGTGTGATTCTTTTGCGTGCAAATTCTGGCCGATGAAGATCGAAATGAATTCTTGGTTGAGCCGAGCAACTGCGCGCCTCTCGGAGTCTGGCGCTTCTCCGAGTGCCTCCAATTCCGCCGCCGCCGCCGCAGACCCCACGCCTCCCACTATGACGAGGCAACCACCTCGGCTTTTCAACTCACAAGGTCCCCCATCCCACATCCGATGGAACGTCGAAGGCAGGTAGGTTGTGTCCGTGCCGAACTATCGGCGCACTTCTCCTCCAAGATCTGAGCTGTCGAGAAATGGGTTGACTTCATTCTTCGGTGTCGCCTATCTGACAGCCTCGGGAAAGAGATCTCACCTCGATTGACATACCCTGCCATCTGCCCTTTTGTACCCTTCCGACCCTTCATCTAGACCTCCGATCTCTCTCCCTTCTCCCCACATGAATCCCCTGCGATGTGCGGTTGCGGGCGCCGCCACTAGAAGTTCCACCCTCTCAACCCGATCCATATACCACTCGTCCTCCCCTCTGTCTCTCCGAATGGCTCCTACAGCATCGACTAGACTCGCCGCCGAACAACGACGTATAGGTGGCGCACGCACCATGGCCTCCTCCACGTCTGCGACCAAGATCAAGGTCAAGAACCCTGTCGTCGAGCTCGATGGCGACGAAATGACCCGCATAATCTGGCAAGATATCAAGGACAAATTCATCCACCCGTACTTGGACATTGATCTGAAGTACTATGATCTGGGTTTGCCGTATCGAGATCAGACGGATGACCAGGTCACCGTGGACGCCGCCGAGGCAATCAAGAAGTACAGCGTGGGCGTCAAGTGTGCGACCATCACGCCTGACGAGGCGAGAGTCAAAGAGTTCAACCTCAAGAAGAGTACGCTCCCTCCCGCCCTCGTCCCTTCCACATCACGTACTAACAGGCCCCCGACCAGTGTGGCTATCCCCCAACGGCACAATCCGCAACATCCTGGGTGGCACTGTCTTCCGCGAACCCATCGTGATCCCTCGCATTCCCCGCCTGGTCCCTGGTTGGGAACAGCCCATCATCATCGGCCGTCACGCCTTCGGGGACCAGTATCGTGCCAAGGACACCGTGATTCGCGAGGCTGGCACACTGGAAATGGTCTTCACGCCGCAAAATGGCGGTTCTCCCCAGAAAATCAAGGTGTTTGATTTCCCCGAGTCAGGCGGCGTGGCGCAAACGCAGTATAACACTGAAGACTCGATCCGGGGTTTCGCGCACGCGAGTTTCAAGTTCGCGCTCGACAGGGGATACCCCTTGTACATGTCGACGAAGAACACGATCCTGAAGGCCTACGACGGGCGGTTCAAGGACATCTTTGAAGAGATTTACCAGAGCGACTACGCCAAGGAATTCGAGGCCAAGAAGATCTGGTACGAGCATCGACTCATCGACGACATGGTCGCGCAGATGATCAAGAGTACGGGCGGCTTCGTCATCGCCATGAAGAACTACGACGGCGACGTGCAATCGGACATTGTGGCCCAGGGATTTGGATCCCTAGGTCTGATGACCAGTCAGCTGATCACTCCGGATGGCTTGACCTATGAGAGCGAAGCCGCCCACGGGACAGTCACCCGCCATTACCGCGAACACCAGAAGGGTCGCGAGACGTCCACCAACCCGATCGCCAGTATCTTTGCGTGGACACGCGGCCTGGTCAAGCGCGGCCAGCTCGACGAGACGCCCGAACTGGTCACCTGGGCGGAGAGTCTCGAGAAAGCGGTCGTGCAGACGGTCAACGACGACGGCATCATGACCAAGGATCTCGCGCTGGCGTGCGGGAGGAAGGACCGGGAAGCGTGGGTTACCACGAGCCAGTTCATGGAGGCGATTGAGAAGCGGTTCAAGAAGAATCTCGAGAGTGAAGGGCTCGAGGGGATCGCGAAGGCGAAGCAGTAAATGCCAATTTCCCTGGAAAGTCGGAGGACAAGAACAAAGGATAGCCTCTGCAAAGTGCCGAAAGTCAATTTGGATAGACGGCTGCAAATGAACAGACGGCAGGATTCCCAGACTTCTCAGAGCTGTGTGACTCGATGGATGGATGCATGGGTCGAAGAGAAGCGCGATTGTGGGAGATGACACATCCGGGGTGGCGGTCTGGAAATGGATGGACAGACGGATGGACAGACGGGCTCATTCCTCAGCATAAACAATGTCGCAAGTCTCTTTCAGACAGCTTTGCAAGTTCTGCATTGTTTGTCGCCTTGTCGCGGGATTTGCGTGTCCGCTGTGCGTGCGAGGAAAGGACGTTGAGAGATCTAATCATCAGAGATGGCCGCAGTGGTGAACGACGGAAGCAACCAAGCAACCAAGCGAGCGAGCAAGCAAGTAGAGGCATAGAATAGCACAGTATAGCATGGAAAACGAGTGATCAGGAATCAATCCTGGCCACGGATCCCAGACATTTCGATTCGCCGCGCACATTATCTATATATCTCGTTGCGATGGAAATTGTCAAATAACGAGTGAGAGTTGTCACATTCAACTTGGAGGCGGACTTGAAGTTGGATGGTAGGCACCATTTGGCGCTGATTGAAGCTGGCTACCCCTTCGTTCAAGGCATACTGCAAAGCCTTAAGTCCCTCTGCGGTTACTTGGGGCACATATGCCTGAAAGCACGCACCACACAAGTGGAAAACCCAATACCGTCTATGTGTGTATGTAAGCAGGTCCCGTTAGATCCTGATCCTGATCCTGATCCTGATACCGATGGTTGATGCTCGTTCATTCATCACTCTCGGGAAGGCCAAAAACGCAACCAATACGCCCGTGGACATGACAGTGGCACAGACCGGGGCCTCCATCAGCCTTGCGGGGTTCATTCCGCACTGATCCAATCGCCCGTTTGCGAACGCTCGAATTGTAGATATCTGGCTGAACTGACCCCGGTCGCTCACTTCTTCTTGGGCCCCCCGAGGGGAGCCCCGATGTCACTCCCCCGCAGCTTGACGCCCAGCACCCGTTCCAGCTTCGCGAGAAGTTGCTGGTCTGGTATCGCCGAGCCGTTCTCGTACGCCTGGATCACACTGGCTTGGGTGTTGACTTTGTTGGCCAGGTCTTTCTGTGTCATCTTGGGGAGGATCTGGTTTCTGCGGGCGATGATCGCCTGGCCGACCGCGTGGCCGACTGTCTTGGGTTTGATGATCTCGTCGGAGCGGTCGACTTTGGTGAGATGCTGGCCTTCGGTTGCTGATTTCTATGAGGATATATAGTTGTTAGTTGTACTCTTTCACAATCACCTTCCCTGCTGTGCTTGAGGAGTTGGCAAAGTTGAAGCCAGAGCCGGAGCCGGAGCCAGAACCCAGAGCCTGGAAAGAGACGAGAAAGCCGCTTACAGTGTTGGCGCTGGAATATTTCTTCTCGGTGCCGATGATGGCGCCGGACCGTTGGGCGGCGTTGAGGGCCGATTTGCCTTTCACCACACGTTCCCGGTCAACGCCTCCACTGCCGGGGCCGCGGACTTTGCTGCCAATGCGGGTGACGCTCTCCCAGTCGTCGGACATGGTGAAAGGACGTGAGAGGAGTGGAAGGGAGGTAGGGTGGAAGTGGTGAAAGTGCTCGGTGAGGGCGAAGTGGCGGTCTCGTGGGGTGCTGGTGATAAGCCGAAACGCTACAGGCAGTGGTCGGGGAGGGGGGTGAATGGGTGTAGCGTTGAATGGAGACTACTGCGTAGCTTTTGGATTTGATAGGATTCACTGACGGCGAGAAATAAATACTGGGAGAAGCAAGAAAAAAGTCAAGGTCGTCTTTTGTCTGCAAGATCAGCCTCACGCATCTAGAAGTTGCCATGCGAGTTGACTCAACGGACCCGCGAGCCCGCCAAGCCCATTGAGTCATTCAGCCCCATTCCGGACAACGGCGCCCCTGGAGCGCCCCGGAGATATCGTTTATCCGTCACCGCGTGAGGCTGGTCGGATATTCCACAGCATGGCCACTGAGAAGCTACTTGCGCTGAGACTTTGGCCGCAGACCCATTATGCACATGATGCACATCGACAAGGCTCAGTTGCTCATACTTTGACTTCCTGGAGAACATCCGCAAGTTAGTGCTTGTAATCTTCAGCTGGGCTCATCGAGAGCGCTCTCTTGAATGTACCTTTTTTCTTTAAAAGACCTTCCGACGGGACCTGACATGTCACATTGTTGCTGAAATGTCAAGTGAGGACCAATTTTGCAAGTAGCACAATCACATTTCCACACATATTCTCCCATAAACTCATGTCAACCCAGCCTTTCGGGGGCGGAGACGCTGTCGTTGCCCCTGTGAAGCAATGAGAAACAGCCCTGTGGTATGATGGTGGCAAGGTCTCGAGAATGCTTCCGAGCCACTCGAGCGCGTAGCCTTGACGCTCAAATGGACGCAAAGGGCCGGGACCCGAGGCCGAATCTCTCCTCAAAGGTCTTCCCGTGCCAGATTTTAACAGCATGATGCCCAGCTCGACAAGTGACTCCTTTAATTCGAACTTGGTTGTGCTTGCCGCTGGACTATTCGGTAGAGCCTCGAATGAGACCGACAGGAGAGGCTTACTGATCTCGGCATCTCCATCTGAAGCCCGGAGAAGCGTCACTGTATCCTTTGAGAGCGCCGGTGCAATCCAGGGTGTCCGAAGCAGTTGTAGGAAGCTAGAAGCCAAATTCAAGGCGAGCAAGATCTTGACATCCCAAGCGCTTCTGAGTAGTCCGCCAGAACCTTGTGAAGTTGACAATAACAAGTCTTTGAGTCCAACTGTCTCTTTTGCTTGGGAGGTTGTAAATGCATCTTGACAACCGCCGTCCACTTCGGTCCTGCAGCCACTTGTCAGACTGAAGGCAATATGTTGTTGATCAACTTCGCCCTTTTCGATCGCGGAGCAAATAGTCCCGATATCCTGGGTCCTTGACGATGTGCTGGCTCGGGGAGCATTGATGGTGATACGGAATCCGCTTGGGCTGACGGCAGAAGCTGGGAGACTCGACTGTGTGTCGTCAAATATCTGGACCCTCGATTCGTGCCAGAAGCCTTGCCCTTGTGCACTGCTCCCGGTAAAAACACATTGAAGGACCTGGATTGGAAGGGTATGTTGCTGCCTGCGACTTAGGCTTGATTGCTCAACCCGGTCCTCCAAAAAGAGCTTCGCCTCGTGCTTGGAGTGGCAATTGGTTGCCCAAGCTCGTGCAAGGGCCGAGTGGAGGTCGTCCGCCTGCTTTCGTATCGTCATGTCCAATTCTCGAGGCGGGTCAATGAGCTTTTGGATGAGTGAGGGTTCGGTGTGTCTAAAGACAGTTTGGATTATAATGACTGTGAGCCTTGGGTAATGAAGGAGCATGTAACCATTCAAGGACGTTCTCAGACGAAACGTGGTTTGGTCTGTGGCGAGTCGAAAACATGAGGCGACAACTGTAAGTCTGTATCTGCAGATATGGCTTCATGTGAGAATTCGTCTCCATCTCGCAGCGTACTATGAAGGCCTTACGATAGCTTCGTATAGGAGGAGAAACTGTTGAATTCCTTCCAGTGTGGTGCTGTTCGAGTGCGACGGATCCTGCGACAGAGCGAGCGAGGGATATGGGGTCAAGAGACTTGGTAGTGAACATGCGAGCGAAGCGACCACATGCTACCAGTCCGGGACCCTTGGATTTCCATCATTCAGTTCTAGGAAGTGGTGGCTCAAGGTCCTCATTCAGGTGCCGGTATGGTCTTTCATGCTTCTTCCCGGTTGAGTTCGACGTTGAGCGGTTGAGGACCTATGGGCCTGACCACCATGCACAGCGACCTGTGATATCAATCAGGATCTCCTGCACCTTGCGGAGGAGTGTATCAAGGCTTACTGTACCAGCTCTTCCCTACACACGAATATCGCCATCAGAAGACGCGATCTCGAATGCAGAGACCAAGCCAGAACTACTCTCCCAACCATGAACATGTCTCAATCTCAGCCAAAGCACCATCTCTATCCCCCTCCAGAGATCATCGACGGGATCAATTCATACTTCGTCCCACGACAGGGCCTGTGCATCTCAAACGACCCGGACATTCACGCCGATTTCGCCACGATCAGCGCCCTCGCCAGAACAAGCCGCTCGGTCAGGAGTCAAGTCCTCCACAATGCGTACAACCGGCCACTACGCATAGTGATAACCAGCGGAAGGGACTGCCGCTGCCGCTGCGAGGACCATCGATCTGGCAATATTGTCCATCCTCTACTAGGCAAGGCTCTCGCTCTGTCTGTGCTGAGGTTCCGCAAGATCCAAGTATCATTCGCGCCTGACTTGCATGCCAAACCATGCGAATATGTTTATCAGCGGATATGGCGCCAGCAGGAGCCTCCACTGGACAAACACAGCACAGAGATGGCAGCCAACATGTACTGCATTGAGGGCCAATCCAAGGCTCTGACAAGGGGGTTCCAGAAGATCTTATCACCTTTTACGAGTCGACACACTCCGAGCTTCACCTTCGAGTGGGACGGAAGCAGGGGTGTTGCGGAAGCCAATCGTCAGCGTGATCTCCCTCTGTGGAATTTTCGCGACCTTCACGCGGCGATGACGAGATGGCGATGGGTCAAGCACGACTGCTTCGTGGACCATCAAATCAGCCTGCCCGAGCAGGTGGCAACTGGATGTCTGGATGCGTCCACGTGGGAGGCATTGAGATCGTCTGACTCGTGGCGGTACTGTGAAGATAGTCTCAAAGCGTGCCCACCCGTGCCACGGAGTCCGTCAGAGCTGCTCGGCCAGAGTTGGCAGTTTTGCCCGGACGATTTTTGGTCCGATGCGTCTTGGTTCATGCAGAATCGTCGCTATCACCGGCGGTTGGGATTTTGCATGCGCTTCGTTGTGACCATGGAGCAATACGACGGTCCTGAGGGGGGGTGGATGTATCATGCCAAAGGCATTTCTTGGGCCTGAACTGGCGTGGCTTACCCTTCAGCCATAGGTCGTCACCAGTGGGATGGGCACAGCTTCCGCTTTAACGCCTCAACGTTCTTCGAACCTCGTTGCCCACGCTGTAGGGAGCGAACGATCCTGACCAGGCCTTATCGAATGCGTTGCACTTGGAGGACGCCGTCAAGACGAACCGAACGACACGCTCCTTTGAAATTCCCAGTACGCGGCGCTCGATGGTCCAGGGACGGGGTGATAGCCCAGGATGCCCTGGATGAAGGCCAGGATCAGGGACACATTCACTACTGCGTTTCGCTGATGATGGTCGAACGGTTCAATGGTCAACGAGTCGTGAAACATGCCGAGACCGAGTTTCGATTCGTGCATCGTGATGCGCCAGTATGGAATCTGAGACCACGTAGTCAATTGACCATGAACCCCAGCAGGCGGTCTCCAAACATGGGATTGGCAGTTCCTCACCTTTCGAATATCCTGAGGATCGGTCTTGATCCACCGCTGCAAATACTCGGCCAGAAGTCGGAGGCTCGGCTCGTGCGTCCCATTGACAGTCACTTTGCTTGTACCGTGCGAGAATACGTGCATCAGATATGGAAGCGTGGTCTGGAAAAGTATCTCCGGTCGTGGCAATGTTTGAAGAGAAGGGAGGTCCCTCAGCTTCTGCGGAGGTTGGTCATCAGGGCGCATTCGGATGTTCAGACTCTTGCTGCCGCCGTTAGACGTCAATTCAGCCCAGTCATCATCGTTGTGACTCTGGTTCGATTGGACAGGATCGGGACTTTTGCTCGCTTCGAAGAGGGTTTCGAGATCTTCTGCAAAAGCTGACAATGCAGAGTTCGACGCATGGGATGAAGCCTTCGTCGGCAGCGTAACGATAAAGGTGCATCTATCCTCGAACCAGGTTGTTTTCACCCTCGCCTCGTCAGCGACCTGCACGATTAGCTACTTAGTAGCTGCCTGAATTTATTCGCGTCGTCTACTCTCTTCTTAGATGAACTCACCTGAATTGACAGCTTCACTCTCTTCACTGGCGATAACTTCTCCAGCAGCACTTCGGTCCAGGCTTCAGAGCTGTCGTCTTCCAGTCTTTTAACAAGGCTGTCGGACCAGGCTTCGATGACTTTCGCGACACTAGGCACGAAAATGGCTTTATCCGGATATGCAGGCTCCAGTTCGGTCCAGAGCATGTGCCACTCTGGTTCGCATGATACAGGATAGCCTATGACTCGGGCCAGGTGTTGCAAAGATCCTTGAACGGTGCTGGTGTCTTTTGCGAAGACATCGCGAATGTCCTTTCGCACTTGAAGGGGCCTGTGCAATTGTCAGAGCTTGTCCCACACACATGCACTGGCGGATGCTGCTTTTGCTTACAGCTGATGAGACATGGTGCTGGAGTCGGAAGGGTACATACTAGTAATCCTCGAATGGATGCCAGGTCGCCTCTTTTATCGAAAGCCCTTCTAATTAAGCCATGGCGAGAACCCCCGGTCCTAATTCCCCTTGTCGAAAAAAGGGGCTGCTCGGCTATCTCAGCCTGACGTTTCCGGCAAGTCGGGGGTGGAGCTAATTAGGTACCCAGTACACCACATACACATATCGACCAACGGCCGAAAGTCGAGGCCAACTGTTGCCCGGATTCTGTCCAGAACGCCTCTCGTGTCTTCCCTTCGCAACGGCCGACTTCAAGGAACATGAGCGGTGTAATGTGCTGCTTTCCTACAGCGCTGACTCTCCACCACCGCATCTTTGGCCCCCGCGAGGCTTCCTCCCCAGCCCTGCCCAGGCCAAAGAACACCATAAGCGCCTCGCTAGCTTGCCTGGGGCAGCCTCAATCTGGCACGCTTAGCAGTGTCCATCGGTAGTGCAGCAGCACGATTCCAGGCCGTTGGTCCTGGATTCCTGGGCGCTCGCCTACCAACACCAAACTCCGGATTCTGGCCTACGCCACAGGGGTTTGGCTTTCGTGTTTTGACTTCCGCCATCACCTTTCACCAAAAAGACCAGCAGCGTGTACGGGTATTCCACTGTAGTGGCGGCGCACATAAGGGTGCAAGACCGCCTCGATCAAGATGCAGGACATTTTAGAAACTCGCAAAGATGCCTCTCAAATCGCCTGTGGACAAACTGCCGCTGGCCGTTCGCAAGAACGGTAAGCCACAATACCCTCAGGCCCGTGCAATATGGCCACTGACCCATGGTAGTGCGTGACGAGTGGGAGTCCAAGAGACCGGAGTTCGAGGCTAAAATATCCAAGACTCTGGGACAGCCATGGACCGTGACCACCAATCCAAATCTCCTGTACGTCTATACCGACGATGACTCGTACAAGTCACGAATCGGCGAGATCATAACCTGGTATGTTCTCTCTTGGGACAGAGGTGCCGTATGTTTCTCTTAGATAGATCTGCCAGGTACATCGAACCGTTCTGCTATAACCTTGAATCTTTTGTCCAATCTTACGGCGACGATGGGAAGGCCGAGCTTAACTCTCTGTGCTCGGAGCATCGGGTCGAACTCGCACCACAGACCGAGGACACTACCTTCACGTATGGCGGCCTGCAAATCAAGGATGGTGTCCTTCGTCTCGTCTTCGCCGAAGGATCCCTGGCCGTCAATGTCAACGACGTCAGTCAAGGATTTCAGGAAGCCCTCAAGTCGGCCGCCGCGTCGTCTGGCGGTGCGAGTGCTTTCAACATCAACGCCAGGCAGTCCGTGCGCGAATCCTACGATCCCGAGATTGGGGCGCTCCAGAAGGCCATCGGCGAGCTCGTGGGGGTCCCGAACATCCAGCTGAACCCGAACTTTGAGCAAAACGCCGCCGTGCTGACCCAAGCGGGGGACAAAGTCCGCTCCGACTGGGACAAGGTCCTCGGCAGCGCCACTCTGTCGTACTTTGATGGTCTGAAGTACCAGCTCGAGCGCGCCGGGTTCAAGGGCGACGACATGCTCCAGGAAGGTTTTCAGGAAGGCATATCGAAGAACGAGATCGCGTTCCGGGTGGTGGAGAAGCTGAAGAATGGCAGCTACCACGAGACGCTGGTCGAGGACGGAGTGCTTGTTATGCAGGTAAGTTCCTTTACGAGAAGCTGTTTATAAGTTGTGCTTGACTGACACTTCAACTTCGATCAGACCACTCCGGAAAACTTCTGGACCAACACGTCTGATATCGGGAGCAAGATTCTAGACATACTCTGAGCGGTGTGAACATGACCCACGGTGCCGGGTCGACGTCTGAGTTTCCGGGAAGATAGTAACGGCCTGAAATCTCAGCAGTGGCCATGTATTCTAGTATTGAGCTGGGCTGATGGCAAGAATTCAACCTCCTTTGCCGACACAAGGTTTGTTGCTCACATGGACGCATGCTTCTGTTTGAAATGATCCATCCTGCCGGGTCGATCAAGACAATCCGTCAGCCATGAGTAGGCAACCACCATCGTCGGTAGAGTCACAGCGAACTCAACGCACCGACCTCGTCGTTGCGCTAATTCTTCTCGACCAAGTGGTAACTCAGTAATCAATGGGTATGAAAAGGCTACAATCGTGCCGCGTCGTCAATCAACCACTTCTGAACTCCAGCAACCTAATAGCCACAGCGTCAGTGCCACACACCTCCTCCACCACCACCAACAAGACACCTCCGGCACATATCTCCTCCGCCTAGAGGGTCCGCTGGACACGGCGCAGAAAGTCAAGACAGCCGCCGGCCTGGCTGACATGCCCGCCACCGCCGCAGGGGTAGGAGAATCCGGCGCGTGCACCAGCTTTTGCGAGCTCGACGGCCGCGCCCAAGCAAACCTTCTCGCCTGGATCTCAGAGCACCACGCTGGCTTCCACCCGACTATTGTGCGCCTGGCAAAAGCGAGCAAGGACCTCTGTGCACACAGTCTGGCGCCGACACTCTCTGTGGACGCCACGCTGCCTCAGAACAGACTTCCCAATAACGACACTGGTACGACTTTTCTGCCCGCGCAGGATCAGTATCCCGTTTGGTACTTCTTCTACGGCACCCTTGGAGATTCCCACGTCTTGACGCGGCATCTTGGTATCGAACGAGGGCGAACTAATCCCCGCGCACCTCGAGAATGGCCAGCTCCGGACTTGGGGAGGGAAGTACAAGGCCCTCGTCGATACGTGTAAGCCGGTGGAAGTTGTGCGTGGGAAAGCCTTCCTCGTCCGAGATCGCGAGCAGGAGGACTCATTACGGTTCTGCGAAACAGACAAGTACGAGGTCGTCCGGTGTCGTATCGTCACTGCGGATGGTGTACTCCCAGGTCTGACTTCTCGGTTTTGCGGCGCGCTACAAGAGCTGGAGTAGCTACTCATTAGTTATCAGTCATCAGGTACGACGAAAGGTAGCGACTGTGCCGGCGGTTGGGTCTGCGCGAAAGACAGTAGCGGTAATGTACAAGAACGTGTATCACCAACAGCAAGCATAGAGTATGCAGGCTATTGATCAGCCATTGCATAGATCGCGATACATCTACAATAGTTTCTGATGTGCATGGCCTTTCTAAGGCAAAAGTTCTAGTCAGGCATATCTCTGTAAACTGAAAACCCAAGGCTTGCTCGTCGATCGCTTCAATGAAACGGCACGGCTTCTACATCGAGAGTGCCGCCTTCGACGCCATCAAGAAAGTCTTTCAACCCCATGCCCCAGCGCTTCTGCCCCACGGTCGTAAGGTCCAAGTCGGCCGGACACGAGGGAATAGTTGCCCACTTCGATTTGTCGTCAGGATCCACGGGCGAGACACTAGGACTCGCGTCATTGTCGAGTTGATCCTCTTGACTGTCAGCCAAGTCAGGAAGATCCAGCGTCGGTTCCTTGTGATGGGCGCCTTCGCCCGAGCCACCGTTTCTTCTGCCCAGGTCCTCGTCGTCATTATCGTCATCATCCAGACTAATGCGCCGCACCTTGACGAGAACCGGGATGACCGCCCCGGTGCCTAGGCCGAACTCTCGATGTCCCAAGACGCGCAACATGGCGGCGATGGCGCCAGAGTGGCTCGTCACCGAGACGCTCTCTTTCTCGGGACCCAAAATCTCGGCATTGGACATGAGATCGTCAAAGAAGCCCCGTAATCGCTTGTCCAGCGCCGAGTTGGGCTCTCTGCGGTCGGGCGTCCAGAATTCGTCCCTCTCCGTCAGATGGGCGTCCGCGTCGACGTTGTAGCTCGGATACCGCGCGCGGATGGAACTGACGCTCCCGCGCCTGTCGCACGTATGGATGCCCGCGCCTTCGCGCGCCTTCTCCATCACCACAGGCCGAAATGATGCTTCTCCCTGCTGCGCCGCAGTCGATCCCACGCCGTCGAAACTAAGCTGCGCGGTCTCGAGCGTGCGGTCGAGCGGAGACACCAAGTATAGGTCTGGAAGACGCATTTTCGCCCCGTTCCCTTGCCCGGACGTCTGATTCTTCCAGAAAGTGTTGACTTGTCGGGCTTGTCGCTTGCCTTCCCTCGACAGCGCCGCGTCCGACCAGATCATGACCCCGTCGGGGTCGCCGTCTAGCGCGCTGAAGTGGCAGTCCCACGCTGTACTGCCGTAGTAACGCTCCGCGATGTTGTGGTAGCCGTTGCCGTGCCGGCCGAGGAAGAAGACGAGGTATCGTGTCCGTGGGGCAGAATGTGAGCTGTGACGACCTACCCGTTGTCGTTGTCGTTGCCGTTGCTGCTTCCTGTGTGCTCCATCTCCTTGTGCTTCGTCGTCGTCGCCGTTATCATCTCCAGCATTCTGATTCAAAGACCTAACGTGGTGTTCAAAGCGCTGCCACTGCGTCATCTCCCTTCCCTTTTTCGGCAGTGATCCATCAGATTCGTACGCCCTGTCAATCAAACCAAAGTTCACGTCCGGGGCCATGAAGTCGAAGGTCGCGGCGTCCGTGGACGGGTCGTCCTGCAGGAAATACCCTTGCAGAGTCCTGTATTGATACGTGTATCTTTTCGTCGGCGATGCTGCTTCCTGCTGCTGCTCCCCATCCTGGGTTGGATCGTCCACGCCGTTCGGCTGCGCATTGGAATCAGCATGCCCGCCCACCACTGCCTGGCCCGGCGGCGGCGACTGAATGGATGTGCCCATGCCCATGTCGGCCATCTCGAGCAGACCACAGACCACGAGCGAGACGGTGAGTAAGAGGAGGAGCTGGACGGCGACGGTGGTTCGACAGATTCGGGGGGGTCCTCTCCACCGGCGATGTGCTTTGCGATGGGGAGAGTAGTAAATCATTTTGCCATTCGGGCTTATACCGCTAAGGGCGTCATTGCGAGGATACTTGGTGCTCCGTGGAGCAGGTGGTTGACCGTGCGTGAGATGCGTAGAACGGAGTGACTTTGAGGATTCTCAGAGGCACCAGGGAGAGAGAATTGACGGAACAACGGGATGTGATGACGGAGGTGAGATGGCGATGGCGGGGACAAGAGCAGGGATTTGTATCTATGTATCACCCGAATATCAGCCGCGTTGACATCGTGACAGTCCATGCAAGTGATGATCGGAGCAGAGCATGACAAAGTATGGAAGTCTTCATTCTACTGGGCCCCCCGGATCAGGTAAAGAATACTCCGGACAAACGCTGAGATACATATGAGCACATGTGTGATGCCTTCTCAGAATGTAGCAGGCCTGAGAGGACAAATCTTGCAATCCTCCGAGCAGGAGGCATCAGCGCCGTGTCGCCTACACGAGAGTGTCTCGGTCCCGTCAGTGCCCTCATGCCGCCGAACCTCTGCTAAAAGGTCCTCGCGGTTCCAACCTGACGTGACGGCCTCGAGCTCAGCCACAGACTCCGGTGCCCGCAAGAATGTCCTCAGCGCGTTCTCGATGGCGACCCAGGTATGTACCCTCGCGCACTTGGCCACGTCGACCAGACGGCACATCTGCCATATCCGCTTGTAATTCTCCTCGGGCGGGAATGCAGCGAGCAAAGTCCACAGGAGATGCTCGGCGCTTAAGCTGCTATCATCGTCGTCTTGGTCGAGGATGCGTTGCAGCGACCGCAGATAATCCTCAGTAGGCTGTGAAAAGTCGCCATAATCGGTCATGATCAAGTTCAGGTGAATCAAACACGCCATACGACAATTTTCTACTGATCTACGCTTCTCAGCACTCAGATAGCCCATGTCTTTGCTTTCCAGCGCCCGGGACAGCTCGGATCCGTCCTGGAAGATTGTCTTCTGAAAACGGCGGCTCCTGAACTCCCTCTGCTGTGCAGGCGTCGAAGGGAGATTTGCTAAGGCCTGACGCCGTCGGGTATCGAAGAAACGGACGAATTCCTCGCAACTGCTTCTGAAGGCACTGTCGGAATCTTTGGCTGGAGAGCCGGGCATTGCGCCTGCCAACTCTGTACAGCTGTCCTCGTACGCCGGGTTGCCATCTGGGGTCGGCCCCGAGAGGGCAATAAAGCTCCTGAGTATGGTGTCAGGAGTGTGAACATCCATCCGATATTGCTGTACTCACCAGACGAGCTTTGTGTGCATTGCTGTGTTGTGTCGGAGCGAGGGAAACCCGCCACGCTTGAGCAGTAATCGCTTCAGAGCTCCCCAGTGCAGCCTGGCTATCTCGCGGTCACCCCAGACGCGCTGCATTCGTTATCACAGGAATTTTCTCGGGCGGGTATACCAGACTCACCTCAGCGTTAGCAAGCAGACCGACTCCGATGATGGTCCAATCGTCGCAAGGCTCTTGTAGGATCTGAAGCCTTCGATTCACTGCCACAAGACTGCGTTGCTTGAACTCGATCACTTGCAGGGATTCCTGTTGCCCTCTCATACTGGCCAAATGATGCGCTGCGTGGTGCAGCATGCCCAGAAAGGGGATCTCATGCATGCGGTAGAGGTTGAATAGATCCCAACACGCTCGGGGTCGGCGAGCCGCTCTTTGCCAGTATTTGTGGACAAGTGATGGGATGACGAAGTAGACTGTGCGAGTTAGCCTCCGGTGTCTCGTGGAAAGGGCATGCAACTCACAGTGATCAACCAATTCGTGCACGTCCGGTGTAGCAGGAATCGGGTACGAGCTGAACGGATCTGCTCGGCCGCTTCCCAGGCGCTGCAGAGGCAATGCCTGGTTTGTCCCCGTTATCATATGTGCGGCCTTTGCATGGCCTTCTGGTTTCGTCCGCGGTGGTTGATTCTCATCCGACTTGGAGGATCTGGACGGTGGTGTTGAGCGTGGTCGGCGCTTCGCTTTCTTCTTCTTCTCCGCGTCTGCGGTATCTTCAGCCCCACACTCCTCGAACCGCTTCCTGCGATAATGCTGCGTCGTCACCCACGACCTTGTCTTCTTCCTTTCAGCCTTGCTGTTTAGTCCCTCGATGAATTCGAACTGCCGCTGAAATCCTGGTGGAGGTTGTTCTGCGACACTTCCGTGTTGAAGGGCGATGCTTCCGACTTCAGAATGTGTGAAGTCTGATGACCTACCTCTGCTCGACCTTGTGCTACGCATTTTTCTCTTGCAGAAGTCATGACCAGGAGCGCTGACAGAATAGTCATAGTCTGGCACTTCACCGGTCTTCCAACTTGACAGCCGAAGATCGGCACAGCATAATCATGTAGCGAATCAAAATTGCCGCGACGATGTACAGTGTCGCCTGAACTCCGAGGCGATGGTCTTACAGTAGTTGTTTATCTAGAATTCACTGAGTAGTCACGGAGTACGGACTACACGCAGGTACAAAGAGGCTGTCAGGTCTTGGGATAAGCCAACCCTTACTGCCTATCTCCACAATGACTAACTGACCGGGTCATTTTCCGGGCTCCCTATTGTCTAACACGTCTAATTACGGAGTGCAGTGTGTCCCTGTTTTGGCCCCCAACGGCTGCAGTTGGTGTCCGGACCCCGGCAACTCCCTGTCTAGAACGCCATCCCATTGCATCTAGGCGTACCGTAGAGCAGGCGTCTCCATAACTCAATGTCGACATACAGGATGCCTTCAGTCAAATGGTCTCACATGATGGTCAGAGAGGTGAACAAGGCGGCGATCAGTACCTTTGTCTGCATCGTGGATGGTGTAGCCGGTGCACCGTCATGGAGAGGCCGCGCGCTGTCGCTGGCAGCTGGAAGACCATCTGTCGCCGTGACAGGGATGGTTGGTGAGGGAGCGGCCGTTGAGATGCCCACATTATGGTACACTGCTGGCGGGTTCGTCTGATTGACTAACAGTGCGTACGTCGCTTCCAACGCACAAAGTTCCTGACCAAGGCCAGTTGTTCCGTCCCATCGACCAAGATACCACTTGCTTCCACACGTGTTCCGGGTCTTGCCTCCTGTACACGATGCTGCTGCACCCTGTGCCGAAGCCCGAAGCACATCGCCTATTCTTCCGGCTGTGAAAGGTGCCATCTTCGAAGTAGCAGCCAACCATCGGATCAAGTATGCTTTCATCGACAGCTGGTCTGTGTTGCAGGTGTTGGAGAGTTCACACGCGGCTTCGAATATTATGTTGGATGCATTTTGAAAGGGGCTGATGAAGGTATTCGTCGCAGCCAGAAGACCAGCGGTCCGGTCGATCCAGGGTGACGATCCGTTGGTGAAGTTCTGGAGTACGGCTGCGCCGTATAAAAAGGCACCAACATTGTAGGACCACTGGTGGTGATCTATGCCGGTGCAGTTGATCAATTCATCTGTGCCATCGTAGACGTTGTAAATGCTGTCAATCAACCCTATACCCCACGCCCAATTCCACACCGTTTCTGCCCAGTGCACGTACGTCTCATTGCCGGTGAATCTTGCAAGTCTCGCCGATAGCTGAAAGAAGGCGCCGTTGGAGATGCTGTTCTTGTAGTAGTAGCCTGCGTTATTGGGGTTGAATTGCCATTTCAGTCCGCCATTGCAACCAGAAGTATTCCAGCGAAAGACATAATCTTGCCAGGCATTGTTGACGATCTGAATCCAAGAAGGGTTGGGAGCAGGCAATTGAGGGAAGGAGTACTCAGCAGCTGCCATAGCCACAAAGACCCAGAAGGCCTGGTCGTCGTTGCCGGTATCGAAAGCTTCAGCAGGAACGTTGAAATCATTCTTGGGCCCGAGTTGAGCGATGAGGGCTGTCTGCATCACCTCATTAAACGTGTCGTCGCCCGTGTAGTGCCAATATTCCATGAGCCCACCCCATGCTCCTCCTGACTCCCACCAGTAGTAAGGTGGGAACGGCCATTTCCCCTGCGTGCCTCCAGTTTGATTGCCACTGTACAAGCCGATTACTTTGTGCGCGCCCAGCGCCGCTGCTGCGAGAATGGACTCTGAAGGTGTTGTCAGTCTGTGAGTGAATGAACCCAGAGATCCGTGCTTACCTGTGTCATCAACGTCCAGAGCAATGCCAACAGCAGTTCTTGACAAGAAACCGAGGAAAATTATAACGGAAAGAACGAGTCCAGGCATGATTGGTTCGAAGGCGCGAAACTCCAGTGGCCAAGGGATGTAGATGGCAATGAGTGTTCCCACTGACGAAAGGAAGTCGCACGGCGCTCAAAGGAGGGGACAAGCAGGCAATAGGCGCGACGAATAGGTAGTGGGCAGAGAGTGACGATGTTATTGTGAGTACGAGAAAATCAACAATCAATCATCTGTTACAGCAATTCATGCGATAGTACCTTTGAAACTCTTGTACATTCACTTCAGCTTGCAATTTTCAAATATGAACTCACTCGTCACTCATGGCTCACCTCACTTGTTACTCACTTGAAAATATCAGCATTCTGCTTTCCCGCCTCTGCTAGTATTTGGCTCAATCGCCATCCATGTCCACTTGACATGGAAATATTCATTTGTACATTGTTGCGTTTGACTGCGCAAGAACATGGCCGTCAAAATCACGCATATAATTAGATCGCTGATTCGGCGTCCACATACTTCGACGATGCATGAAGCGAGATCTCGTGCAGTCGGCCGCAGTGCCCTTGCAATCTCATCCATATCGGTCGATTAGGATTGGAGAAGGGGAAGGTAAAGCAGGGAAGCTTGCTAGTCACTTCAATGACTTCAACTCGTTGAACGTGTGTGACCTTGCAATCTTCGTTCCGCCTGTGTTCCACGTATGCTCGGGGGTTGATGGCTAGACCAATGCCTCCGGACTGCGGTGGGAGGTCTGTCAATGCGAAAGCACACTGCAATCAAGTCAGCCCACGGTTCTTGCATATATCATGTGTGTCAGTCAAGCTTGCTGGTACCCAAACTTTCTACCGCGGCTATAAGCAGCCAACCGCGCCTTCCTCTAAACGGTTTGAGGCGGGCTTGGTTAATACGTCGCCTTCCTTTCAAACTCAATTCTTGTCAGCAATCGAAAGTGCTTCCCCCGTTCATGCTGACTTGCCTCCACGGAGAAATGGAACCATCTTACCTGCATCGACGTTGCAATACGAACGGCCCCGCAATGCCAGCCTTATCAAAGAATTCCGCCTATCGCAGAGCAGGGACAAGCTGCCAGATTTTAATCAGCGTGCCTTAGCACCACCCGCATCGGTTCGTAGATGCGACCACTTACACTAATCTGGACAATGCACAGCCCAATGCCTACTGGGTTCTATCTTGGCGTGAGTATAAATGCCCGTCTGCGTCGTCCGGGATTGATGAATTCGAAAACTCAGAGTGAAGCCCTCATCCATCATGATTGATTTTGAATTGTCGCAAGAACAGTCGGCTGTCCGAAATGCCGTGCGAGGCTGGGCGAAAGCAAACCTGACAAACGCACGATCGGTGTACGAGGGACAGGCCGCTTCGACTGGAGAATGGCGAGAACGTTTCCGGTCGACTCGGCCGATATACGCCGAGGCAGTAAAAGACGGCTTGATCAAGGCCCAGATTCCGAAAGAACTAGGTGGTGCTGGAGGACCCCTGATAGAAGCCGCCCTGGTTGTTGAAGAGTTTTACGCGGTCGAGACGAGCGCTTCTCTGACCATCCTTGGCACTGGTCTTGGACTGACTCCTCTGATCATGGCTGGGAGCCCAGAACAACATCAGAAATTCTTCAAGCCTTTCTTTGACGGCATCGGCACACCGTTGGCGAGCCTGGTCTTTTCCGAGCCTGGTGGAAGTGCCAACTTTGCTGAGGAGGGGTCACCTGGTTTCCAGACTGTTGCCAGGGCAGAGGGAGACGAGTATGTCATCAACGGTGATAAGGTGGGGCGTCCATCTCAGAGTCGTCAATATTGATCGCTAATCAGTCAAGATCTGGGCCACCAACAGTTCCGGCTGGGATGATCGAGGGGCTGATGTACAATGTGTGCTTGCCCGCGTTATTGATTCCGCTCCCGCCGAGGACGTCCGTAGCCAGACTGCCATCATCATCGTAACACGAGAAGACATCGCCACGAACGATCCGGGCGCTTATCAGGTCCTGTATCATCCAGAGACTATTGGGCACATTGCAGTCAATGGCCCTCACATTCGGTTCAAGGACTTGCGCGTTCCAAAGACAAACCTGCTGGCTCCTCCAGGCAAGGGCGCTGACGTGGTGGAGATGACCTTCACAGCTTCGGCGTGTTTGGTCGGTGCCATGGGCGTTGGCATCATGCGGCAGACTTTTGAGCGAGCTCTTGCCTGGGCCAAGACCGAGAAGCGCGGTTCGAAAGAGACCATGTTGAAGAAGCAAAGTGTAGCGGACCTGCTAATCAAAATCAAGACTCGATGCGAAGCTGCTCGAGCTCTCGTTTGGAAAGCTGCTCATGCTTTCGGCCGCACACAATATGGAGCCGAGCTATGTTATGAGGCTAAGATATTTGGGTCGGAAAGCGCGGTCGAATCGGTTATGGATGCTATTAACCTCATAGGCGTGTCTGCGTATTCTCGCAAGCAACCGTTCGGCGATTTGCTCAACGACGCGGTGGTGTTGCCGATCTTTGACGGAGGAAATGTAGGCGTTCGAAGGCGACAGATCGAAGCTATCTTCGCTAAAGATGGCTATGATCCATGGGAGACAACTTATGGTGCAGACGAGAAAGGTCCGGCTATGATATCGTAGGCCCAAAGGGGGAAATAAGATGCGGCCACCGAACACCCGAGTGTTGTCTCCAGGTATGGGTGAGGTACTCCGTACACCCAGTGGAATGATGTGAAGTGGTCACTCAGTGGTGTGGGTGTGGTGGAAGGCGAGAAAGTGGTGAAAGCACCAAAAGGGTCATCGTGGATGACATAAGCACTTGGCATTTATGTCACCTGTTGCTTTCCACCTGTTTCTCCCTCCATCCCTCTTAGGTGCCACTACTGCCTGTAATTTTCCGACATTCTGATCGAACTGTACTGGGTACCATATCTTCTTGATCTGTGTCAAAATCCTCCCAAGGTCTTCTCGCCTGCTCTCCGCCTTTCTCCGGACCCTGCTTCCTCCTGAGAATCATGCCGAAAGCCCAGAAAGGAGCCCTTCTCCAATGTGACCCACCCCAAATGGCCATGGTCCGGAAGATCGACAGGGAGTCCAACCATGCTTATATTTTGGAGGAAATCGATGACAAGACCTGCTTGGTCAAGGAGAACCGGGTGGAGGAGATCAAAGCCAAGGTCAAAGAGTTGATGGATGCTGCAATGGGCGTGGATGAGGATGACAACGATGACAAGGACAGCGACCTAGATTGATCGGCCTCACGACACTCTCCTCCAATGGTCAGGTCAAATTTCGCGTTGGCCATGCGGTCGCAATACAACTCGCATTGTCTAAGGCGCGAGCAATGCATGATGCAAGGTCGATCCGCCCACTGGACAAGTGTCCATGGTTTGGGCAAGCTGGAGATGGTTTATCGTACGAGTACCCGAGGCTGCAAGGGCAGCAATGCTCGGTCTGTGGACTATCGAGTTGTGACGTGGCCACCGGAGCGAACCCGACGGCGAAAACCCAATTCGTCTCCACACCAGAATTGAAAGAGCCATAGAATAGGCGGAGGTTATATCTGAAGCACGCAATGGACGCTTAGCGCCGATCGAGACATTCGAGCTCCGGTTGCCAACAAAGTGGTAGGCTGTGTATCGCTGGAAGTATTGAAAAGGGCGATCAGTTGGGGTAGCCGGGTATCAAGTCGGAGGATGACGGGGAACAACCCATACCAAGTTCGACGCTGTACGAGTACTCGTGCGAGTAACATCTCGAGTGTGTAACGGGCCAACTGGGGTCAGCGAGACGGGCCGTAGGCCACGCGGTTGGCAGGGATCGACATCGGGTGGGTTTAGCGGGAAACAAGCAGGATAACTCTTGTGGGGGAGATGAATGAATATACAGTAACAGCAAGGGTGCGCTTGGTTCTTTGAGAGGTGCTTCTGGTACTACTGAGTATGCAGGCTTAGTAAGGAAATAGAGCTCTTATAGCAGGAACAAGATTGCCTAGATAGGGAAGTGCAAGACCTTGCTGTGCGTCTCGGGCGGATGGCCTTCGTCAAGAAGCATTTGGACATGCGTGCCCAGGACGTCCTCAAACCGGGAAAGCTGGTACAGCTCTGAAATTCTATGTTCGGTCAGATGCAGATAGCCGCAGGAGGCAGCATATTAGTGCAATGGTAACTCACAGCATTTCCAGGATCTTTCGTATGCTCATTGGAGCAGCAAGTGCGTGTTACAGCTGTTGTTCGCTGGGCTTGCCTAGCACGAGCAGGCATGGGGGAATGTTGGCAAGTGCACCGGGTATGGACAGAATACCTCGGTAAAATGGAGAACCGAGTACATACGTGTTTAATTGTCGAGCGCCGGAGCCTTCAAGGAGTGCTTTTGGGCGTCGAGCCTAAGGGAGCCTATAGGCACATAGGCCTAAAGTTACTTCTGCTGAGGGCCCCACGGCTCCCTAAGCGTTGACTTCAGGGAACTCTTTCCATTACATAAGTATTCACCAGCCACACAGTTGGGTGACAGTGCTTTGTTCTTTTCCTGTCTACTTGACCTACTGTGTACTCCATACTCCGTATGTAAGATCAGCTGCGCATCATCTTCGGGCTTCAGATCTGCAGTCCATGACCTATGGAGTACTTAGTACTCATGGTCCATGTTCCATGCTCATGCTTTGTACCTCGTCCTCCGTGCTCAACCTGTTGGACTGCTGCTTACTCGTCCAGTAATCCGTATTGCCAGCAGCTGCAGACGGATCTCCATCAATACAGCTTGGCCAATTGTGCTTGCTGCTTCCATCTCTTGACTGCTGGCATCAGTCCATGGCGCTAATTCTGTCTCCAAATCGCTTCCGCTCTTCACGATGATTTCACCGTCACCGTCCTTCTCCATGTATCCCCAATCCCTGCCCCGGCTACCTGGCGCCCTGGCTCCCTGGCTCCCTGGCTCCCTTATGCACAGGGTGACTTGAGCCTTGGATCCTTGTGCAACCTCCGGCTTCTTCGCTTATTCCTATCGCAGCGCCCTCTTCTCTGACTTGTCAGTTCGTTTAGACCTTCCCCCCGTCGACGACACCAGGTCGTACTTGCTCCCCGAGCTATGCTTTACTGATCCTGGCTCTTGATCTGCAAGGCATGCAGAGAGACACAGCACCTCAACAGCCCCCAAACCCTCATCGTGCTTTCACTTCGCCTTCTCACTTATCGTCTTCCTATGTAATATCAAGACCTTCGGTGCCGAGTTGGTCTATGAACAGTGGCGCCCTCACTCTAGTCTCTTTCTAGGCCAGCATCATCCTATCCGCAGGTCATCACCGTTACCAACACCGCAGGACTAGAGACACCAACTCAGCATACGACGATTTCTACCTCGCACAGTCGCTGTATTTGGTATTTGGTATGCGGATATCTTCCAACCCATGAACTTTTCTTCGATCACACTATCTATCCAAATCGATTCTTTATCACAGATTTGTCACCATTGCTTCTCGCGTTCATCGGCGATACGCCTTGAAACGCCCCCACAGCCACCTCAGCAACATCCCGCAAGTACCCGCCATTCAACGTGGGTGGCTTACCCACTTCGTCGCCTTTAAGCCGTCGCAGAAGCTCCTTTGAAGCCACGAGAGAGCGAGAGAGACTGCCTCGTCGCGCCACAACGCGGGTGAGCGGCATCATCAGATTCAACGACGACGTGATCAACAACATACACGGTCGACATTACATTATTTCTCCTTCCGCCACAAGCCAGTCCCTAAATGCCCTGGCTTCCGCGGCACAAGCCTTGATTGAAGCCGCCCTTGCGTCGAAGACCCGCCATTGTGGGCTGCGTTTATCTTGCAGAAGCCATCGTCGTCACTAGCCTCTCATTTGGACCGAGTTCGTCAGTGCACTTCGAGGCATAACAGGAAGCTTCACCTGTCAGAATTTTGAATGACCACATATAATCACGGTCCGAGCCGAATCTGACGCTATCTTCCACCAGAAAGACTGCTGTACCTTTTGCAGTTTGGCGACGGGGTTCGCCGCTCTGCGAGAGCGCGTCTCAAAAGAGATTTTCCCTTTCAATTATACTGCAACACCGCCTTGTGGGATCATGAAACACAGAGCCGATCAATCATGCTGTTTGAACCCGGTTCAGTGCCTGCAGGCCCGCCCATCGAGACCAAAAAAGCGTTGATCTTGCTCGACTTCCAAAACGACTTCATCAAGGCAAATGGCAATCTTCCCGTCAACAATGTCCAGCCTTTCTTGTCCAACCTACTGTCGCTTGTGGATGAGTTTCGTTCTAAAGGCGAAGTGATATGGGTCGGAACGGGATTCGGACAACCTCGCTCTTCTATCTCTCCTATAACGGGTTCTCACTCGATTGTCCTCAAGCACCATCTTCAGCAACATCAAGCGAATGAAACCGACAGTGAGTACTACAATAACCCGAGCAACGTCCGCTCACCTCACGAAGATCCCTTTTCTCCCTCGGAAAAGCCAGATGCCGTTCACGATCGAGAGGCATTTCTCGCTCCGGTCATGACGACGACCAAACACAGATGCTGCATGCCTGGAACCTGGGGGGCGGAGTACCCTGATATCATCAGGACCGCCATCAATCTGCAGCGAGACCTGGTCATGGAGAAGTCACACTACTCTGCATTTCAGGACACACCCTTACTCATGCACCTCCGTACACGCCTGGTAACTGAAATTTATGTCTGTGGCACGCTCTCGAATATCGGAGTCTACGCTTCGGTGCTTGACGCCGTCTGCCATGGTGTACAAGTCACTCTCGTCGAGGACTGTCTCGGCTATCTCGACGAGATGTGCCATGTAGAGGCCATGCGCCAGATGGCAGATAATATGGGCGCGAAAGGTGTTGATTGCCAAGAACTGCGTGATGATCTTGCTGGTCTGCTTGGCGAGGTCATCCGAGAAGAGGATTATACAACACGACTTCAAGTCAGCCTCCCCCCACCGAGTCGAAGAACAAGAATGCACAAGTCGAGACAACAGATCGATGACTGGATATCGGAGCTAGAACGCAAGCAGAGTCCTGGCCCATCGAAGGACCCCGAAGGAACGGGATCGAAACGGAGCGAAGATTTGGGGTTTCCGCGTCGCGACTCCCATAGCCCGAGTGAGTCAAGCCGTAAACCGGTGAAGCACAAAGCGACCGAGCACAAACCACCCCAGAAAAGGTCAACAAGTGATCTAGATCCACTAGACGAAGACCGCGTGCTCAAGTTGTCACAAAAACCATCCTCTCGTCGCACCTCGACACATGCTGAACAGGTAAAGCCCAAACAGGCACAAAAAGTCACGCGAAAACGGCGTTCTTCGCGAGAGTCCTCGGTCAGGTCCGTTACGCCTTCTGAGTCACCGATACATCGGACTCGGTCAGCAGAAGAGTCATCTTCTCATAAAACTAGCTCACCCGAGACTGGACGGGCGCGTGTTCGAAACATGCTGCCGGATGCATCACCCGAAAGCCACCATCAAATGGGACCAAAGAAGAAGAAAAAGACTGCCCCTAATATCCTCGGACTCGAGGATAAGATCGGCGAGGGTGACTCGAGACTCTACGTCAATCTTCTTGATCAAACTGAAGCCGAGCAAGCGTTCTATTCATGCAGGAAAGACATCAACTGGCAGAAGATGTTTCATCGATCTGGCGAAGTGCCTCGCCTTGTCGCTGTCCAGGGGAGCATGCCTGGGGATGGATCTGAGCTGCCAATATATCGACACCCAGCTGATGAGTCACCTGAGCTTTTGCCATTTGATACGGTTGTGAACATGCTACGGAAGGCCGCCGAAAGGGTTGTTGGCCATCCACTAAACCATGCTTTAATTCAATGGTACCGAACCAGCGAAGACAACATCTCGGAGCACTCAGATAAAACACTTGACATTGTGCGTGGATCCAGTATCGTCAATGTGAGTTTGGGGGCTCAAAGAACCATGATTCTCAGGGCGAAGAAATCCGCTCTTCTAGGGCCTGCCAAAGGTGAAGAACCTGACACTGTGAGACCTTCCCAACGAGTGCCTCTACCTCACAATTCTCTGTTCGTCCTCGGCCAAACCACAAATCAGCACTGGCTTCACTCGATTCGAGCCGACAAGCGGCCTGATTTTGAGAAGTCACCTGCAGAACTTGCCTTTGGCGGAGAGAGGATCAGCTTCACTTTCAGAAACATTGGGACATTCATCAATGTTGCCGCTAATACGATATGGGGTCAAGGCGCGACAAGCAAGATCCGAGGTGGAGCATCACCTTTGACAACTGGGCCGGAGGCCGAACGAGAGGGCGAAGAAATGATTCGGGCATTCGGGCAGGAGAACCATCGCAGCGTGGACTGGGACTGGGATGCATGGTACGGAAAGGGGTTTGACGTGGTGAACTTTGAGACGAAGCACGCTGACGAGCGGCCGCCAGCCGAGGAAACGCACGTCGGCGGCACGAAAGGCGAGAAGGGAAAAGGTGACCACGATGGTGGCAGCCCGACCAGGGCAGGCTCCGCGCCGTTCTGACGCTGCTAAGATGGCGGCCCAGATGAAAACCAGCTATTGACAAGAACCATACCCGAAACACAGCGCACTGGTTCACGAAGGGTCAGTTCTTCAATGTACGAGTACCCGGTTCCGACGGCAGAAAGCAAAACGAAAGGCTTTCTTTTCAGGCACGCTCTCTTCGCTTTGACGCATCAAGTTCAAACCACCACATCCCACAATTGAAGGAGTCAGACCGACGACCCAGCGTATCCGAGGAAAGAAGAGCCATCACACGACAACCAACTTTGACGGGGAAGCGCCCACATTGCGCCGGTACGCCTACCTGCAGCGAGAACGCTATGGCTGGAAAGCGAACGATGGCGTCGTGGCCTCAGTAGTGGACCACGTCAAATAGTATGAATTCACAAATTGAGACCGGACCGAGGAACGCCCATGGAGACGGGCAGCCCGGGGGAATGGAATGCCTGGATATATGTATATATATATCTATATCTGTAGCATAGCATAGCATACCATCGGGGTGTGGACTCGGGGACCATTGACGATTGTGGCTGGGAGCTGGCCAGGCACAGGCACAGGCACAGGCACAGGCACAGGCACGGGCACGGGATGGAAGATATAGAGAAAACACTTAACGGAATGAATGACGACTGACGAATGGAGAAATGGAAAATGGGAAAATGGAAAAAACGGACAATGGGAATATGAAGAATATGATGGATGACGAATGATCAATGAGGAAACGACCAACGATGGGCCACCACGACGTGGACATGAAATGGAATGAAACCACTTGGGAAAAAGGCACACTTATGATGGATGGATGGAACAATGTACTTTGATGACGGACGGCATGAATGGAGGCCGGGCAAGCCATACGGGACGGACGGGGCGATCACAAGCTTCATAGGGATGGAAACAAATGTCGATGGACTCGCAGAGAATGAATAGGTACGAGTGACGGAGTACTGTAGATGAGATTTTGTGTCGAGCTGTTGCTCTTCTGGCGATTGACGCTCATTTCTACTCGGTGGACACATATCTGTTCATTCTTATCACGAGCCCTTGCCTGGCTGGTCCTTTACATACATATAGTGTCGATGCATTGAAAGGAGAAGGGAAAACGGAAGGAATAGATGAATCGAAAGCTAAGATACTGCTTTGTGGTAATCATTTGCACGCATTCATCTCCCACCTGTCGAGGATTTACAATAATCCAGCTCAATATCAATATCCATGGCCGCCGTCCCAAGTCGCTGCTCTGATTCTTGCCGGACGCCGAACCACGGAACAATTGATACCTGCCCCAGTTGCCGTAAAAGATTGAACTGCATGCAGACCCGCGATGCGGGCCCAGCTCAACGCCACCGATGCAATTCATAAGATTCGAGATAAGTCATAGCGTTCTGTTGCATTCATATCGCGTTAATCGACCAGCCCGTGCCACACCTGTTTCGACCTCAACCATGGCCGAGTTGTGCGCCAAATTCCCCTGTGCGCCCCAGTGCCACAATGTGCATTCAGGATATCCGTCAAACGAAGTAGTCTTGTGGCAAAGCTGCAAGGCCAATAACGGTGCCTACAGCGCCAATGGCCATCCCTGTAATGGTAGCTGCAGCCATTTTGATGATGCCATTGCCACGTCGCTCGCCAGCTCTCGACTTTGTTCTCCTGGCCTTCTTTCGCGGTGGCTCGGAATTGGTGGCATGTAACCTCCCTGCGACTTCCATAGCCAAGGCTGGCTGACTTGGCTCGCCGGTTTCGACGGTAGGACTCGCAATATCTGCATCATTTGGCAAAGGAGCGGTATTCAGGTCGCCAATTTCAGAGGACCCAAACTCGGAATGCGCAGCGTTGGCATGGAGGGTGTCAGAGCAGATTTGGTCAGCCTTTCGTTTCTTGGAACCCTTTGACTCTTCCTCTGGCTGTTGTTGGACCAGGCTTGCAATTGAAAGCGGCGATAATGGGTGAGCTGGGGGAGGTACCGCAGGTGCTTGGAAAGCGAAAGGCGTAGCGTAAACCGGTGGACAAGTAGTGTGAGACGGGTGGTAAGCTGAATCAAACTGAAATCGCTGCTGCGCTGGTGGCCGTGGCACAGGTTCACCAAAAGCAGAGTTGTTATCAGCCAAGTCAGGTCCTGGTCGGCCTGCCGGATGTACGAAACCGCAAAATGGTAGGTCATACTGCGGGTAGGAAGGGAATGGAGGAGCCGCCGACGAGGCTAAGTTTGCAGATTCCCCTGAGGGCTTAACCATGGCTGCATCAGACGGGCTTGGAGCTCGGCCGTGCTCTGGTGGCATTGTAGCATTCATCATGGAGCTGCTTGGAGCGGCCTCAGTCTGCGAAGAGGGAATATAGTCTGTTTCGAGGGGATCCGAGTATTCGTTCTCGAGCTCGTCATCGGCATAGGACTCGGGTCCAGAGATATCATCGTCGCCATAACTCTTTCCAAAGTGGATAACATCTGCTGGACTAGTGGCTGATGGTTGAGAGGGTTCAGTTTTGTCAAGGTGCGTGGTTGACGTAACTGGAGTAAGAGTGTAGACGGGCGACAGGGTGACGATCTTCGACCTCATTGCAGACTCTGTCTCGTCATCTGAAAGTTCCCCGAGCGACGAGCTGTCCTGAGTGGAAGCCTCATCAGAGTCTGGGGTAGTGAAGGTTCGGGCCTGGGGTACGACGATCTCGACGCTGGCTTCACGGACGGAATCTTGAATGACCTGATCTTCGCTGTCGGGCTCGGAAAGGTGGCCGTCAACCTCCTCGAAAGCCTGGTAGTCGTGTTCTTCTTGGTCACCCAGAATTTCCGAAGAAGGTTCCTCGTATGCCTCGTCTTCGCTGTAGTAGTCGGCAGTAAAGGTATTTCGATAGATGTTGCTGTGAGGTGAATGGGGATTATTGGAATCAGAACTGCGGCAGAGGTCAGTAGGGGCAACAACAGTCAAGGGTGTCGTTGAAGTTGTACCTTTCATCAGACCATTTCCAAGCGACTCGTAGTCTAAGAGCGCTGAAATGGGCTGGTACGCTGTCAGTGCATGTCACTCCCGGAGCGTCGTTGTACGCACCACTGCCTCTCACCACATTAGCACCGAGGGTCACAGTGTCGTCAGTCCAGATTTTCTCAACCTGGTGCGTTGCTAGTCTCCTCCCACAGAGCTGAGTGCCGTGCATCGAGCCGATGTCTTCGATCAGAATGTCCTGCCTGTATTAGTTCGACGTATGTGTAGCGTGGAAAGAAAGAACGCACCTTTGTCACAGGATCTGCTCGCAAGACGGCATGGTTTCGTGACATAACCTTCGAGTCAAACCAGGTATTGTCTGGGGCTGCAGCGATGCTCCCGTAGCCGCTCTGAGTGCCACGACCAATATTGACCTGCCACGCCGGGGCACGGAGGGTGATGGTTCGCTTAGGGATGGGCTCACAAAGGTCGACATCTTCGAGGGTTACGGTGACTGCGTATGTTTGGTCAGCAAGAGGCTACCCTTCGAAATCAAAAGCTGTGGCACATACCATGAATACCTGAGTGCTCTGTCCCCGCCATGGCAACAGGTCTATGGGGGGTCAGACCGATCTTGCGGCAGGACTCTACCTGGTGAACCAGTATGGAAGAGCGTCCTTCAAGTGATAAAGATTGAGGATTTGAGGAGTCAAAGTCCAAAGGGAGAAGAAGTGAGGTTCAGATGAGGCGCAGGCAACCAGAGGGGTTGAAGTGTTCGTGTTGACTTGGTTGGACTAGGCTGGAGCCCGCAGCACGAAGAACGGTACTGGTTGGAGTCTAAAGGTCCGAGACTCTGTCGAGATAAGCCGTGGTTTGGTTGCGAGCTGGGTGAAGAAGGAGTGAACTTGACCACTCAGGCCGACCTGAGGCAGTTCGTCTGTCCTCAGACAAAGACGAAGCAGTGACAGTTGTTCAAGCGAAGGGGTGGATGTGACAGTTTTACTCTGGTTCGACTCGCAGTCACGCTCTCACACTCGTCTCACAGGCCAGGCGCAAGTCCGCATTGCAGGCAGGGGGGTCGCTGCCCCTCACTTGGAGCCTGCCAGCTATCGATAAAGAGTGGAGCGAACCGGTTCTAAATCCGGTTTAGACCCCCACAATGCTGTTCCTGACTGTCATTTGAAACGAGGGATTTCCGGAGCGCGAGGCTGAGCTCAAGCCTTGTCCAACCCTGTGTACTTGCCTCTATGGGCATGGTGCCGTCACAACTCGTATTCACTCTCTGGAATGGACAGCTGTAGCATTCTTCGCACGCAGAGTGTCCAAGTATAAATTGGATGGGGTTAGGATCGGGAAAGGATGCTGGACTCGATGCTGCCCACAACACAATCTCACTCACCTGGACTTGAGTTCAATCAGTCTCCGACACCAAACGTGATCGACAATGGTCAATGTGGTCTCCTGTCTACCCTACCTCTCCTGGTCACAACACCCCAAGGAACATCCTCTTCCTTCTCACATTCAGTCTTCCAGTGTAGCTACACCGTGTGGCAACTTGGAACTTCTGTGCTGTCAGCCCCAGCACCGTGATCCGAAAACACCGCCGTTGATCTTTGTCCATGGCGGCTTCGGCTTCGCAGCTGTCTGGCTTGATTGGATGACGTATCTCTATGAGCGAGGCTACGCTGCGACCATGTATGCCTATAGCGCGCGAAGCCACGGCGCAAGTTATGCAGTGCCATACCTTCAGATGGCCTGGGGGACATCTCTCGATGATTTCGCCAGCGACTTGGCGACTGTCGTCAAGACCATCACAACTCACCTCGAAGACGAGAAGGAACCGATTCTGATAGCTCATTCCGCGGGCGGAGCACTCGTGCAGTACGCTCTCACAAACGGCATGATTACCGCCACTGCGTTTTGCTTGGTAGGATCGGTCCCACATTTCGGCGGGCTCGATGCATATTGGAATTGGTCGAAAATGGATCCCTGGATGCACCCTCGTTCATGGATCCTCGGCCTTCACCCGATGAGTGGACTTGCCCATCCAAAGCTCGTCCGTCAGATGTTCTTTTCGGACAGGTTTCCCATGGACAAGGTGGTAGACTTCATGCACTGGATGGCACCCTACGAGAGTCTGGGGTGGGCCGGCGGCCAGAATGGCTCGTTTTGGAAGTGGTTAATGGGGAAGAATGAATGGCTAGAACCCATGCGCATCCTAAAAGCAGTGACCGGGTGGGACAGACGCGGCGATCGAGTCTGTGTCATGGTCGGTAGTCAAGACCGGATGATGGATTTAAACATGGCTCGAAGACAAGTGAGCGAATTTCGAGCAGCGGTCAGAGCTATGGCGTTGGAGTCTTCGGCGAGTCAAGGCAGCCGTGGAGCTGACGCGGACGCAAAGGAGAGTACTCACGAAGAGGATATACCAGAAGTCGAGGCTGAAAGCTTGGAAAGGGTCCGGCTCGTTGTCGTACAAGGCGCCGGTCATCATACCCAGAATGATGTACAACGGCAGGCTGCCGCGGAAGCAATCTGGCAGTGGCTTGAGCAGTTGTGACGAGTCTCAGCATGCGAACCCGGATCCGAAGTGTTTTGAACTCCTCTTATTATACACTCCTGTACACCTTTTGGTACCTCATGCTCATCAGAACGCCGTGATGCGGACCTCGGAATCTAACATCGAGATTCGCACGAGCAAGTGTGCTATTACTTACAGATCAACAGGTCTCCCTCGTGTAGATCGCTCATCAGCATGAAGCATGGCCCCTACCCGTACCCATCCGACAGACCCAAGAAGACAAAGTGAGAAGGGAGATCTGCCTTGAGAAAACCAACAGCAAGATTAAGAGCAGCCATGCGATGACGACTGGATTATCTCAATTGAGGACCACCGAGACCGGCACCTTCCATCTGCTGCAGACGGGCTGCTAACTGCGGATACTTTTGCGACACCTCGAGTTGCGTACGTGTGGCTTCGGCGTAAGAGAGTGCGTTGACAATCTCGCCTTCTGTTCTTGAAAGTTCCGCCGCACGTTCGAAGTACTCGAGCGCCTTGGTAACCTTGCCTTGCTGCAGGAGCAGTTGGGCCATGGTGGCGACGGCGATATCGCATTCTGGGTCAACTGCAAATCATGATCAGCGATGTGTCACGTTTCTAGCTTCAACTTAACTTACGGATCAAGGCTTTCTCACAAAGCTCTTCGGCTGCCTTGAAATCCTGTTTCCACTGGAAGAGGGCAAGTGCTTTGTTGATCAGAGGCAAGACGTTGATCGCTCCGGTGGGCTTCGTCTGTCTCTCCATGTCGATAGCTGTCTCGAATCTTTCGATGGCATCCTGGTACTTCTGCTGGTCGAGGAGCAGCTCACCATAGTAGTTGTAGACATCCGGCACCTTGTCAAAGTTCTTGACGCATCGCCGGAAAGTTGCCATGGACGAAGCGATTGAGCCGAGCTTGTACTGGGTGACCCCCAGTTGGATGTGTGAGTAGATGAAGTCTCGATCCAGGTCGATCGACTTTTGGTAGTCCTTGGCAGCGTCGGCGTACTCGCCCAAGATGAAATGTAACTGAGCGCGGTGGTAGTAGATATCGGGATCGTCCTTGTCCTGCGCCATGGCTTTCTCGAAGTCGTCTGCGGCCAAGTCCTTGTTGCCGAGCTCCAACTGCATGCTTGCACGTTTTATGTACGGTTGTGTCAAAGACGGCTGCAGTTCGATAGCTTTGTTCAGGTCTTCCAGGGCGTGTGCCGTGTCGCCCTCCAGATACAAGAATGTGGCCCTCATGTTGTGCGCGAATGCCTCGTGTTCACCCAAGTCTCCGAGTTCCAGGGCTTTTTTGAAATTGGCGGCTGCCTCGTCGTAGCCTTCAGACGTCTTCTTTTTCATGGCAATCAAGCCTCTTTGGAGCTGACCTTTTCCTGTGTTCTCCTCGAGCTCGGTCGTCTCCTCGAGTCCTGCGGGCGGCGGCCGCGGACGGAAACTCTGCAGATAGTTCGAGACGAACGTTGCGCCGGGCAGCTTGTTTTTCTTGTTTGCCAGGATTGCCTTTCCCTTCTTCTCTGCCACTTTCTTCAGCAGTCTTTCCACACTCTGGGCACTACTTTCGTTCTTGAAGCCGTCGATGATGCAGCTGGCGGTGTAATCTAGGAGGGCTTCGGAGAACAGGCCTAGGTGTTCGTAGGCGTGGGCGCGACGGTTGAGGGCTTTGACGTATTCGGAGTCCATCGAGATGGCCGCCGTGCAATCTTCAACCACCTTATCCCATTCGCTGAGCGCATTGTAGCAAGCCGCGCGGTTGGAGTAGTAGACGGGATCGGGTTTGCAGAGTATGGCCTGGCCGTAAAGTCCGATGGCCTTGTTGTAGTCTTTGGAGCCATAAGCTTTGTTGCCTGCTTGCTTTAGTTTGCCTGCATACGCCGCTCGGTCCTGCTTAGTGTCAATACCGGTGTGCAGACGTCCGCTAAATAGGTCGTACCTCTTTCGAGAAGCTTTCGACATTGGACTCGTTAATGTCTGGCAGTTCGTCTTCCGCCTCGACGATCGCCGTTCGAGGAGCAGCAGGCCCTATCTCATGTGTCAGTCAAGGATGATTCGCGACGATGAATCTTGTCGTACCAGCCTCCTCATCTTGTAGACTGATGCCCGACGACTTAGCTGCCTCTTCGGCAGCTTTCTTTTCTTTCCGTCGCTCCTTCTTGCTTTTTCTCTTTTCTGTGGGTGTCGCTGGGGCGCCTCCCTTCTGGGTGGAGAAGTAATAGATGGCGCCAGCACTCGTGACGACGACTACCGTGCCAGCTATTGTGTACGCAACCGCCTTGTTCTCCGAGACCCAGTTCGATACGCGATCCCAAAGGGATGCAGGTGCGCGAGAGGCATCGATGGCGGCAGCTTCTGCCATTGCAGCTGTGACAAGAGAATTGCAAGAAATGGACAGGAGCTAGGATATCGAGTTCACAAAGCCCTGGAAACAGATGAAGATGGCGACAGGAAGGCCGTCCAGCAGGAGAAATGCAGGGAAGCGAATGCACTGCGCAATGATCTCAGAACAAAAAGATGGAGATGGAGATGGACACGTGCGGCAGCCAATCACAAGAGCCCAGCGTCTCTCGCCTGCGCCGTACGGAGGACTCGTCCTCTTGTCGTCGTCGGTAGCTAACAGTCCGATGTCTGTGTATCACTATGGTTTCTTCATCGCGTGCAGCAGTCTCTTCCACGATGCTGAAGCTCGTGTGGCAAATCTGCGCGGCAGGTCTGGATCCGGGTCCGCCAACTCACGCGAGAACAGCTCCATACTGATCCAGCCATCATATCCCAACCTGTTGACAATCGCGTCCATGACTGTCTCGATGGGAAGATAGCCGCCTCTGTCCTCTTCGTATGGGAATAGTCGCGCATTTCGCGACCAGCTCATCCTTGCGGGCTGATCGGTCGCATAGTATGGATGAGACTCGCTCAAGGGCGGATCCAGCTTCTCGGCATCTCCAGCCTGAACATAAAACACCTTCGCAACATCTACCTGGTTGACCAACCTGTCAAGAGACACCTCAAGAGCGTGTTCCGCACCGGGGGTTCGTCCGCTCTGGGCAGTAGGATCGCCCCATGTGCGGCCAGCTATGTGGAAGGCGTCCAGACACAGGCCAAAATTGGGCCTGTCCACTTTCTTAGCAAGCTCCCAGGTATCTTCCCATGTGTCAAAATATCGTCCCCAGGCAATGCCTTCATACGCAAAGCGGACTACTGGGTTCTGTGCAAGCCCCATATCAGCTATCTGTCGAAGGTCTGCCACAACAGCGTCTTCATTCCCAGTCGTGCCTTCTTGCAACCAGCTTGTAGGCACCTGAATCATGTCTGTGCCTAGGCTCCGGGTGATCTCAAACCACACCGTCAGCTTCTTGAGCATGGCTTCATGTTGCGTCCGGTCAAGGAGGCCTTCGTACTGCCGAAAAGGTTGGAATACAAGTACAGTTAAGCCGAGTTTGTCGCATTGTTGACGGATGTCTCTCGCTGCCTCGATGCTGTTTGAGTCTCCCAGGCCTCCAGGAAGCTTTTCTGCCAATGTCTTAATATCGTCCTCAACAATCTCCACACCCTGGAAGCCATTCCGAGACGCTTGGAGAAGTCTCGTCGACACTTCGTGCACCCTCGGATCACCCAGTGATAGCGAAGCAATCGCAGGTCGAAGCATGATTGCTGGAATGCTACCAGATATGGGTTCAGTTAGGTGTGCCAGGAGCACGTCCTTTGGGGCTTCGATTTTGTCCTCGCCGCAAGGAACGTCGGCTAACGACGGTATGAACAGCTACCTTAAGTGAGTCTATCCAACCACATGCAACGACTGCACTGTGTTTATCTGATCACAGGAATTCTGGAGGGCTGGTAACCACTCTGGCATGAGTACGTCTGATCCCTCAGCACCTCCGCACTTCGTCCTGCAGTCTCCAACATCGGCTATGCATTACTCCGCCACGACGGCTAAGATCTACGGGATGACAAACCTCTCTCGGGCCATACGCCGGACTCATTACTTTTGCGAACAATCGTGACTGGCCTATCTCTCGATGGGTCCATATGCAGCTGCACGCAGCTCCGAATGAACATGTCGGTACACATCGACCGTGGTGCCGGTGTCGAGAGTGGGATATCGTCCCGATTCGAAGTCACAAAATTCGGGATACGAAGCATATTTCTGTTGACGAATTGATCCTTGCAACTACAGAACAGCGTGAGCCGCCAGTCTTTCCCCTGTTTTTGACAGTGTGCGCGCAGAATGGTGCATATCGGCATGCCCAGGTCGCGGGTGTACATGGCCGGAGCTCCTGGAGGAGGTACCATCGCGGCTCCTGCCCATGGCTTTATTGCACAATGCCTTGGGAAGAGCTGGACCATGTCGTTCTTGGAAGCCAAGAGCATTGACGAGGTTGTCGATACGTTCCGAGCGCCGGAATTTGCAGGTGGCATTGTGACTATGCCCTGGAAGAAGAACATTATCCCTCACCTGGACTACGTCGACGATATCGCGTTAACCCTCGGTGCATGCAATCACGTCTCAGTGAACGACGACGGCACTCTGCATGGAACGAACACTGATTGGATCGGGGTCAGGGACGCTCTACTAGAGGCACAAACGTCGTCTTCCATTGTCGCTGGGCGAAGAGGACTGATTATTGGGGCAGGCGGCGCGGGTCGAGCTGCGGTGTATGCCCTAACGAGCCTGGGCTGCAAAGATATCTACGTCGTCAACCGAGATGCTGGCGAGGTTGACGGACTTGCGCAGGACGTGCAGAATTACGAGGCGGCGAGTCGACCTAATATTACGCACATACAGACTGTTCAGCAAGCTCAAGGCCTCTTTCCTCCGCATTATATTGTCGGCACCGTTCCGGATTTCGAGCCGTCAACTGCATCGGAAATCGAGGCTCAGAGCGTCTATGTGGAGTTTTTAAGCAAAGAGAGACCTGACCAGTCAGTCATGCTTGACATGTGTTACCACCCACTACAGACACGCAACCTCCGGCTCGCGCAGCAGTATGGATGGCCCACCGTTGACGGAGTGCAGGTCGTTGGACATCAACTGAAAGCTCAGTGGAAGCCATGGACCGGCCGCGAACTGGAGGAAGAGCAAGAAAAGGCCGCATGGGAGATCTTGCGGAGGTGTGCACTGTCAGATCCGACGGTCACTCCTCGGGAAGCGAATCCCTGAATTCTCTCTAATAGTAAGATAGTTGGATTCAACAACGCCTTCAGGATCGACTGGCTTGCACTTTTAGTCCCACACGGGACCGACAACTCGAACGTCAGGCGAGGAGCTGTCTATGCCACCCTATTCATGCGGTGTAGCGTGTTCAACGGCCAGATAGTCCCTTGCCTCTGTGGCAGATCCTGCCTTTCCGCCATCTGTGTACGTCTAGTGGTCGAGGCATTACTCGAATGCTTGCAAGAACGGGAAGCTGCGATTTCCAAAGTAGCGTTCTTTACCACTCTCTTTCTTATGCAACCTGGTTCTTGCGGTTCGCCATGCTTGTCCAAATAGTCACAAATGTCAAACCTATGCCTGATTCAAGAGATTACCTCCAAGCAACAGAATATAATTAACTCCGCGGCGGTCTTCGCAGAACCGAGCCGGTGCATTCAACCGCCCAGCCTGACTTTAATTCTGTATTGATACAATCTTTACTCTTCCCCTTCCCGCCCAAGACACACAAGTACGCACCAGATCAACACAGAGCTAAGGACCCGTCCACTGTAAGTGGTTTACTAGCTTAGACGATGTGAACAAGCCAGACGAGTAGCATGTCAAATCCCAGGACCGACAACGATGTCAAGACCACTACTGCCACGACCACGACCGCCTCCTCCAGCATCTCCTTCTCCTCGAACAAAGACAACCAAATCCACATCCTAACAACACTACAACATCACTTTGTCAACGAGGAAGACGCCCGTGCCACAGACGATCCATCCATCGACCCGCCATCCAACCTCATCAATACGTGGAAATCCCTCAACGCGACGCTCCTCCGCCTCCACGCACGACGCATCCTCGACGCGGCCTCCGCATTGGGATGGACGGCCGTCCTCGAACAGAGACCCCGTCTCGACCTGGACCTCGGACCTCTCATCGAACAAGCCGCCCGGGCGCAGCTCTTCCGTCCACACGGCACCACTCCACCGCCTGAAAGGGGCGGGATGGTCTCTGCGCGCGTCCGCGTCCTTGTCTCCGAGACAAGCCTTATAACCATCGAACTTGTTCCCATGGGTCCGGGTTCGACGCTAGGCCCCAAACTCCGATCCTGTATTGAGAATTACACCGCCAACCCGTTTGGGTCGATGGCTTCGAGAGCGGACATGAATGTGCCGGTGCCGGTGCCGCCCAGTCGGGTCGTGGTGGACAGTCGGCCTACGCTGCCTTCGGTGTTTACGCGGCACAAGACGACGAGGCGGGACGTGTACGACGAGGCGAGAGGGAGGCCGGACCCGCCGTTACGGCCGACCACGTTGCCGACAGAGGGGGAGGTTCTCTTGTTCAATCCCGCAGGGGAGATCATGGAGGCGTCCATGTCGAGTGTCTATTTTCTTCGGGACGGCCTGTGGGTGACGCCCCGGCAAGAGGCCGGCGGCATGCAGTCTGTCACGAGAATGTATGCGCTGGAGAAGGGGTGGTGTGTTGAGGGGGTCGTGGTGAAGGACAGTATGAGGCAAGGGGAGGTGATTTGGTTGAGTAATGCGGTTAGAGGGTTTTTCCAGGGCAGGATATGTCTTTAAAGGGCCTGCAGGATGGGTTGGTAGAAGGAAAGGATACATGGCCAGCAATAAGTAGAGATGGCCTTCTAGACGCTCTGGTTGAGTACTGTCTTGGTCGCATGCTATGCATCACTCATTGCTCGCATTGACTCGTCGTCTCTGTGCGATCGAATCGAGCCTTCTAACGCTCAACGCTCAGGCCTAACGACGTGCCCCTGTATTGCTCTATCATTCCCTTCGCACCTTCACCTCGCTGGGAGCTCGTTGGCCTGTCCATCTGGCTTCGGCTGTCCCTTCTCTTTTTTTGCCTTTTTCTCCTTCTCCGGTTTTTGCTTCGCTGCCGCCTCTGCTTCGGCCGGAGTGACCTTATCCGCCGACTCGTTCTTAAACAAAAGCGGCTTCTTTGCGAAGAAATCCTCTACCACCTCATCCGTCACTTTTGCCCTTCGTTGTTGAAACTCCGCCACGTACTTCTGCAGCTGCTCGATGCAAATGGCTTTGATCTCCCCAGTCAGCAGCTCACCCTTCTCATACTGTTCTTTTATCCGTGCAAGCTCGTCGTCGTCCTCCAAGAAGAATGTAAGGTACTTGTAAGGGACGTCCACGTCTGTCCTGCCTCCGAGCTCGCGCTGTTTCTCCGCCGTATCCTGTCCACCAGAGAAGGCAAAGCGGTTTATTTTCTTCTTGATCGCATTGGGCGTATCCGTGAGGAAGATCGCCGAACTGTCGATGCTAGCTGACATTTTGGTGCCTTCACCTTGCAGGGCGGGTAGAAAGCGGGAGTGGATAAGGCAGGGCTTCTCGTAACGCATCTTTTCGGCTATGTCCCTGCAGACGCGGAAGTAAGGGTCTTGATCGATGGCGCAGGGGATCAGGCAGGGGATTTTGGGCACGAATTTGCCATCCTCGCCGAAGATGTGGGGGAATGAAGTCGCAAATGAAGGTGCAGATTGGGTCGCTGGAAAGTGGAATTCGCCAATGTTGTTGCTGTCGTTGAAGCCAAACGCGCCTTTTATTTGGTTCAGTGTAATGTATTTGGCAGCGAAGCAGACGTTGTAGTAGAATGCGCCGCCCATGAAGCCAAAGTCGGAGAAGATGAAGGTCTTTTGGGGGTGGAATCCTACGGCGATAATGTCCTTTGCATTCTCTTTCGTGTAGCGTGTTGCGTCTTCCAGGGTAATCGTTCGGGAATGCATGAACTTCTCGTCGTCGGTCAGCTGGATGACCAGCGGGCAGTCGAAGACTTCTTGCATATAGCGGGTGAATTCGAAGGGGACCGAGTGGCCGACGTGCATGCTGTCGCTTGAGGGCCCTCGTCCTGTGTACAAGTAAAACCGCTCGCCCTTCTCATATCTGTCTAATATCCTCTCTAGTTCGCGATGGGAGATCACGATTCCCCTGCGCATGAACCGATGGGGTTTTCGACCGGTGACCTTTTCGAAGCGCTCGAGCAGTTCTGGTGATATCGGCGTCGCCCCGAAGTCGCGGATGAGTTTGTCGTAGTCCACAGGCTTCAGCTGGCCAGACTCGTCTACACCGCCGGACACCTCGAAAGGTGTGATTTTCTGTTCCGCCATAATGTGTGTTTCTCGGTCGAGGTGTCGGCAAGGGGCGAAGTCGGCAGGCTGGAGTAGATCTAGCAATTAGGAGCAGGGCGAAGGAGGCGGATGCCACCTCAGAACTGCAAGAAACAGGATGGTGCAAGGAAGTGCAGGTACGTACTCCTCACTTCCTTTGTGACTCGATCTGAATCCTCAATTCGACACCCCTCAAATTCACTGCGGCCAGGCTCCTTCAACCAGTGATATCGACGGGTCGGATAAGTCAATCCGGTCCCCACAGAATCTTGCTCTCCTCTTTCCGCGGCCGACTTTGGTAAAGTGGCAAACTGAACTCGGAGGGAGCTCGCGTGAGGTCGAAAAAAGGCACTGCATCATCACTCCTCCCCCTCCTCCCACCTTCCCTTCGCTTCTATCATCAGCCTCTTCAGTCAATGTCGTTGAAGGCAGGATGAAATTCTATGAGCATTCATCTACTTATGACTACACGTTCCCTGCTGTCGCTCTGGCATACTTCCTCCGCTATCCGAACCCTTACTCCAGACATGTCTTGAGCTCGGACGTTATCGATCGTTACATCGACCCTGAGACAAACCGACTCCACACGGTCAGACTCCATCTCAAGAAATCGAAAGTCCCTTCAGCCATCCTCAAGTTTCTGCCTCGGAGCCTAGCAGGCCCGGGGGGCACCAGTCAAAGCTATGTGCTAGAGAAGAGCACCATCGACGTCAAAGAGGGATGGTTGGAGACAGAGTCGAAGAATATGGAGTGGACCGGCATACTGAGCGTGGTGGAAAAGCAGACCTACCGAAGACAGCGTCTATCCGACATGTCCGCTGGCGAAATCCAGTCGCAGCGACCTAAGGAGACAACCGCATGCAAGACTGTGGTGACATTCGTCTCGCACCTCGGTCACAATAAACTGTTAAGCAGGAGGAAACCAGATCTTGCCGCAGATGCTGAAGAAGAACCACCGAAGCAAGGACTGTTTGCCGCTTGGTCGACGGCTGGCATTCAGCGGACAATCGAACTGGTTGGCGTCAAACGAACAAAGTCGGCTCTGATTAATGGCAAGGAGGGAATGAACGTTGTTCTCGAGAGGCTGAGAAGTGGCGGTATCGTGGCCGTCCTTGAAGGGATGAGACGAGATCGCATAGAAAGCGCAGAGGGTCACTGACAGAACTTCAGTTACAGACTGAAGCCACGACAGCATTGAGCAGCCTCAATTGCTTCCTGGGAACGATCTGTATTACCAGCAATCTACTTTTGATGTTTTGAGCGAGGCGCCGGGGCATGCACAGGAAACACCGAGGATTTGATGGATGCGTGCCGACAACGTATGTATTCTAGGAGCGTGGTGGTTGATAGCAATGAAACCTTTATCCACTCAGCCTCCGAGTTTGCAGGAGAAGTTCGTGCATTCTGGTTGTGAAGGCTTGAACCTCAGTGCTGAGATGGGTGAGTACCAGAAAATCACATCCTCATCCCATTTCTTCCAGCTGACTTCTCCTCAGCAGAGGCCTGTCTGTTCGAGGCTGCCTCTTCGACTGTATTCACGCTGTGATATCGGACTGCCGCACCCATGATAATTCCAACTCTGCTTGCGCTTGGCGGAGGACATCATGGACTTTGCGATGAGATCCAGATTCCTTCATCGTGACTTCTCCTCGTTTTACATCACACACTCCTTCCAGCACGCTCCTTCTACTTTCATTGACTCGATACCCAGTCATTCGTTCACCTGACGTTCGTTCCCTTCAATCCATAATCGACAAGTATTACTTCATCACAACTTCAGTCATTCTTTTGGGCAAGGGGGGCGTGATGGTCGCGGTTACTTCACTCCTACGGTTGGCAGCCATCGTCCTGCTGAATCCTCTCAAAGGTGCTGAGGCTGCCCGTCGTTTCAATCGGCGTAGCGACCTGGACAATGTCCCACCCATCAACGCCTCTGCCGCCGCACACTGGACCGTCCCTCTTCAGGGCAGCCGAACCTGCGACGCGGGTCAGCATTGTATGTGGAATCTCCTTTCGGTCTAATCCATGACTGACGCATTTCAGGTATAAGCTCGCTTTCAGCTCCACCATTGACCAAACCTCTCCAGTATCTTGCAATCGCACGTGGATTCTACATGTATCTGTGCCCTGGGAAAAGCCTCAACGAAGCAGCTCAGTTTCAGTCCCAATCAACGCAACTTTACGATGCCGCACCTCTTATTCCAAATCTCCCCAACGAAGCCGCTTTTCATGAGTTGCCTGCAAGGCTTTATGACTTCGACTACGCTCAACTGAGGAACACTACACTCGAATGCATGGGTACTATTGGTACAGACAACAAGACCGCCATCGTCACACTTTTCGAGATCGCTACTTTCGAAGCCCTCCCGTACGAGTCTGTGCTACCACCTGACAATACAGACGTGGACGGTCGATGGGCACATTCAGTTAGCCGCAAGAGAGATTGGGATATCTACCGGGTCAAGACTGCTGGGGGGACACCACCCATCTGTGACGGTACGCGTTTTATGGCCGAAAAGGAGTACACAGCAGAGTATTGGTTCTACTATGCGGGAGGAGAAGATCTATGGACACCAACCGATGTCAAAAGAGAGGAATCGACCATAGCTCAAGACATGCCGGCTCTCATATGACGTGCGAAAACAGAACTTGAAAGGCAGAGGGTTGAAAAAAGGAATTTCACTATGTGCAACGACTTGTCAATGGAGATGAAGCAGCAAACTGCGAGATATCACCTTGGAACAGATTTCCGTGAGCTGGCGAACTAGCGGACGAAAGAGACTCATCTCGATCTTATGGACAGTAGTGGAAGATAGATCTTTCCTTAGGGTAGTGACAGTGCTTTAGCTCGGAGGACAACGATACTCCTAATAATGTGAATGAGAGTGAGATGAAGATCTAGATGGGGAGAACGGCCAAAAGCAGTCTCCTGATTCATATCAAGGAGCTTTACACGCACGAGACCTGTATCGACACAGAAAGATCTCGGCCGTCACCGTGCGTGTGCTCAGGACGCCGGCCTCAGCGCGTACATCCTCACGGGCAGCAACTTCTTCGGAAACCCAGTCTGCAGCTGCGTCTTCACAATCATCAGCCCGGCCTGTTCGAAACATGCCCTGAAGTTCCGATCGCTGCGGCTGACGCTGCTGTTCTCCTCCCAGAAGATGTCTTCCCCGCCCGCGGCCGTGGAGATATTCTCCTTCACGATGATCCAGCCGTCTGGTGCGAGCAACTGTATCAACCGCCTGAGGTAGCGGACTAGATCTGGGGTCGAGAGGTAATCGAGACACCATTGGTTCCAGACTAGATCGTAAGGGCCCCCGTGCTTGACGGTGAGCTCATCCGTCAGAGCTGACCTTTTTCGCCTATCTACGTCTGATGTCGGGTTGGCTGACAGCGTGTTGGCAGCGTCGAAGGAAGGAATCGACTCCGCCGTCCACTCCTGCAAGGGCACATTATAGACACGCTGCAGCTGTCCGGATTTGACCAGCGGCGAATCCGGCGCGGTCAGCGAGGCGGTAAATATCTCCATCGGCTCGACAATGTCGATTTTCTCGCATATCGAGGCCAGCAAGGCTCGCGTTACGCGCCCAATGCCCGCCCCGGCCTCGAGACAATACCGGAACGCGTATTTTCTCGTTCTCTGCCCGGTGCTGCCGGTTGCCGATGATGATGATTGTTTGTCCGCCGAGACCGGATGCAACGGGCGGAGCTTGGACAGGAAGTCGCGAGAGAAACGGATGTCCACGCGAGATATGTGCGCGAAGCCGCCGAGCATGCCGTTGTCGTCCACGGATTGCTGGGCCCAGTACTCACGTTGCTCGGCCGTGGATATTCGAGCATCGTTCTCGGTCTGTCCATCAGTCGCCAATGTTGGCATTGCGGATCCCTCTGTTGTTTATACGGATGTACTCCGTAGCTACACAGTACACCAGCAGGACTCTGCGCCCTGAGGGAGGTTGCTTCTCAGCTATGGGGGCGAAAACGAAACTTTTTGGCCATCTCCTTCTTCCAAGGTTTAGTGTGGCACGACTGCTCTAGCGCTGTCGCTGCTGAGCCCGTCATCGTGGTGGACTCGCCATCAGAACCTAGTTTCGGGAGATGGCCTGACGATTGAGAATGCCGCGACGGAAGTGTTAGCGTCCATCGAGATCCTGGCCATTTGAGTGAACCCACTACCATGGTTGATTGGTTCCTAGCCACTTTAGCTCCAAGCGAGTGGTTTCGCTTCAAGCATGCCGTCGGATGCAGCGCTGGCATCTTCTTGCGGCGCCTTACCTCGTACTGAGGATGATTAATATGCCAGGCTCCATGTCGATGCGTTGTTCGACATAGGAAATCTCCTCATCATAGCCTGGTCGTCCTCCGGTAGAGACGCAGCGATTTGTCCGTAGGCATGTGGGCTTGGCCAAGAACTCGCCCAATCAATTACTTGTCTTTTATCGGCTTCCTCGTACGAGGTTCGTTACTCGTCTGCATAGGCTACGTGCCTCGCTGGGTTCTGCGGTCCCTAATGGCTTGACGCTCCGGTCCATCTGGTAGACTGTTCAGGTACGAGTAGGTTTTCGTAGGCTCCCTGGAGACAAATAGGTCGGTTGAGGACGTCACGAATGGGAAGGGCGACACAACTCTGAGCACCGTGCAGTAGCTTAGAACTTTAAAAGTCAGAATGCGGTGCATAGTTGGCTGTTGTTTCTAGTATGAGGGACTACTTCGACCGCTAAGAGTATCGTGTCGGTATATGCCTCCCTCAGCTCCACGATCTGGATCTGCTTACCGAGTATCTGCAGCAGGCATCTCAATCTCCGGCGACACTATTCCTACCCGTATATAGATTGGTTTTTTTTGTCGCTGTGTTGAAGTACACTCGGTCCATCATCACTGTCGCGGAGTTGCACCATAGGAATCTGATGTATTCATTTGCCCGCCTGTACGCGGTGGTCAGCCAGGTGAGAATATACGCTTGTTCACTTAGTATCTTCGGCAATATTTAAAGTGTGAATGAGCATACTGATGAAAGGTTGACGGGAGCTGTCTCATTTGAAGGCCATGGTTACCAAAGATCCGATTTCACAGGACCATAAATGGTCGTTGTTACAGAGGCCTGCATGGGATGAGCTGGGAAGCGCAATGACGTCGGCTCATCTGCATTCAAACACGTGACCAGAATATAGCAGCCAAGGTGGCATTCCTCCAAAAATCCGCTTTCTGGAGGCAGCACGAGGCAGCAAGGATTCATACGAGGTCCTCCGTAATTAGGACTTTTCTAATCGCAGGATTTACTCATCTTTCGCTGCTAACGCTGCCAAGGGAACTGTTGCCGGTCTAGGCAACGTAAGCTGCCCTCCGTCATAGTTCATAGCGACCACAGGAACTGCGAGGCTAGGTGTGAGGACCTCAGCCGTGGCTACACAATCGAGACAGTGCATGACCAGTATTTCTCTGCGGTCATCCCATTCAACTTGATCAGTGGACAGCTAAGTTCCGCCTGTTTGCCTCCTACACACGCTCTATTCTATTCGCAACCCTTCCGCGATTTATTGTTGAGCCAACCGTGCGCAACCCACCATCGCCTTGGCCGCATCTACCCCAATAACGGCGCAAGATCCCCTCACTTCGACCTCGAAAACCGATCACCCTTGAGATGCTCAATCACCAATTCAGCGACTACGGGTGATACAAGCTTCAAAACTTGGAGTTATTCCCACCATCCCAGGAGGCAAGTTGCCTTCCAAGCCGCTCCCTTCAACATGTCGTCCGCTATCCACGACGATGAACTCTCCATCTCACTCCCACAAACGGACTCGACCCGTCCCAGACCCTCGCTTCCTACCGTTGTTTCTCCCCCTGCGCGCCCGTCTCTCAGCCAGACCCAGATGGCGGAGTCGCCGGGCACTGCTCGAGCCATGCAGCGGCTTCACCAGTATACCTTTGTCCGTAACATCGGAGAAGGCTCATTTGGCAAAGTCAAACTGGCTCGGCACAAGGTGACAGGTCAAGAGGTTGCGATGAAGACTATCAGTCGCCGCAAACTGATCAGTCGAGACATGGCGGGTCGCATTGAGCGAGAGATCCAGTACCTACAACTCTTGCGACACCCCCACATCATCAAGCTCTACACCGTCATCACTACCAAGACAGACATCTACATGGTGCTGGAATACGTTCCCATGGAACTCTTTGATTATATCGTCAAGCACGGTCGACTGGGCGAAGCAAAGGCACGCAAGTTGTTCCAGCAGATCATTTGCGCCGTCGAATATTGCCATCGACACAAGATCGTCCACCGAGATCTGAAGCCAGAGAACCTGCTCCTGGATAAGAACATGAATGTCAAGATTGCCGACTTCGGTCTCAGCAACATCATGACAGACGGAAATTTCCTGAAGACCAGTTGTGGAAGTCCGAACTACGCTGCACCTGAAGTTATTGGCGGCAAGCTGTATGCTGGTCCGGAAGTCGACGTCTGGAGCTGTGGTGTCATCCTCTATGTGTTCCTTGTCGGTAGACTCCCGTTCGATGATGAGTTCATCCCGGCTCTCTTCAAGAAGATCCAGGCGGGAACCTTCCACATTCCATCTCAGACTCCGCCTGGTGCGGTGAACTTGATTAAGCGCTGTTTGCAAGTGCATCCGGTCCATCGCATCACCATCCCGGAGATCAGACAGGACGAATGGTTTATAAAGGACCTGCCCGAGTACTTGGTCGATCCTGTCGACGAGTTCTTGAACACTGGAGTGGACCCAGGCAAAGCGATCGACCCACGCCAACTCGCGCCTGGAAAACCGGTCGAGGTCGCTGAGAAAATTCATGAGCAAGTGGTCGGCAAGCTCGGTCGAACCATGGGGTATGCCAAAGAAGATGTCAAGGAGGCTCTGAGCAAGGATGAGCCTAGTGCTATCAAAGACGCCTATCTTATCGTGAGAGAAAACCAAGTTATGGTCGACACTCCTCAATATCGCACAGATAACCCCATGCTGGAATCGTTCATGGCATCCTCACCACCCGTCGAACCAAATTATCCAAATTTCCCCGGATCACCAAGACTACGGCTTGGAGAGAACGATGTCAAACCGCTCACACCGACCCCAGTTCGCGGAGAGGCACATCGAGCAAGTCGCACATTATCAGATACCCCAGCCGCGTTGAAAGAAGAGGAGAGGCCCAGAATTTCTAACATTCGAGTGCTGAATACGTCGCTTCCCCATGTGCATGAAGAGCTACTTCAACTCCGCGCGAAGGCGAAAGCCAACGGCGAAGACCCCGATGCAATCCTTCACCCGCCGAATCACGAAGACAAAGACGAGGCCGATAGCCCAATTCCCGAGGAAATTAAGGATGAACACGGGAATCCGATCTACCGGTCCAAGGAAGAACAAGAGGCTACTTCCAGAGCCCTAAAGCCACACTCTCGCTCTGTAACGGGTCTGAATGCAATGAGAGATACAAAGAGTCGACCGGAGAATATGACGTCCATGTCAACCGATGAGAAGCGTCCTGCGGCATCAAAAACCAAGCAAAGACGGTGGCAATTCGGTATTCGCAGTCGCAATCAGCCCTGGGAGGCAATGAAGTGCTTGTACGGCGCGCTTGTCGCTCAGGGAGCTGAATGGGAGGTCAATCCCTGGTTGCGATCCGAGCACATGCCCGAAGGAGATGACGACAAAGATAGCCTCCCGCCTCCTCCACTTGAACTTGAGCCTGGCCAACGCCATGAGATCCTGCAACAACGATTCTCATTCCTTGCTGAAGATTACTACATCCCTCGAGATCCCTTCAACATCCGTGCGAGAATACTGAAGAAAGGCTTACTCATGCCTGGTGAAGCACCTTCACTCTCGGCTCACAGTTCCGCAGTCAGCCTACCAGCTGAAGCACAAAATCAATTGAAAAAGCATATTGAGCAACTAGGCTATGCTTCAGAAGACGTCAAGCAGGCATTGGGAATGAATAGCCCGAATGGCGGACAAGCACCCGTGAAGTCTCCCGTTACGACGGCACACAACGCAAGACCCAACACCGGCGGAGGCGAGCCGGCTGGTCACAGTCAGGACGCATTCACCGGACCCGGCCAAGCGCCTATGAGCAGACCCGACAGCCTCGCGGCGTTGAGCAAGAAGATACCCAGTGAGAACATCGGAGTTTGGGTATTTATTGACATTCAGCTTTATACCATAGATCCAGGCACCTTCGTGGTTGACTTCAAGTGCGACGGCTATCAGAACGTCATATGGCACGACTCGAAGAAGGATCGCGACAGGAACAAGACACCTGCTCCAGGTAGCACAGTCACGAGTCCCGCGAACAGCAGGCCAGCCAGTGGCTTCGGCGACAACCGCCACACTAGTTCTGACAAGCTCAGCGAGGAAGAAGGATCCCCAGAAGGCTACTGGAAACCGGTCAGCAAACGATACAAGAACATGGAGAAGGAAATCTCCAGCCCGTATCCTTATCTCGACGTGGCTAGTGACTTGGTGGCTCAACTAGTAAGTCTGAGTGCTAGGGCTGCACAGCGGTCTTCCTGACTATGAATAGTGGGGTGGCGCTGCTTGAGTTTCTCACTTTCCTCCTTTCGTGGATTGACACGACGATCGACAGACGCGTAGTCTCTACGACTTGGAATGGGCATGACGACATGGGATGAGACAGGGAGTATTGGTGGGCGACTATGAACTAGGGCGGCATAACCGGATTGAGCTCACAAAAGGTGTATGGAAACGAAGGCGTCGCTGCTGCCGGGGGCGGCTGGATTGGATTGCTGGGCAAGACGGACAGACAAGTCGTCGACATCCAGGGAATAACAGGGCATGGCACGGGATAGCTAGCCTCAGCTTCACTCCAATGCGAGGGTGATTTATGTCAATGAAAACGGGTACTACAGACACTATTTGGAACCCGTGGATCTTACACCACAATAATTAGAACCTCGGAACGCGTTGAGTGTCGCGTTGAGAGCGTGTTAATTAGTGGCATCTAAAGTGGCGTATGAGTGGCGCTTAGTGGTGTTGCAATTCCATGATGACTAATGTTTGTGGCGGTGGTGGCCACCTATGGCGGATGCGGCGTTCTTACTAACGTCGACTCATTCGGTCACGCTCCGACCTCGACCTCGACCTCGTGCCCCCACGTCGGTGGCATCGTCGCTGCCCGTCTCCATTCTGATTCCCTCGTTGATGCTTGCATTTCAACGGTCTTCTCTTGTCTTGCTGTTCGATCTCCATACCGCAGAGCTCCGCATCAGCCTCGGCATCTTGTTTTCAGCGTGGTTACCGCCTATCACTCTCTCGTTCCGTGAGCGCCAGTTGAAGATCCTACATTGCGAGTATCGAAAGCTAGCTACGAGCGACAGACAAACAAAATGGGGCTTCAGTCGAAACTGCAATCCTGGTCCCAAGAGCTTACGCCTTACTTCATTTACCTTCTTCTGATATCAACCCTGGGACCCTTGCTTTTCGGTTATCATCTTGCCGAGCTCAATGCCCCTCAAGCTGTCATCACTTGTTCCAAGAATTCCATCAACTCTTTGGCACTGAGTGGCCTGCCACAATGTATACCCATGAACGCTGCTCAGCTCGGCCTTGTGTCGTCCATTTTCACCCTGGGGGGCCTCATCGGTGCGCTGGCAGCCGGATCTCTGTCTGCCCGCCATGGTCGCCTTTTAACCATGCGTGTCAACACCGTTCTTCTAGCTCTTGGTCCTTTCGCCGAAGCACTCGCCCCGAATATTGCTGTGCTCTCGACAGGACGTCTCATCTCCGGTGTAGGTGCCGGTGTCTCAGTGGTTGTGGTACCCATCTACATATCCGAGATCGCCCCGCCAAAGGAGAAAGGCTTCTTCGGCGCTTTTACGCAGATCATGACGAACATGGGCATCTTCATCACCCAGCTATTAGGCTACTTCCTCAGCCACGGGCAAATGTGGCGCATTATCCTCGCCGTCGCAGGCGTCATTGGTGTCTTGCAGTTCGCTGGACTGATGTTTTCGGTCGAGAGTCCAAAGTGGCAGGCAGACCATGGCGAGCCGAGACAAGCTAAGAGCAATCTGCACCGCATTCGAGGCCACAAGGCGGATATTCAGGAGGAAGTCGAAGGATGGAGAGTGCAGAACGAGGATCAGCGGGATGGTATGCGGGTTTACTCACCTCCTGTCACACGCGGCTAATGCTTGAAGTAGACGAGGAACGAACCCTGCTCGCAGAATCCGACGAGGAGCCACGCACAGACGAAATGGCGAGAGGCAAGAAGTCTGAGCCTGTAGGGATCCTGGCCGTAATCAGAGACCCGACCAGCAACCGCGCCATCCTGGCTGTGGTCGTGGTCATGATGGCCCAGCAACTTTGCGGCATCAACAGCATCATCATGTACGGTGTATCCCTCCTCTCGGAACTATTGGCTGCCAACTCGGCACTGCTCAACATCTTTGTTTCGATTCTCAATATCGTGGCCACCACCGGCTTCGCACCACTCGTCGATGTCCTCGGCCGCAAACCATGTATCCTCACCTCGATTGGCGGAATGGGTATTTCATCGATCCTCCTTGCCGTGGGCATCCGCTCTTCAATCTCCGTCCTCTCTGCGGTCGCCGTTCTCCTCTTCGTCGCCAGCTTTGCATTTGGTCTCGGCCCTGTTCCCTTCATCCTCTCATCTGAACTGGTCGGCCCTGAAGCTGTGGGCGCCACACAATCATGGGCTCTCGCAGCGAATTGGATCTCTACGTTTGTGGTGGCACAATTCTTCCCCATTGTGAATGAGAGGTTGGGCAAAGGAACTGTATACTTTATCTTTGCGGCCATCGCGGCGGTATTCTTCGTCTTTGTGGGGTGGTATGTACCCGAGACGAAAGGCAAGAAAGATGCTGACGAGGTCTGGGGCCGACCATCCCGACGTCAAGATTGAGTTATCTGAATTGTGCAATTGGTGCACGTCGGTAACTACGGGTGTCTGGGAGCCAGAGCGACGGTATATGCGCCCAACTCCGGTGTTGAATCAAGTCCGGACATGGGCGCCATGTCTCAGGGGGCCCTTCGTATCTCTCTTTCTGACCGCGTTGTCCTTCGCGACTCCGACTCCCCGAACATCTCCTACAACATTCAACTGAGACGATCACGGCCATTATTGGCCACAGAGACGGACGTTATCAGTCATTTGTCCCTTACAGCGAAGCGGACATGGAAGTCTCTCGCTTATGGCGGCCTCTCCCCGGCCGACCCAGCTGGCGAGACCGCGACTATATTGCTGCAATACAAATTTGGTCGTGGACCTCATTTCTCATTCCATGATCTTCTGCGGACATTCATGTGATTGCTTCCTCTCGCAAGCTATATCCAAACGGTAAGCTTTCCAAGATGACGCCTCCGACGGAAAGCATCCCCATCATCGACTTCTCGCGCTCGACGACCAACCTCGCCGCGCTCGCCGAGGAGATCAAACAAGTGTGCGCGACATGGGGGTTCCTGTACCTGCAGAACCACGGGCTCCCGCAATCGCACATCGACCGCATGTTCGACATCAGCGCGACGTTTTTCAAGACGACGCCGCGGGCCGAGAAGGCCTCGACGCCATGGAACAGTCTGGTCAACGCGGGCTACGACGCCCAGACGGGCACCGAGGGCTATTTCCACGAGAACGGCGCGCACGACCGGCTCTCGGCCGTGGACGAGAAGGAAGTCTTTGTGATCCGCAAACAGGGCTCGTACGAGCAGCCCATGCCGCCGTCGCTACAGAAATTCAACCCGGCCATCCAGACCTTCATGGCCGAGGTGCACGAGAAGATCGCCGTGCCTTTACTCTCGTGCCTGGGCGTCGGCCTGGGCCTTGCGCCCGATCACCTGCCTCTGTTGCACCAACACGCCAGCCCGTCCATGACCACGCTGCGTCTGATCCACTACCCGGCCCTCCCGCCGGCCGATAACGCGCCCATCCGGCTGGCCTCGCACACCGACCAAGGCGTCATCACCATCTTGTTCCAGAACCAGGTCGCCGGTCTCCAGGTCCGTCCGCCAAAGTATACGGGTCCCATACGCGACGATGAAGAATGGCTGGACGCCCCCGTCATCCCGGGCGCCGTGTTGATCAACATCGGCGAAACAATGACCTTCTTCTCGGGCGGGCTCATGAAGAGCACCCTGCACCGCGTGGCCCGGAGTCCGCTACCCGAACAGCAGGGCAAGGACCGCTTCTCCATGGCTTACTTCTGCCATCCGAACATGGATACCCTGTTAGAGGTCCTCCAGGGCTTGGAGGGCAAGGAGGGAGTACAGCCGCGGGAAGCCCCAATCAGTTGCGTCACGGGCCAGAAGGTGAGGACGGTGAAAGACTGGATCGAGCATCGGCACTCGATGGGGCGCTTGGCCACAGTGAAATAAAGTAGAATGCACGACGTCGAGGTCTTCTCATCGCTCAGCACGTCTTGTCACAACTATTGTAATACGAACGATTACAGCTTGCCTGTCCATCTCTGGTAGTCGAAATGCACATTATACAGTAGCCAAACGTTACGTTACATCCAAGGATCTCAGCCGTCGGGAATCCAACTCCTCATACCAGTCATCAAGCGTTAACGTTGCTGAAAGAGCTGTCTCAAACTGTCTCCCTCCCGCCTCAAGTAGGTTACCGTATCTGCCCCGGCTGTCCAGGGGCAATTGCTCTCGGAGCTATGGCCTGTCTTCCCGTAGCCAGGTAATCTCTGTTCTCCACCGTGACGCTCTTGGTCATGTGGTTGACTTTGTAAATGCCCACCAGCCGCTCAGCCAGTTCAAACATGTTGTTCCGCAGAGAAATCACAATAAACTGGGCGTTCTTTGTGCGTTCTTTGATATATCCCGCAACAATCGAGACCTGGACGAGCACGAAGTCAGCATTTGAGAAGAGCACTCGAGGCTGCAAAGCACCAAACTTACATTTCTGAAATCCAATGCCGCATCAATCTCATCCATGACGTATAATGGCGTAGGACGATAAACATGCAGCGCAAAAACCAACGCAAGCGAGCTCAGCGTCTTTTCACCCCCGGACAGGTTGCCAATATTCTTCCAGCTTTTCTTGGGAGGCATGACGGAGAACAAGATGCCCTCCGAGAAGGGATCCAACGAGTCGACAAGCTCGAGTTCAGCGTTACCACCCAATGTGATGAGCTGGTACATCGACTTTAGATGTGAAGAAATGGTCGTGAAGCCAGTCATGAATTGCGTCAAACGCAAGTTCCGCAGCTCCGTCAAGCGAGTTTTGGCTCCATCTCGTGCTTTGATGGCACTCTTGAGATCACTAGTACGAGATGCTACCTCGTCACAACGGCGGCGATACTCTGCGATGACGCTAAGGTCGATGCTGGAGGCGTTGGATACCTTCTCCTCAAGTGCTGCAATGGAAGCGACAAGGTGGTCCTTGTTTTTATCAAGTAGCTCGTCGCGTGTGAATGTCTGTAGTTGGCTCCGCACTGGATGAGCAGGTGTGGGAGATTGCTCTTCGGATGGGTTGCCCTCGTCGACGTCCATAGCGTCTGGGTCAGCTTCTGGAGGAGCATCGTGCATCTCTTCATCCTTCGGCTGTTGGGGCTGCTCCTCATCTTGAGATTGAGAGGTGCCCTCCAAGTCCGCTATGTCGTGCAGTGTAAGCTTGGACAGTTTCTCTGCCCAGTAGCGACTCTTCTTATGGTTGTCTGCCAGGACTTTCTGATTCTCCTCGAGCTTGTTCTTCATCTCAATCTCGAGCGCTCTCGTCGAGTTGAGCTCGGTCATTTGCGAGTCAAGGTCCTTTTTCAAGTCTCCCAGCTCTTCTTTCATAGATGTTTGCTCTTCTTCGGCTTTTTCAGCTTGGCCTCTCAGATCGGCTGCCCCAGACTTGTGCTTTTGAGTGTCCTCTTCCAGCCGTTCGAGGTCCTTTGACAACGACTCGACGTCTTTCTCCGCATCAGTTTTGGCCTTTTCGTTCTTGATCTTCAGCTTTTCGTTCTTGGTCTTAGCAACTTCAGCATTAGAGATGTCGTCGTTGAGCATGTCGATTCGTTCCTTCAGACCGTCAACTCTTGCTTTTTGACTCCGTAGCTGAAGACCGCCGACTTCCATAATCTTGTCTTGTAGAGCTTGAATCTCTGCCTCCAGGCTTGCCGTCTCTGAGTGCAGCTTTTCAAGCTCCTTATTGAGTAATATAATCTGCTTCTCAAGGCCCTGAATCTGGCTGTCGTCTGCCGACGGTCCCGCCAGCTCAGCCATAAGATCTTGAACTCGTTTCTCTGCGTCCGCAAGATTCCTGGTGCAGGTGTCGACCTCGAGGTTGATCTTTTGGATGGCGGTCTCTAGCCTTGGGATTTCATCTTGCTTTTCTTGCAGGCTGGCCTCTAGTTCTCTCTGTCGGGTCTGGAAAGCATCAAACTGCCTCTCCAATTGATCTCGTTCCGCTTCTAGCTTCTGCACCTGCTCCTTTGTAGTGTCAGATGTGAGTTTAGATGACATTGCGCCTCGAGCAACACGAGTGCCGCCACCGCTCATGGTGCCGGAGACATCGATCAATTGGCCATCCAGAGTAACCACTCGCCATCTCTTCGCACCATATGCAATCCGGTTGGCCTGCTGTAAGTCCTGTGCGACAAGCGTGTTCTGCATAACGCTGTAGAAAGCGGGGCGAAATCGGTCATCCTTGGGTTTGATGAGATCGAAGAGCCGCGGGACGTTCTCAGGGGTTTGAATCGGAGACAGATCGCGCTGCGCCAGCTTGTCGAGAAGGATGAAGTTCGCTCGGCCCAAGTTGTTCTTCCGCAGGTACTCGATGCATTGCTGGCCGACTTCCACATTGTCCACGACCATGTTCTCGAGTGAAGGACAAGCAGTAGAAATTGCAACATCGAATTTCTCGTCGATGGTTCCCAAGTTACCTAGACGGCCATGGAACCCATCTATCCGACCAGAATCCCTCAGACGCAATAGTCCCTTGAGAACATTGCCCTGATTCTGACTGCTTGCCAAGCTTGATCGAGCCTCGTCCGCCTTCTGCCGGGCCGAAGATATCTGTGACCGAACCTCTGGTTCACTTGAGGCAAGCTTCTGGAGGGCATCTTGGATTTTCCTAACATCCTTTTCAAGCCGAGCTTTCTCATGCTTGCGGTGTTCGATTTCTTCGAGCTTGTGTGCTTTCTCTGCCGCAATGTTCTCAATCTTCGCATTTGCCTCGTCAATCGCCTTCTGACCACTTGTGGCTTTGTCTCTCAGGATGTCGAGCTCAGACTGGGCCACGGCAATGGCTGACTGCTTCTGATTGATCTTCTCGCTCCAAGGTTCCAGAGACTTCTGCTTCACGGCAATCTGGTCCGAAAACACTTGGGTTTTGCCTTGCAGGTCCTCCCGGATCACGGCAAGCTTCTGCTCTTCAACCCGCATTTCCTTTTCAAGCTCAGCCACCTCGGAGGTTTTACGTTGGATGTCATCGCTGTGCTTTTCGACCAGGCTTTGAGCTTCAGATGCAGCAAGGCGACTGGAAGTGGCGCTCTTCTCGGCTTTTTTCTGCTTGCCGGTAATGAACTTGCGTTTCTCCTCGAACTTGACATTTTCCTTGTCGTACTTGGCCAGCTCTTTTGTAAGTTCCTGGGCTTGCTTCTCGATGCGCTCATATTGCTTGACAGCCTTGTTGTAGGCCTTTTCAAGCTCTTTTATCGCATCTTCGCTTCCGGCATGCTTCTCTAGCTCAGCGTTGAGTTGCTCCTGGATCTGTTGAATCGCTTCTTCTGTGACCTTTGTGTTGTCCTCGCATTCCGCCATGTAGATCTGATACAGTGCCGACTGTTTCTCCGCCAATTCATTCTCATCCCGAATGAATGCCAAAGCCTTGTTCTTCTTATCTTCGAGGCCATTCTTTTCTTTTTCAACATGCTGAACCCGGCCCTGCTTTTCGACACAGACTTCATTCAGACTCTCGAGCTCGATAGCTGCTTCTTCGATTGGTGTCTTGTATTTGGATGTGCCGATGATGTCTTCGAGATATTCCAGTAGCCCATCGTCGTGCTCGTTTGCAGCCTTTGGCTTCATCTGTGCGATCGACTCGACTTCGCCCTGCAGGATTAAAAATCGTTTGTGATCCAGGTCAATGCCCTTGTCCTTCAGCAACGTTGTGACCGTCGTGAAGTTCGTTGTCCTGCCGTTTAGGTAGTAGTTGCTGGAGTTGTTCTTAAACGCCTTTCTCGAGACCACAAGTTGCGAGTCTGGAACAACCTCGTGCTTGCCTCCAGGAAGATCCACAACCTCTTGGAAGTAGACTGCAACCTCACAAAAGTCGAGATCCTGATACTGTGCAGAGTTGTGGATGAGGGATGATATTTTGCCCTGTCTCATCTTGCTCGCTCGGAAACCGAATACAAAAAGCATCGAGTCGATGACGTTCGATTTGCCTGAGCCGTTGGGGCCGACAACGGCGGAGAATGAAGGATGGAAGGGACCAACGACTTGTCTTCCCGCATAACTCTTGAAATTTGTCATAACTAGTTGTCGGATCACCATCCTGGACTTAGGCCCAGTGGGCTCCTCCACAACAGGAAGTCCTTGGGCCTTTGCCCTTATGACGATATCCATCGGTTTCTCCATTACAACGTCTGCCTGGTTTGGTGGCTTGAGAATATCCGGGCTCATCTGAGGCTGGGGATTCTTGTTCAGCGCCTGGCTTGTGACATCTTTCAATGGTGTAGGATGTGTGTGCTCGGCTTCTGGGGAAGCACTGGGGTCCGGAGTAGGTAGATCAGGCACAGGTGGCGCTGCTGAGGATTTCCGGCTTTTTCGTGGGACGGTACTCTTCCGTTTTGACGGCGATGAGACTTTCGAGGGAGATGCAGGTTCACCAGGCGGCATCGTCTCCTCTGGGTCGAATATCTGTGAAGGCTCGATTCCATCACCCGTCTTAGCCGTCCGTTGCCGGCCTGGCTTTCTGGGCGATGTATTTGCACTTGCTGTCGTCTGTCTTCTCGTGGATTTGCGCGGACTTCGTTTCGGTGCAGGCGTAAACTCTTCATCGTTTTCCTCTTTGATCAGACTGAGCTCGTCCTCAGATTCGTCAACCACGATAGTTTTGCGCGCGGCACGACGCGTCGGTCGAACTGGAGATTCGGCTGACATCGTGATTCTGTCGTTGTTTTGTGCCCTGCGCGTGATGAGTGGGCTGTCGAATGCGTAGTAAACTCCTCGAATCCGTGTTGACATTATGGACGAAAAGGGAAGTTGCGATGCCAAGACCAGCGGGGCAGCCTCTGTCCGCTTTGATTGGATCAGCTGAGTCAGCTTCCCGCACATCCCGCAACTTGCGAATTCCACTCGAAGGTCGCGATTAATCTGTGCTGCGTCGACGATGGTTTGGTGTCACTAGCACAAACCGCGACAGTGGTGAGATGGAGTGTGGCTACAGCAGCCCAAACCATGTGTATCATGACCACTGCCACGACAGTCAGAAATTGGGACATTCATGGTCTATGGCAGCCTGACTGCTACCGGACTCGGCCAGCTTTTGCCTCTTCAAGCGTGCCGCATTGCGACGGCTCAGTCTGTACTGGAGACGTTCAATGTGACCAGACCGTCAACCCGATGTCGAGTCTGCTAGATGGTGCAATGACATCGTCTAATTTCTGAAATTTCCTCTTGCTTTGATACCGTGGCCATTTTATCATCGTGGAAACGGTTATCTCTCAACGCCCAGCACCGTCAGAGATCAATGGGCGGGCCGGACGGACAGAGTGTATCCCTCATCCCTGAGACTACATCAGCACCATTATATACTCTGGCATAGCTATAAATACCATCCTCAATCCTTTTTACTTTGCCAGAAAAGCCTGAAAGGCCGTGTGCTCAATAACCACATTCCCCACGGCCTTCAATTTCTTCCTCCCCTCCTTCTGCTTCTCGAGTAATTTCATCCGCCTTGTTTTATCCGCTGCGTGTAACTTCTGCGTGACGTCCTTTCTAAAAGGCTTTAGTGTCTCTCTCGCGATAATCTGTCTCCCCACGGCGGCTTGAATGACAACTTCGAACATCTGGCGATCCACGTGCTCTTTGAATTTCTCGACCCATTGCTTGCCCACGTGGCGGACTTGACTGTGATGCATAACCCGGCTGATGGCATCGACGGGTTCCTTGTTCACAAGCAGCTGGAGTTTGACGATGTTGCTGACCCGCCACTCTGCCTCTTCGTAGTCCAATGTGGCATAGCCCTTCGTGGCCGATTTCAGCTTCCCGAAGAAATCATCCACCAGTTGGGCGAGCGGCATTTCGTACTTGAGAATCACTTGCGAGGACGTAAAGTATTCCATGGATTTCTGCTCGCCACGATTTGCTTCGCATAGTTCCATGACCTTGCCGAGGTATTCTTCCGGAAAGGTGAGAGTTGAGAGGACATATGGTTCCCGGAGTTCAGCGACGTTCCTACGCGTTTCCTCGCTATCAGGGAATTCGGCTGGATTTGTGATTACGACTTCCTTGCCATCTTTGTATAGGACTTTGAACGGAACGGTTGGCGGGGTGATGATGATGCTGGCGCCATGTTCTTGGCGAAGGCGATCTTCAAAGACGGAGCAGTGCAGGGTTCCTAAGAAGCCGAGGCGAAAGCCTGCGCCGAGGGCGAGAGAGGACTCCTTTTGGATAGTGACACTTCTGTCATTGAGAAGGAGCTGATTTATGCTGTCTTCGAGATGCTCGAATTCGCCTTGGTCGACGGGAAATGCGGCAACGAAGACCATGGGTTTGGGTTCCTCGAATCCTGGCAGTGGTTGAACTTGGTTCTGGAAGCCCAATTTGGTATACGTGTCGCCAATTTTCGCTTCGCTACTCTTTCTCATGGAAGGGTTGAAGTAGACGTAGCCAACTTGTCCGGCACGAAGTACCTTCTGCGGCGTTTGATCCGGGTACATGATACCGACTTCTCCGACGGTGTACTTCAGGCCCGTTGCAAATGAGACAATCTGGTCTCCTGCTCGAAGTTCGCCATCGAATATGCGGACTAGCAGAATGACGCCTTTGTAGCTGGAGTACCAGGAATCGACCAAGAATAGCCGCAGGGGCTTTTTGGTATCACCAACCGGTGCTGGAATTCTCTCAATTACGGCTGGAAGAACGCTCTCCACATTCAGACCAGTTTTGGCAGACACGAGCACCGCGGCATCTGGATCCAACTCAAAGGTATCATGCATCTGTTCCAACGCTCGAGGAGGATCAGCGTGAGGCAAATCGACTTTGTTGAGAATCGGGACCAATGCCAATCCTTGAGCAAAGGCCAGGTAGAAGTTTGCAACCGTCTGCGCCTGGACACCTTGGCTCGCATCCACGAGCAGAAGCGCGCCTCCGCAGCTAGCGTAGCTGCGCGAGACTTCGGCGCGGAAGTCAACATGGCCAGGGGTGTCGACCAGGTGTAACAGATAGTCTTTGCCTTTGTGGTTGTAGATCATTGAACATGTTTGTGCCTTGACGGTAATTCCACGTTCTCTTTCCACGTCCAATTTATCCAAGACCTGCTTGTTCGCCCCTGGTTGGATAGTACCCGTCAGCTCCAACAACCGATCGCTGAGCGTGCTTTTGCCATGATCAACGTGCGCGACGATACAGAAGTTGCGATAGCGCTCGATGGGGATGGCAGCGATGCGTGTCTCGAGATCGCCCAAAGGCACGGTGTTTGGCGCATGTCGAAAAGGAGTCGTCGCAAAGTGCCGCACATTTGGTCTAGGCCATGTTGAGATTGAGGCAGAAGATGTGCTCAGAGCAGCTCTTCGCCGTGCAAAGACCTGCAGCCATGATCGCATGGATTGCCCTGATGGAGGTGATGCAGAATCATTAGCCGCTTTGACGATGTTCGAGCGTGCTCAGAAAATTGTCCCGTGGCGGCGAGGAGGAAGTGAACTGTTCCCGATAATTGCCCGGTCAACAATCGCGTCAACAAAGTCTGACCAACTCCGTTTCAACGTTCCTTTCTTACTGCGCAAGACTTCAGCATACCTCAAGATGGCGGCTGACAAGAAAGACAAGTCGCAACTGCACAAGGTGGCTCTAAAAGGTACTGTCACAATCTTATACATGGCAGGAGCTCGCTAATCGAAGTGCGACAGGGTCCTCGAAGACGGTCGCTGAGTTCGTAAGCGCATCCCACCTCAACCACGGATAGCAACTGACTGCCCCCAGTTCGAATACTCGATCAATACAATCTTGTTCCAAAGAGGAGTATATCCTGCGGAAGACTTTACACCAGTCAAAAAATATGGCCTCAACATGCTGGTCTCTTCGGACGACCAGGTCAAGGCATACATCAAGAAGATTATGTCGCAGTTGAATAAATGGATGGTTGGGGGCAAGATCTCAAAACTAGTGGTGGTCATCACGAGCACAGAGACGGGCGAACACGTAGAGAGGTGGCAATTCGACGTCCAGCTGCTGGGTAAGCCCTCAAAGTCACGATCATCGAAGAAGGCTACGGACAAGGAGAATGCAGCCCCTGAGTAGGTACCGTCCACCACCCCGGAGAATGTGCCTAACAGTCCAACAGAAATGCGACACCAGAAGACACGGAGCCGGAAAAGACCGAGGCACAGATACAAGAGGAGATCCAGGCTATCTTCCGGCAGATTACAGCTTCAGTCACGTTTCTCCCAGTACTCGACGGCAACTGCACATTCAATGTGTTGGTCTACGCCGATGCTGATTCCGATGTACCAGTCGAATGGGGAGACAGTGATGCCAAGGAGATCAAAAACGCCGAGAAGGTGCAATTACGGAGTTTCAGTACCAGCAATCACAAGGTTGATACGCTGGTGAGTTATCGGTTATTGGACTGATGCAGAATGGGAATACGGCTGAGAGAGCGAGGAGTTTGGAGCCCTGGGTTCGGTGGACACAAGGGAGAGTGGCGTTGGCATTGCGTTCGGCTCTTTGATATCTCATGAAGTGCCAGCGAGAAACATGACGGATGTAGAAACAATGATTCTTGGACAATGCCTCTGGAGTTCTGAACGTGGCGGATCAACCTGATGCCTGTTTTGCCAGCCTTCTCCCAATTCCTTCATGTGTAATGTGACCAGCAACGACTGACTCAGTTATGTAGCAGAATTCGTAGTAATGTAGCATTTGGAGGGTTTGGAATCCAAACTCTAAACACTGCAATACTTGGTACGAGTAGGAATCGGTCATCCTCTTGATAATTCGGTGATTGGTGCGCAAGACGAGGCTCTGGCCCAGCCTCGTGAAGTGGGGTTGAAGTTGGAGAAAAAGTTGTCGCGCGTGTCGCCCACCATCGAATTCTCGAGGCTTCACACAGCAGAGACTTTGTCGCACACAGCAGCCGCCCTCATGGTTGCTCCTGCTTTAGACGGCCTGCATCTACCATTCGATCGACGGTGACTGTTGGGGCAAGATGGCTGCTACCACGGAAGTCCAGGGGATGATCCTGGGGAAGGAGCAAGTCATCAACGATGCGCCCAAGGTCATCAAAGAACTCCAGTTCGGCGTCTTGTATGAAAGTTGGGAAAGAGGTCAAAGAAACGTTCTGACGGTTACAGGTCGGATCAAGACATCATCAACCAGTCCGCAGTTGAACTCGTCGATCGCCGTCTCTTCGATCTCGACAAGACTCGATCCGGAGGTGCTCGTGCCATCGCCGAGTATGGTCCTCTTGACCGGCGCATGGGCGTGTCATCCAAGGCCAACATTTGCGATACGTGCGGAAAGCCTCTACAAGACTGCAACGGGCATTTTGGCCATGTGCGCCTTGTCCTGCCGGTTTTCCACGTCGGATATTTCAAAAAGGTCATTCAGATACTTCAGAGTATTTGCAAGGCATGCAATCGCCGCCAACAGCATCGCCAACAACTACTGACTTCTTCAGGACTGCTCCTGCATCCTCCTCTCCGAATTCGACCGCAGAAAATTCCTCAGTGCTCTCCGCAAAGCGCAAGATGATACTCTCCGACAAGCCGCGATCGTGAGGAAAGTCGCCGACCAATGCAAAAAGACCAAGACTTGCTTTGAATGTGGCGCCATCAATGGTCAGGTGAGAAAAGCTGGGACACAGGCGCTGAAGATATCCCACGACAAATTTAGATCATACAATGCCTCTACAGCGCGAACGAAAGTACCCCCCGAGGAGAAGAAACTGTTCGACCAGTCTTTTGACACAGCGAAGCTCACCAATTCTGAACTCGAGAAACATCTCAAGAAGGCAATGGACGATTTGACTCCCCTGCGCGTTTACCGTCTCTTCAGACGTGTGCGGCGTGCTGATCGCGACTTGCTTGGTCTCTTTTCCGCGAGACCTGAGGAATTTCTCTGGACATACATCCCAGCACCCCCCGCATGCATACGACCCTCAGTAGGGCAAGAAGCTTCGAGTACCGAGGACGATATCACTGCCAAACTGGGCGACATTGTTGCTGCCAATGATGCCTTGCGGGATACACTCGAGAGGGGACTCCCCACTGCGCAGATCATCGAGCATTGGGACTACTTGTCTCTCAATCTCGCAATGTACATCAACAGCGACGTTCCGGGTCTAGCCAAGACAGATGGCAAGCAGATTCGAGGTTTTGTCCAGCGGCTGAAGGGCAAACAAGGCCGCTTTCGTGGTAACCTGTCAGGCAAACGTGTTGACTTTTCTGGTCGTACTGTTATCTCCCCCGACCCGAACCTGAGCATTGACGAGGTCGCCGTGCCTGTGCTCGTGGCGAAGAACATGACGTATCCTGAAGTGGTCAATGAGACAAACATTGAGAAGCTACGACAACGAATCCTGAATGGACCTGATAAGTGGCCCGGGGCTAATCATGTCGTCAAATTAGAAGGCGGGTACAAGAACTCTCTCAAATTCGGCAACAGCATGACTGCCAAACATCTCAAGGAAGGCGACATCGTCGAAAGGCATCTTGAGGATGGCGATATTGTGCTATTCAACCGGCAACCCTCCCTCCACAAGCTCAGTATTCTGAGTCATTTTGTCAAGGTTCGGCCTCATCGGACGTTCCGACTCAACGAATGCGTATGCAATCCATACAATGCGGACTTTGACGGGGACGAGATGAATCTTCACGTCCCTCAGACTGAGGAAGCGCGAACAGAAGCTAGACTCCTGATGGGTGTCAAGTACAACATCGTTACGCCTAAGAACGGAGAGCCGATCATTTCTGCCATCCAAGACTTTATCACCGCTTCGTGGCTCTTAAGCAGCTTAGACCAATTCTTCGACAAAAAGACTTTCGTTACCATGTGTTGCGGTATGCTGGAGCCTGGTACAAAGTTCGATCTTCCGCCACCAGCCGTCATTAAACCACAGACTCTTTGGACGGGAAAGCAAGTTTTTAGCGTGCTGATGCGGCCGAACAAGCAGTCGAATGTGACAGTCAACCTGGACGCTCCCTCCCGAGACCACAACCAATATCACCCCGGCCTACATCGCGATTTGCAAGACGACAGCTTCTTGTGCATCCGCAACTCGGAAGTTCTCTGTGGCAGAATGGACAAAGGCACAGTCGGTTCTGGCAAGAAGAATTCGGTATTCTACATCCTCTACCGCGACTTCGGTCCCGATGAAGCTGCCCGTGGAATGAATCGGTTATCGAAGCTCTGCGCTAGATGGTTGGGCAACCAAGGCTTCACCGTCGGTATTAGTGATGTCACCCCACCAGGCAAATTGGTGAAGGAGAAAGGCGACATGATAGGAAAGGTCTTCAACGAGTGCCTAGGCTTTGTTCGAGACTCGAAGGCGGGCAAGCTGAAGAGAAAAGCAGGTCTTGACGACGCAGGCACTCTGGAAGCAGAGCAAGTCCGAGTGCTGAGCACAGTCCGAACGAACATCTCCAAAATCCTGACGAACCAGCTGAGCAAGTACAACACTCCTATGGTCATGGCTACATCCGGTTCCAAGGGGTCGAACATCAACGTAGCTCAGATGGCTGCTCTACTTGGACAGCAAGATATCGAAGGGAAGCGTGTTGCCGACGGTTTCCAGGACCGAACTTTGCCTCATTTTCCGAAGCACGAACGATCGCCACCTTCCAAAGGCTTCGTTTCCAACAGTTTCTTCAGTGGCCTGCTGCCGTACGAGTTCTTGTTCCACGCCGTTGGTGGGCGTGTCGGTCTGGTTGATACTGCCGTCAAGACTGCAGAGACTGGTTACATGTCACGACGACTGATGAAGTCCCTCGAAGATCTCTCCACCCAATATGACCGGACAGTCCGGAACTCCGCATCCAATGTCGTGCAGTTTCGTTTCGGAGACGACGAGCTGGACCCAGTGGACATGGAATCGAGCGCCAAACCCGTCGACTTCGAACGTACCTATGCTCACGTCGAGGCCATCACCTTTGACGTGAGAGACCGGGGGCTTGAGGATACCGAGATCTTTAGCATCATGGAAGAGAAACTCTCGGCTGAGCGTAGGAAGCTCGCAAGAGAAGGTCTTGACGGCGTTGAGCTTCAGTACGATGATAACGATGAGAGGCACGTTGATCAGAAAGAGAGTAACCGGGACTTCTTGAAATCGATACACGACTTCATCATGGCAAAGTCGCAGTCGTTCAACGAGGCAAGAGCTAAGAAGAAGCAATACGCCCTCCCTCCCGCTGGGGCAGGCGTGGGCCTGAAGAGAAAGGCCGGTGCCGATATTGATGACCAGGAGATTAGCACACCCGCACCCAAGAAACGTGCCGGCAGGAAAGGTGCTGTCCTAGCCACGACGAAAGGAGGCAACAAAGGAAAGCAAGCTACGATCGCCAGCAGCTCATTGGCACCACCTTCAACCAAAGATCGCTTTGACCTCACCTCGAAAATGTCTAAGAAGACCTTGGAGGCTTTCATCGACGAGTGCTTAACGAAGTACGAAAAAGCACGTGTTGAACCGGGTCATGCTGTCGGTGCAGTCGGTGCTCAATCGATTGGTGAGCCTGGAACGCAGATGACGTTGAAGACTTTCCATTTTGCTGGCGTTGCTGGCATGAGTTTGACAGCTGGTGTACCTCGTATCAAAGAGATCATCAACGCCTCAAAGGAGATCAGTACGCCAGTAATCACCTGTCGGTTAGAACGCAGGAGAGACTTGTCAATACCCGAGGGTCTCGCTCGGATTGTCAAAGGTCGTATTGAAAGCCTCTTTCTTGGTGATGTCGCTTCTTACATTGAGATCCGACACTCTCTGGACCGACCCAGCTGCATCCACCTGAAGATCTCGTTGGACACGATCATCGATCTCGGACTCGATCTCACTATGAGGGACATAGTCTCGGCCATCCAGAAACATCGACAACTCAAAGCGTCCAAGTTGAGGATCCAGCTGCGTGGCAAAGACGAGCTCAGAATCTCAACAGAATTCGCTATCAAGTCAGCCAAGAGAGGAGCCGCCGCCAAAGTGGACGAGGAAGGACAGGGTGAGCGTCTGATGCGTCTTCAAATGCTGCGACGTATCTTACCTAGTGTACATGTTCTTGGTCACCCCCAGGCCACCAGAGCAGTTGTCATGTCTGAAGACGATCCACGATCAGACGAGGTCAAAGCTATGCGAAGAGCTCTGGCCGACCAACAGGCGAAGCGTGAAGAAGAATCTTCTACAAGCGGCGAACCAAAAGTCAAAGAGGAGGCCAAAACAGGGTCAAAGGTTAAACTCGAAGAACCCACGACGTCTATCCTCTCTAATATCCCTACTAAAGACACCGCCCCTGTGCAGATGCACAAGGTTATGGTCGAAGGTTACGGTCTACGTTACTGCATGAATACTGAAGGCGTCGACCCCTACAAGACGGAGACAAACGGAGTCATCGAGACGTTACAAGTTTTGGGCATTGAAGCGGCACGGTCAAAAATCATCACTGAGATCCAGGAGGTCACCAAAGGCTTGAGCATTGACCCGCGACATATGTACCTTCTCGCAGATGTCATGACGTACAAGGGCGAAGTTCTGGGGATTACGCGCTTTGGGCTTGCGAAGATGAGGGACAGTGTTCTTCAGCTCGCCTCGTTTGAGAAAACGGCAGATCATGTATTCGATGCCGGTGCCGCCGGGAAGGTCGACCGTATCGAAGGTGTGAGTGAGAGCGTGATTGTGGGCAAGACCATGGGCGTGGGCACGGGGAGCGTGGAGGTTGTAAGGTACCTGGATCATCCGCTTGAGACGGGGAGTAAGTTCGTGACGAAGCGGTGTGTTTTTGAGGATGCGTGGGAAGGGAGGAAGAGCAAAAAGAGACAACCGAAATGATCCTGACCAGGTTGAACGGGATATGCGAAGTACAATCGATGTGCAATGCTGTGGTGAAACAGCGTCCTGCATCTTCTCAGAGCTGGGCTGGCTCGTGACGGTCACACGGTTCAAGCTCAATGCCAAAATCATATCGAAATGCTCGGTTCCATCGAACCCACGTGTCGCTTTAGCATAGGCGTAACAATCAAGGTCGAGAAAAAACCAGATTGACACTTCGAGTAGCGATGTAGTCCGTTCAGTGCGATCGACATTTTATACTTGGTTCACCGGCCATATGTACAGTGCCGGCCTGGCAGTAGTCTCCGCCTTTCACGCCTCCAAGAGGTACATCCTGGTCCACGCATGCCTGCCCACATCCAGAGTAACCGGTGAATTGCCCAAGCTTGCCACACCAGGTCCATCGCATCCACAGCCACGATCTCTTTCCCTGCATTCCCGCATGCGTGAAACGTGGGCACCAGCAGGATCCTCTCGGCGGACACTATCAAGACAAGAGGATCCGCCTACTTGAACCCTGCATCCCGCGCACGTTGATCTTCTAGACGGGCGTAGAAACTGTCGCGGGCTCGCACACGGGGCAAGTGGAAGCCGTACCACCAGAGGTAGCCGAACGTCGTGCCGAGACCTATTATAACCCGTATTGCGGCGCGTTAGTGTCCCAGGTCTGCCTCGCTGGAGCTTCGAGTAGGGCTCCCCTGTTTTTATTTTGAGGGAGATCGGACGGGGAAAAAGCACATACCGCCAGCGATGCTGAGATCCAAGACGAGGCCCCGTCGGAGCATCTGCACGAGTCCAATTGTTAGCGCGATATTATCTCTTGGAAGCCTCCTGTCGAGACGAAAAGAGCCGAGGCGAGCTTGAGGTTGAGGTGAGAGCAGGCAGGGAAGACAACGGGGCTCGATCAGGCAAAGGCAGACATACTCCTTCGATGGGTTTGATTGGCATGTTTTCACTTCGGGAGCTCTCGAGGAGCTCGAGATCTTCCTTCTTTGTGTTGTCTGAGTATTCACCGCCCGGTTGCTCGAGGGGGGAGGCTAGTTCGCGGTCGGGTAGGGGTTCGTGGTTGAGGCAGCGCGACCTGGAAAGTGGGAAGGTGAGAGTGAGAGGTGGTGTGATAAAGCGGTTTGGAGCTACTTGAAGATCCGCAATTGAGGCCCGAAGTGAACGCAGCCACAGCCTTGGCCTTGGCGTATTATGTAAGCCGCAGCCTCGTCGGGGACAGTTTGCGTTCGCTTTACGCCCCCGGCCGACCTTGTGCATGCGCGCCAATCCAGAGCCCTGGTCGACGGTGATCTGGAGGACTGAGATAGGACTCCTCGGGTTTACCATCGTTGATGCGAAAGACTAGAACGGTCTCATCTCCTACACCCCACTGTGCGCGGCCATGTCAACCATCTCGCCGAAAAGGAAGATCCCGTACCACCACCATCATGTCATGCGACACAAGCCTCAAGCAGTACCGACACGGGAGCCGGCCCTGATCGAACAAGAGGTGGTGGACAAGTTGCTGGTCGACTGTATAAGGACGATATGCGAAGAAGTCGCGCTCAAGCAGGACATCACGGACCCAGTCGTCGAATCCGTCGTGCTGGAGTCAATGGTCGCCATGGTGGATGAATGTACGGTACTCATGCTCCGAGGGCTACGGAAGAATACGTGACTGACTTTGCCTTATCTCTTTCCCAGTCATGCTGAAATTCCTGTCCAAAGTGCGGCGATCGATGATCGCGGCCCGCCGAGTCTGTCCCATCGGAACCGATTTCGAAACCGCAATCGATGTCTTATACGTTCCCCGACCAGACGATCAACTTCAACCTTACAGGACCCAGCCGGAGATCAATCCGCCTCTATACCCGACCCCTCCTCCCGACGACGAATTCCACAACCTCGTCGAACTTCCGGCCTCGTTCCTCGGTCCCGACCTGGATGGTCATGGCGAATTGAAGAAATTCTCCTTCACAACGAAAGGGCTTCCCGAGTTGCCTTCGGCGCATACCTACAAAGACACACCCGTTTACCCGCAGAGAGAATCCGACACGCGCAAGATCAGAGAGTTGGCAACCCATGAGGGGAAGCTGGGCGAGCAGGCGCTGCGCAAGTTGGCTGGGGCCGTGAAGTTAGATGCCGCGCACACCCTGGAGACTGAGGCGTCCATGACCAAGCAGAAGACTCCCGTGCGGCAGCAACGCCGGAAACGATGGAAGACAGGCGTCAGTTTGTCCGAGGAGGCGGTATTCGAAGAGACGGTGCGCGACTTGCTGGCCCAAGAGCCTGGCGGGTTTGAGCTGGGACCGATCGTGACTTGTGAGAAGGCGTACCGCATGCCAGACGATGTCGCGGTCAAGAGAAAAGCACCTCCCATCAAAGGCGGCGGCGGCGGCGGTGGTGGCTCAATCCAGAACGAGGAGGATACTGCGATGGAGCTCTGACGTGCACAGTATTGGTATTGCTGGTGGGATCGTCCTTTTCCCAAGCGACGGCGTTTGGGCTGGTTAGGCCCTTCAGGCATGGAGGGCCACCACAATGCATATGATACCCCAATCTAGGCAGGACGCATAAATTCATTTCTTCGACCAGATTGACGTCCACAAGGTCGGTGCAGAAGATGCGTCCGATGGTTCCTTTTCGACCACCTAATCATCCTGCGCCGGCGGCTTCCAAGCCAGTGGACCTTCCCAGGCCGTTGTCTCGACGTGGAAGACCTTTCCCCCTTTGACGCATCTGCCGTAGATTAGCATCAGTTCCTGTTTCATTAAAGCCGAGGGACGCATAGACCGACGTACTTGCGAAATAGCCTCACGATCGGGAAACACTCCATCCTGGGCGTGTGACTGCCACTCGCCAGCGCCCTCTCGATTTGCTGGTTTGGCGTCGTGCAGCTGTACTGGACGAGCTCCATCAATTCGCAGTCCCGCTTCAGATCGAAGTCCTGGGGCAATTTGCGTGATTTCTCTTTATAGTTGACGGTGTGGCCGTGGACTTTGTGGTCGAGGTCCGAGACCGGGAAGACATATTCGGGCGGAGCCATTGACACAGTACTCCGTACAATCTCTTGTCATAGAACCTGGACAACCTTATCTTTGTTTCCACCTTCGAGTTCTTAGCGGACGCTTCATCAGGCGCCGGTGCCTGTCGATCCCGTCGTCCTTATCATGGCAAAAGCATGGCGGCTGAACACTATGGAGCGAGACTCCTTGAAGACGTGCAGGAGGAGAGTTTAGAAAAGGTGAGCTTGAGTCTCGCTTGGAATTTCGTCCACTTCGCTTCACTTCGCTTTGCTCCACTTCACTCCTCGCTCACTTGACGCCCTCCGCCTCGTTTGTCAAACGTCAATTGCTCTTGCGGCAACATGTGTTCCTCGACGTTGACAATAAAGGCGATAGCTTCTAGCCGACCTCAGACACATAACATGTCCGCAGCCGAGAGCAGTATTTGGAGTGCCGCAGCTGGATAAGCTGCTAGAAGCAGTCCGTTATCCCGCAGAGGCGACGACGCCACAACGTCCAGCATGGCAGTCGCCAGAACATCACCACAGCGAGAGCGAGGGTCAACAAGATACAGACACTAGCCTCTATGGACGATATGTCGAGGCAGCCGCTGTTCCGTCCAAGACTCAGGCCAGGGTTAAGCCCAAGCCGGCCACGATCGAGCTCACCAGCCGGACGAGCGCCTCGGGCAAGACAGCCCTCCTGTCCTACTTGGCCGCCGTTTCCGTACTGCCTAGACATGCGGGTGGCAAGGAATCAGTGGTCGTGTATATCGACGCGGACGGGCGCTTGTCTGCTAGGAGACTCAAACAGATCATGTACCATTACATCTGCCAGCAGCAGCAGCAGCAGGAGCAGCAGCAGCAAAAGTCCAACCAGCAGTCCAACAACCCAGGCAAGAATACTTCACCCTCACCCCCTATTCCTGAAGCTCAAGTCAGCCTCGACCTCGATGTCAACACGACCATCCAAGAAGCATTGCACCACGTCCACGTCTTCCGTCCGCAATCGTCCTCTCAAGTGCTCTCCATCCTCTGCAACTTGGAGGCCTACCTGCTCGACACATTGGGACGCCAACCCATGTGTACCCACCGCTCTCTCGGCCTGGTGATCATCGACCCAGCAACCGCGTTCTACTGGCAAGACCGATTCGACCGGGCGATGGCCCGCCTCGAAACTGTACCCGGACAGGGCACCCAGGGCCAAGGACCCAGCAGCATGACGTTCCGGACCATCGAGCGGTTGAAATATCTGCAGACAAGATTCGAATGCGCTGTGCTGTTCAGCACGACCGTGATGCCTTTGGCCCATCCTTCCGGGTCGGACGCGCCCGCACCCGTGACGCCTGCTGGGGCTGGGCCTGCGGACGACGGACGCAGTATGTCCCCCTGGACCGGTTATGCGACGCTGACGCTCGCGCTGGCGAGGATGCCCGTCGCGCGGTTCACGCCGAAGATGGGGATGGATGAGTGTGTGAGTGTTAAGGAACGGCGGTTCGAGGCCGTGAGACAGGGGCGGTTCACTGCCGTGGTGCAGTACATGAAGGCCGTCGAGGGAGGGAGGACTGTCGACATGGCTGGATTTAGATTCCATATCACGGAGCAGGGCGTCGAGGTCGGATGGGTCGACGGGTGAATGAATAAAGAGCGTGATCAGCACATGTGTGACGAACTTTGCTGTATCGACGCGGACCCTAGTCAATTAGTCACGTACTTCCGATCGATGTCTTGTCAACTCGCACTGAGTGAGTACCCTACGAAAGAGGAGCAGAGAAGAGGGAGGGAGGACCTGCAGCATGACGGCATACCAGCGACTGTACACGTACTCTGTCTCTACCCATAACCGTGCCCATATGTACGTTGTATCTTCGTATAGATTTTCGTTCTCATCCCGTCATTATCTATGGTCATTAACGTGCGCGGACGCTGCTCTACTCTCAGTAGTCCACTCTGCTCTATTCCACTCTACTACGCCCTGCCGCCCACTATATCACCTTCTCCTTGCCCTCGACCACCTCCCTGGCAACCACCCTCCTACATTCGTCAAACACGCGCACCTGCGCCGCCACCTCCGCAAGCCGACCAATCACCTCGCCGTTCCCCCTGGCGAAGCCGTAAATCGCATACGGAATGCCCGTCTCCCGACAGAACTCTCGCACGTAGACCTGGGCCCTCCTCAGATTATGCCGTGGAATGCGCGGGAATAGATGGTGCACGGCCTGGAACTGCAGGCCGCCGTGCACAAAGTCCAGCCAAGTGGGACAGTCGACGTCCATGGTGGTGCGGAGCATTTTCTGGGGGAACGACTCGTGCACGCCCATGTCCGTGGTCGACATTGCGAAGTGGGAGAGCGTGATCTGGACGTGCAGCGGCGCCGTGATCATGTGCGAGATCATGATGAAGACGAACCGGTCCCACGCGGTGGGGATGGATTTGTACACGACCAGGTAGCCGAACCAGGTCCAGAAGACGACGTGGCCCAAGATCTCGAGGTAGCGGTGCCACCAGGCGGGGCCCTTTTTCGGAGCTTGGCCCAGGAAGAGATATTCCCAGGAGAGGCGGTACAGGTTGAACCGCCCGAAGGTGAGGAGCGGGTAGTACAGCCAGTGTTGTTTGGAGATGGCCCAGCGGGCGAAGCCGTCGAACTGCATGACGCGATCATAGTACGTCGAGCGGAGGGAGTTGAAGAAGCGGGTGGAGATGGCGAAGAAGGGCATGTGCTCGATGTCCGGGTCGTGCTCGGGCGAGTTCGTCACGATGTGGTGGACGTTGTGGTTGCGCTTCCACCAGCCGATGGAGAGGCCGCCGAGGAAGTCGGCGATGAAAATGCCAATGCATGTGTCGACGTGGAAGTTGTGCGTGATGCCCATGTGGCCTGCATCGTGGGCGGTGAAGACGAGTTGGTGCCAGAACACCCCCAAGAAGGCCCCCGAAAGGCCATAGTAGGAGTATCGAAGCGCAATGAGGAAGGAGGCGAAGAGGAAGGCATACCGCAAACATTCGACGCCGTAGGCTCCATAAGGGCAGTTGTAGAGGCCAGCGGCGCGCATTCGGACGCCCAGGGCGCGGTATCTTGCGACGATGTCATCCTGAGATATATGATCGAGGGACGGGTATCTGAGTATGTCCAAGGTCTTTTCGGCGGAGAGCTTTCTTTGAACAGGATCATGTTGCGCCTCCTCCTCTGACGGCGGAGAAGCAGACGAAAGGGAGGTCGTGTCTGGTTCTTTGGCGTCTACCGGGTCGAATATTGGTGACGGAGGTGCCGAGCTGTTGCTGCTCGAAGAACTCAAAGCTCCATCTGTCTGCACATCTGACCCGACATCTTCCTGCTCTTCTGGCTGGTTGGCCTCAGCATATGGCCTGAACTGTCCGCCTTGTATGGGCGGTAAGAAGTTGTTCCATCTACCCTCGACTCTGCCGATGGCGAACTTCTGCATGTGCGCCTGCGCTTCTGGAGAATGTAGTGCCCGGATTTCGTCTGTGCCATCTCTTCCCACCATGTGCAAGATGGACTTATCACCTCCAGGGTGGTAAGGCAGCCATGCATCGGCCTTGATCACCTGTCCATCGAGGATTATGATCTTCCTTCCCTCTGCAATGAGACCTTCGATTTCGCGCCGTGACCAGACTCGGTCTCTAACGGTCATGATGCTGGACATTGTATTGGCTTTGGCGAGTCGAGCAGAATCACGGAGCCATGCTGCTTGAGACGAAGCGAGAGAAGGATATGCGGTGTAGGAGGGTGTAGGAGCAGCGAGTTGGTCCAGTGCTCCGTCCACTCGCACACATGAGGTCCAAATCGGGGGGGCGGAAAAAGTTTCCTCCTCTGTCTTGATGTCCACTCACCCACGACTCTATCCGAAATACACAACTTCATACATTTCATACATTTATACTTTGTACAAGACCGATAATATTTCCTACAGGCTCCCGGCTTCCGACACGACCAATCCTCGAAGTGTAAAGACTCCCATACATCTCTCCAACACCAGTCCCTACGCTGCTCAAGTATTTTTGTTAACAGCACGGAAGGGGAAACGAAAGGCCTAATGAGATCAAACGACCGCATCATACGGACGTTCGTGCTAATTTAGCTACGGCAGTTTATCAGAAGCCAGGTAGCCGGACTGCCAGGAATCAGGAGCCAAGACCGCTCGCATTTTTTCGAAGCAGACACGACATCACGCCCAGTGAAACGCCTGGATAGGTGCCTACCTGCGCTTCAGGTGATGAGGAACGGCGTCCCGCCCATGGACTGAAACTGACGTCCTCATTACTATCATTGAAAGTGCGAAGACCTTAGGGTAGAAAATCGCCGGCCGCGGTCGTGTCGATTTTCTTCTGGCCTCCAAGGGTAAAGCACTCTATGCCTGGCTGGAGGGTGGTAAAAGGAGGAAGCCCAGCCAGCTAAGCATGCGTTGAATCTTTCATCACTTTGAATAGATATCCACGTCCTCATCCGAAAGGACTACTACTCGAGCCCAGGTCTTTTATTTTAGCTCACCCAGTATTGTATCCCTTCAACCCACTGACTGTTACCCGAAATTGTTCGACGCACATTTCATTCAGAGAATCGTCCCCAGTGCCACGCGAAGAACAAGAATTTCCGCAAAGAAAGCCGGCCAGATCTGAGGCTCCTCGGTTATGAACCCACCCTATTGGAACCAGTCCCACCATGGTGTTCAGTATCCGCTGACGGACCTGGAACCTCGAACACGATGGAGTGGAAGAGGCTGCTGAAGTCACAATTTGCCCAACCCGCCCAACTTATCGCTAACGCCACCTATGCCCTGCTGAACCGCTTCCTTGCCCAACCCTCCCGAGACTTGCTCGAGCTCGTCCTCGCCCATGATGGGATTCTTCTTCAACGAATCTGCGAAAGTTCAGATGGTCAGTCAGGAGTCAATAACTCAGGCACATAGACACGCAGCCAACGCAACTCCGACATCAGAGTCATATCCCGCAAACAATTCTATGTACCCCCAAGGCATCCACCGCGGAACAGTATGAAATAGCCGCGGGGAATACCATTCGACCTGATAACCCCCACCTCACCTCCCCCTTTCTTCTTCCCTTTTATTCGTGTATTTCCTTGTTGTAGGGTGGGTTGTTTCACTTTCCGAAACCAAAAAACCAAAACCAAAGACGAACAAGAACCAAAACCAAACTCACCTTTGACCGCGCCCTGGACCTTCTCGGCCCCGACATTCTCCAGCACCTTGACCTCGGCGATCGCCTTGGCCTTGTAATACCGCTTGGCCCACCAGGCCGCCACATCGTCGGCATACCCGCTGAAATAGACGCTCGCGGCGACAATGGCCACGGCGGTGACGATCCCCGTGACCGCGATGAAGAAGACACTCGCGTACGAGAACGACCGTGCGGATTCGGCGGCCGCGTAGGCCGTCGCGGCGGCGTGGGCGGGGGATTCGCTCGCGAGCGACGTGCCGCTTGAGAAGACGCTGGACGCGGCGGACGAGGCCGAGGATGCCATGTTATGGGTGCGTCGCAAGGGGGTTGCTTGCAGTGGGAAGGACACAACGGGTGTTGTGATGTGTCGGGGTTGATAGGTCAGGTATCAATTCAAGTTGGGTTCGGCAGGTATCAGTTCAAGTCGGCCTGGAAGGCTGTGTATTGCAAGACACTTTTGATTGCTAGATTTCTGGATCGCTGTGATGGGCGATGATGAGAGCGGGAATGGGAAGTGAGATGAGAATTAAAAGAACGAGACGCAACACGCTTAATTTGTATTCTGGCGAGGATGGTGGTGTAACAGGGTGCGAAATACTTGACCGTGTGCTGGTATCACTATCACTATCATCATTCACGACCTTGAAACTTGAAACCTGCTTGCAGCTTCCTCACCCACTTTCTTGGTTTTGTCTTTCACATGTTGTGGCCGCCTCGAGTTTGGCACACATAAGGTACGCCGCACCACACGTCATAGTGATATAAGAGGTGAAAAGGTGAAAACGGAACAGCTTTAGGGTTTGCAATTGTCGTGAGAGATCCAATGACAGACGGTCACAACGCTTCCAGCCACACGGAAGCACATGCCGTAGACGTGGCGAGCGTAGACGAACGGACCAGGGCGCCTCGAGACATCCACAGGTTGATCTTGATCGTGGCTCTCACTTTGTAAGGCATGGGAGGAACAAGAGGGGTCCTTGGTACAGTAGATAAGCGGGGTACTGATGTTCGCTGGTGCAAGATAACCGATGAGTGCAACGTCAACTGAGGGAAGACAAAGGCATGCGAAACTTGTGACGCAAACTTGTGTAATGGCATTCTGTGGCTTGTCGTCTCCGCTCTCAATCCGAGTACACAGTAACTCGTGGTGGGATACTGTAATTCAGGTACTTGGAATCGCAGACCTCGATGACTCCGGTTTACCGCTCTTCGCCGTCCTTACATTTACAGTCCCTACAAGAGCCGCGGCGATCCTGATCTCTGCTTCCTACTCAACACGCGAGGTTGAGATCTTTGGCGCAGACCTCGCTTCCAGTTGATCATTCGCTTTATCCGGTGTACCAAGTCCTCAAGCACCCAAACGCAAATGAAACGAGCGCTAACATCATTGCGAATGTCCTTGCATGTAGTGCTCCTTCCTCCCAGCTTGGTCGAAACAGCCTT